TTACCACACTGAAGATGGTTAATGTGATAATAACATAACCATGGACCTTACCACACTGAAGATGGTTAATGTGATAATAACATAACCATGGACCTTACACACTGAAGATGGTTAATGTGATAATAACATAACCATGGACCTTACCACACTGAAGATGGTTAATGTGATAATAACATAACCATGGACCTTACACACTGAAGATGGTTAATGTGATAATAACATAACCATGGACCTTACCACACTGAAGATGGTTAATGTGATAATAACATAACCATGGACCTGACCACACTGAAGATGGTTAATGTGATAATAACATAACCATGGACCTTACCACACTGAAGATGGTTAATGTGATAATAACATAACCATGGACCTTACCACACTGAAGATGGTTAATGTGATAATAACATAACCATGGACCTTACCACACTGAAGATGGTTATTGTGATAATAACATAACCATGGACCTTACACACTGAAGATGGTTAATGTGATAATAACATAACCATGGACCTTACACACTGAAGATGGTTAATGTGATAATAACATAACCATGGACCGTACCACACTGAAGATGGTTAAGCTGAGGTGCTGTGTTTAAGTGCTTTTTTCTATCTACCTACTTTACCTTTGTGGAGCAGGTTTTCTCTGTAATGAGCCTTAAAACAAAGCTAACATACAAATATTAATATACATATTGTGAAATACCATTTTCAATGTAATATTGTAAATACATTACATTATTTGTACTATGGAAAACTCACTGTTACATTTAAGTTTGTAACAGAAAACTGAGTATTAAAGGACAGTGTTTTAAAGGAAGTTTTAAATAAATGTGTTTATGTGCACAAAAAGTTGGACTTTGTACCGTTTTTGGATATTTTTGTAGAGCATCTCCTGGTCCGGCCCACTTGAGATCAGATTAGGTTGTATGTGGCCCCCGGACCAAAATGAGTTTGACACCCCTGCTTTAGACTTAGATCACAGCAGACCAGTCCATGTCCAAGCAATCCCTACAGATACATTTGACACGTACATTTTTACATCTGAAATTGATCAGCCAAAGTAACTACACGGTTTAAGTTCTAGAAAAAAGGTCATGTCATTATCTAAGAATTGGCAGACGATGCAGAATATCCCCATTTGTCTCCTAATGGTTTTGAGGGATAATCTAAACTTAATTAGGTCCAGGGAGCTTCTATGGGAAAGAACCATCGCCCATCTGCTGCTGTGTGTTTCCGGCTTCTGCTGTTATCTACATCAGGACAATGGGGGCTTTATCTGTTATGCTTATATGAGAACTGTGGGTCAAGCACTAATTTTAACATTTTCTGGTGGCTATATGAAATTACAGGTGTATTTTTTGGCTAATGGTTAATGACTCCAAAATAAAGTTAGTACAGTCAGTAATTAAACTGCAAGTGTATCAAACAAGCAACCAATTTTGTTATAGTCTTTTGTCTCTCACTGACAGATAGCTAAAGGATCTCTTAATCTGTCTTATCACTGTAATCGCTCGGTTTGTTGAGCCTGTTGCATCTTGGTTAATGCGTATATGCCTCCGTAAATAAATAGCTAATGGCGTAAAGCATCCTTCTGCTCGGACATCATTTGTTGGTCGGGTTTTGTGGGCGTAATTTAGCCGGGCCAGAGGTTGTGTCCGTTCTCTGAGGAGATTATTGGAAGCGCATGATGTAAGCTGCTCTTGTTCCAAATTCAATTACAACGTTTTGAATGTGGACTCAATTTATATGATTTTCCTTTAAAGCTCATTGGTTGTTAGGATTTCAGTTAGATATAGCATATAGGAGAGAAACAAGGTGATATTTAAGTTCATTAAAGTCTGTATCAGGCGTGTGCAGAAATGTAGGCACCACGAAAGAAAGATTTACTCTGGAGAGCAGCTTCAGTGACAGACTAATTCACCCTCGCTGTGTGAAGGAGAGGTTCCGTAGGTCTTTCCTTCCTGCTGCTGTCAGACTGTACAATGAGAACTGCTGAGCCTGTACATTTCATTCATCTGTAAATAAGTAAATTCTTAAATCATGTAAGAAACATAGATACTACTTATTTTGTATATATTGTGTGTGCTCCCTGTGTGCTCTATAGGAAGCGTCTAAACACTTCCTATAACTTCCAATTAGAGTCCGGATGGCGAACATTTGCATTCTTTTGTAGCCAAACAAATCCTCCTGAAGCTAAGACGGATATGAAGCAAATAGCAGGATGTAAAAATAAACAATTTTATAGATTTAACCAAAAATAATTTAATTCTTAATTTAATTTTTAATTTAATTAAACCAAAAAACTTAATTCTGAATCATGTTCTCTGTAATATTTCTTGCGATGGTAATATTTAGCCTCTGCTTACTCAGCTTCTCTGTGAGTGTGAATAGATCTGTCTGCTGCTTGTGTTAAGGATGTGGCTGTATTCTTTTCAGTTTTTCAGTGTGTAAGGGCGATGTACTGTATGCCCAGCAAAAATCAATATCCAATTCCGTCTCATGTTGGAACAAATTGCTCTTCGTGACACTGACAGCCAGATGTATTGTTTGAATTGCTGTTATTTTATTTAGCAGGTTCTTTCACTCTGAGTCGGGTGCGAGTCTGGTCTCAAGAAAAAGACATTCAGGCTGTTTTTTAGTTTCAAGCTTCATTCAAAAAGACCTTTACTGTACGTCGATAGCCGCTCATACATCCACACCTCCGCTGACTGGAGTATTAGAGACAGAATGCATTATGTGGAGAGTGAAATAAGCCCGTTTAAGAACCATATATTGATGGCATTTTATAGGACAAGACCAGTGTGGGCGGGTCTCGGCTCAAAAGTGGTCAAAATGACGTGCGCTGACATGCTGCAATACCACCCCTGGCTAGTGGGGGTGGACCTGGAATAAGAATTAGCCAATGCTAACATATAGCATCTTCTTACCTCTGGAAAACGTCTTTACAGAATGGTCCAAAAGTGGTCTCTTGGCCCAAAGCTCCGTTCCACATGTGTGTCAATGCTGAGGGGAGTGTTCTGGACCAGTCTAGTTTAGTCGCTGTGGACTTTAGAAGTCACTTGTTTAAATGAATGGAGCTCGTGCAGCTGACGTTTTTTCACATTTTCCAGCCCCCGCAGCCATTTTGAATCACTCCATGAAAGCCCAATGTTTGGTCCATTAGTTAGAACGGCGGAGATAAGCGTGACTAGGTTCGTTAATATTTACAGTCTATGGACAAGACCCAGCAGGCATGGGTTAGTGCCCAGAGTCAGAACTAAACATGGGGAGGCTGCTTTTCAGATTCATGCTGCTAAAATCTGGAACAGTCTTCCTGAAGATGTGAGACAGGCCTCCTCTCTGACAATGTTTAAAACCAAGTTAAAAACGGTGCTGTTTAGCTGTGCTACAACTGAGGGATTTTATATTTTTATCTTTCGTTTTAATGTTCTGTGATTATTTATGATTTTAATTCTTTCTTGTTTTGTTCAGCACTTTGAGTTGCCTTGTGTATGAATTGTGCTATATAAATAAACTTGCCTTGCCGTGCCTTGCCATGATACGGCCAAGACTATTATATTTCCCTAGTCCTCTTTGAAGTGAAATGTTGTTGTCCATGAGATAAAATAGACGCCCACTGGAGCTGCCAAGTGTCACTTTGTCAGTAACTATTTTCCAGACTGTCTCGGTACCGTTGAACTCTTGAACTCTTTGCTTTTGCGTAAGGAGGAATGTCCCTGATTGATTTCTCCGTTTGGTTTCAGACAAATGGGAACGTTGTTGCAAATGTTGTAAACATAGACTTCATATATTTTCCTGCTACATACGACCAGATCTTTTTAAAGCACAATAGAAAGTTTGCATGGTATAAAAATCATTGTTTTCATTGTTACAGACTTATTACCTTTCTGCCTACTCCTTTTGAGATATTATTTGTATTTCTGTCTGATGTTTGTTCTGTTTTTAAAGCAGTAATGAATTTGTTAATAACAGTTCTTTTCATTCGTCCAAATGACTGCTGACACAATACTTAACCTTTTATGTAAAATCCACAGATTAAGTCTGTGTTTGTGTTTTTAATGAAAGTTTTATGTTGAATTTGAGTTATGGCAACTGAAACACATGCATTTCTTCCTTGTTGCACAGTATGAACTCGCATAATCATTTATTTATGCTAAAGTTATAGATTTAATTTTTCGCTTATCTTGTGCTGTGTGCTCCTCATTGTACTGTTCTGTAACTGGTGATGCAACACTGACATTTCCCCACTGTGGGACTCTCTAAAGCATCTCTTAATAAGTGAATAAGTGAAAAAATAAAATGTGCAGACAGTTCAGCACAGTTGAGCTTGCAGCTTCTGGTCATACACTGCAAAAAGTGATGAAAAATCTATCTTTATCCGAGCACATTTTGACTGCCTTAAAACAAGATTTGCCAATGGGACAAGCAAAGTGGTTGTTTTAAAAAGATATAAAAAATGTCTCCCTTGGAATTAAAAAACCTGCAACAGTTCTTGAATTAAGACTAAATGGCTTGTGTGAAGACGCTCAGAATGTACTCAAATTAAGATAAAAACTACTCTTTAATTACCTCATATTTAGTTTTTTGTTTAGAAATTCTCTAAAACACATTTCTCCCTGTGTGCGGCACGGTGGCTGAGTGGTTAGCACTCTCGCTTCTCAGCAAGAAGGACCTGGGTTCGAATCCCGGTCGGAACAGGGCCTTTCTGAGTGGAGTTTGCATGTTCTCCCCGTGTCTGCGCAGGTTTCCTCCGGGTGCTCCGGTTTCCCCTACCACTAAAAACATGTACAATAGGTCTGAATGTAAATGAGAGAGTGAATCGATGGTGTTGATTGGAGCTGATGGTCCAGTGTGTTCTGGACTCGCTTCTGTCATCACCGTGTGTGGAAGGATCGGAACAATATCTGACTCTGAACATTGGAAAGTGCTTTGGGTCTGTGCCTTGATCTGTACAATGTGCGATATAAATAAACAGTACTGTGTTTTTGTCCCTAGTATTCAGCGCGCCGCTCTGGCCATCATCGAACACTACTACTGCGACTTCCCCGTGCATAACCCTGCTCTCCTCTCGGCCTCCAAGTCGCGGGCGGCAAAACACTTGGCCGGGCTCAAAGTCTACAACGTGGATGGTGAGTTCCCTGCAGCTCAAGCCGAGGGTGAGTGGGACCTCTTTTTGCTTTCTCTCTGAACTCCTGCTTGTGATATGTGACTTCATGACATGCTTTATGATCATCGCGGCTCAAGCCTGTGCAGGTAGCTCCGGAATGCACCGAAAAGCGCCTGGAAGCGAGAAATTGATCCGCAAAAAAGTATAATTTCCAAATCCTCTTCAGCCATGTGTGATTTGTAGTTGTTGTAAAGTGCGCTTGATACGTCCCGTGATAAATCTACTCGTGTTGCATTCAAGTGACGCTCGTTTCTTCTTCTCGTTTTCTCTCAAGAACTCTTTAAAGCTAAACTCAAAGCCTATCTCATGGACAGTAAGTACTTTGCGAATGATGAAAGCACTTTAATTATTAAGTTTCACTCCAAATCACGACTCTGCACGCTTGTCCGCATGCCACAAGTCGATGGAAAGTTCACGGTGGCTCTTTGCACATCTGGAATAATAATACAAAGCATCTGTTGTATCTGTGCGCTCTCAATAAGGGTCCTCCAGCGTCTTTTTAAGTGTCCTAACTCTGCCACAGTCACTTCACGAGGCGACGTTTATCTCCACTTCCTCTCCTTCCTCTCCTTCCTCAAGCAGTCGCACAAATCAATAGCTATTCTGCGCCGCACAGGACAATACCGAGACGCTGGCAGGGGCTATGACGTCCTATTAATTGTGAGTTCTGTTGTGATAAGGATAGCCTCTTGACACGGGAGCAAACAGCGCTCAGTCAAGCGTCTTTTAGCTCAATTTAAAGCAGTAGACGAGAGTTATGTACTTATAGTGAGTGTTGCTACTACATTTTCAAACGCAAGCACCATTTAGACACTGCTTTCTGATTGGACGAATGTAAATGAACTCCTCATCGGTCTAACTGTGCCTCTCCATTAAATATTATTGTTGGTGCTTTTGCCAAGAGAGGGGGCTATGCTAAATTCAATTGATACTTTTGGAAACAAGTTAACCTGTAGAACAGAGCCATTGGGTTACACATGTCCATGCATCACCTTAGACTAATAATATTGTGGCGTTGAAATCTATGTCTACATATAAGGAAGAGTCTGAAGAAGAGTCTTTTGTCCTGTTATTTTGAAATGCACTGTTTTAGTTTGTATTAGTTTTTTTTATTAGTGTGCAGATACATTTAATAATAATAATAATGCATCTGTTTTATTTAGCGCTTTTCTGGACACTCAAAGACGCTTCACATGTCATTCATTATTCTCTCTCTCCAAACACGGTGGTGATGAACTACTACTGTAGACACAGCTGCCCTGGGACACACTGACAGAAGCGAGGCAACCAGTATGTGCCATCGGCCCCTCCCACCACCACCAACCTTTCACACACACACCAGACTCATTCTAGGCAATGGGGGTGAAGTGTCTTGCCTAAGGACACAGCCACAGCCGCCCCACTGTGGCATCAGGTGTTCGCACAGGTTAAGTGTCTTGCACAGTGGTAAAACTAGTATATAAGAATTATAAAACTTCTTCTTTTGTAGAAGTTTCTCGGCTTTAAAAACTCTCAAGTATTCGAAGTACTACTAACAACTCTATTCGGTGCCGGCTTATCTCCTAAATAAACGACTGAAATGATTAGTGAAAACCTTTCTTGTGTTATTTTACAGTGAAATTCATGGGTTTTTTCACATATTTATCTAAAAGGCATCTGTCACGTGTGAAGGGGCTCTGGGAGGCAGCTTTTCCTCTTTGCCGCGTAAATAAGTCCAACTCTGCAGCCGACAATAATCTCTGCTTGATTAAACAGAGGTGAATCCCTGGGAACGCCTCAGCCATAACACTCAATTACAAATGGACCCGGGCGGTTTTATGATACTTGACAGGCAATTTGGCTCCGATAATATTTCCTCCGCTGTGGACACTCCGGGACGTAAATTACCCCCGCTGGAAAAAAGTCATTTGTGTCTACGTATGTCTGCAGAAGCGCTTTTTTTCAACAGACTGAAATACATTTTAAAAAGTAAATGTTGAAACTATTTTGCTTGAATAATTTTACTTAAACGCATGCATCTTTTGACATCAAACCCACCATTGATTTTAACATGTTTTTTATCCTCGGGGTAGTGTCAAACAGAAGTTCAGTACGACTGTGTATGTGTAAGCTTCTTGTCAAAACTCACATTGTTGTTATTATTATTATTATTATTATTGGCTCTGATACGGCTGTCTCGTAATCCGTGTAGTTTTGTAAAGAGAACATATTTTTAACAAGCCCTCACAAGGCACTGAATGACCACGTGTCCTTCACCTGTTCACGCCATAGAAATAAGTTTATATTTGCTTGAAGAAGGAATCTTGTCTGTGTCCTGCTTTGAGAACATTTTTATTATTATGATTTAAATCAATATTTTACAATGGAACAAGCAGCTTTAGTCTCAGATATTATTGTTTTCTCATTCTCCAGTGTGAAATTGTTTGATGTAGTCTTAGATCAAGTAAAACAAAGAAATCTGCTCGTTCTATTGGCCGATTGTTTTTTTAATGAAAGTCAAAATGAAGATAAAATGAGTTACTTGTACACTTTCCTGTGTAGTCTGTGCAGTGTTTGGAGCAATGAGGACTCTTTCTAAGCCTGCCTCTCTGTCTGTGTGTGAACAGAACCAGGGAACAACGCGGCCACTGCAGCCGGCCTGGCTCAGTCTCAGTCCAGAGCCATGATCGCTGCCGCCGCTCGCCGCCGAGACACCAGCCACAACGAGCTGTACTACGAGGAGGCGGAGCACGAGAGGAGGGTCCGCAAACGGAGGGCACGGTACAGACCTCTGCCATTACACTGTTCTCTGTTAGATTTTAGAAATATTCCTAAACTGCAGTAAAAGAACCCGCCTTTTTCCTTCACTTTCTCTTGTCCGGGTTTTGAGCAGAGACATCACAGCGTTTGTCTTGTATATGACATATTTAAAGGACATTTCCACTGCACATGTGCAAAGGGAACATTCAGTGTTATGCACCGCCAGAGGGCAGTCAGGAGGGATGAAATAGAACAATGTTTTATGAAGGAAAATCATTGATATTTCTTCATACCATTATAGTATTGTTCTTTCTGTGGTCATTTGTCATACAAACATGAACTTTCTGGGTCTTTCTGGGTCTTTCTGAGTCTTTCTGGGTCTTTCTGGGTCTTTCTGAGTCTTTCTGAGTCTTTCTGAGTCTTTCTGAGTCTTTCTGAGTCTTTCTGGGTCTTTCTGGGTCTTTCTGAGTCTTTCTGGGTCTTTCTGGGTCTTTCTGAGTCTTTCTGAGTCTTTCTGAGTCTTTCTGGGTCTTTCTGGGTCTTTCTGGGTCTTTCTGGGTCTTCCTGAGTCTTCCTGAGTCTTCCTGAGTCTTCCTGGGTCTTTCTGAGTCTTTCTGAGTCTTTCTGAGTCTTTCTGAGTCTTTCTGGGTCTTTCTGGGTCTTTCTGGGTCTTTCTGGGTCTTTCTGGGTCTTCCTGGGTCTTCCTGGGTCTTTCTGGGTCTTCCTGGGTCTTCCTGGGTCTTCCTGGGGCCTCCTCTCGATAGAACAGTGCTGGAGGTGTCCTAAAGGCTTTCTAAACACATGTTTGAGCCTCCACCGCTGGCTCCTTTCTGGAAGATCCCAAAATACTTTCAATATTTGCGAAAAGTGAAAGTAAAAAAAAAAATCCGGTCTCTAATAATGTAGTTAAGCTTTGACAATGACTTCTACATCGTTTTCACAGTTATACTTTTGAAGACATTGATATCACATTATTGAGTTAGATGTTTTGCTCACGCCTTTTATTAATAACATGTGATTTCTGCGACTTTCATGCGCTGAAAACTCCCTGAAGCATATTTCCATAATTATTTAATGTAACACTCATGACTCCTCTGACTGTCTGTCTCATGCTTCTGTTTGACCCAGCCTGGTGGTGGCAGTAGAGGAGGCCTTCACCCACATCAAGCGGCTGCAGGAGGAGGAGCAGAAGAAATCCCCGGGTGACGTGATGGACCCTCGGGAGGCGGCGCAGGCCATCTTCCCCTCCATGGCCCGTGCTCTGCAGAAGTATCTGAGGACCACCAAGCAGCAGCACTGCCACAGCATGGAGAGCATACAGCAGCACCTGGCCTTCTGCGTCACCAACAACATGACGCCCAAGGTCCAAAACACACACAACAACACACCACACACGTCTAACTGTGTTCTCCCAAAGTCTAAAACACACACAACAACACACGTCTAACTGTGTTCTCCCAAAGTCTAAAAACACACACAACAACACACGTCTAACTGTGTTCTCCCAAAGTCTAAAACACACACAACAACACACGTCTAACTGTGTTCTCCCAAAGTCTAAAACACACACAACAACACACGTCTAACTGTGTTCTCCCAAAGTCTAAAACACACACAACAACACACGTCTAACTGTGTTCTCCCAAAGTCTAAAACACACACAACAACACACGTCTAACTGTGTTCTCCCAAAGTCTAAAACACATTATTATTGATAACCTTTGAATCTGGCATACATGAAAAACACATCTGCTCCTTCAGTATGTCTGAACTTTGCTCATTTCCGTTGCTGACTGTGATGTTTTGGGTTTCAGTGTCGACCAATGCTTAATATTGAAACTGAAAACTAGTGAAGGGACTGACAATATTCTATTTTTATTGGTATTTATCCTCCAAATACCCACTGAACAACATTATATGTGAGTCACTCCTCAAGCACCAATATTCAGCATCTGTATTGGTCCTATTCAAAAGTGTTGAAAATATCAATAAGAATTTTCATATGTGATGTATAAGAATATAAGCTCTCCATATATTTCTTTTGCTCAAACTAAGTGCATTATTGTCCCCAGGGTCTTGTTTGGAGGTTCAGTGCAGGGTCTTGCTGAAGGACTTCTCGCTGACCTTCTCAGTGTTTGAAATGTGGCGCTTACTTGATCGATGAACTGTGTGGCGACTGACACCCATGAACGGCTGTTTGATCATGGAACTAAACAAAACACCTCTCTTCATTCATTCATTAACGTCCCCTTTATCAGTCCATCTCTGGGCTGAGGGGATGGCAATGCTAATGCTAATAGCACCGGTCCCTGTGTGTCTACGGGAATATGGCTGCTGGTTGAGTGTCTTATTGTGCTATCATTTTGCTATATTGTATTTATTCTAATTAAATAGAGCTTTATTTGAAACGGTGTATAGCTCAAGCCCCGGTGATCCAAGATGGCGCCCTATTCAAATGAATGGCTTGTGCTCAGTAGCGCATGGGACTTCACAGAGACCAGGAGATTAGCAGAACTTGTCTATATTTGGGCATCGTCGGGTCCTCCCGGTTTTACGCGGTGGACGAGCTCCCATGATGCTTTGCGCCAAATACGTGTGTGGCTTTCATGCACGTGCACAGAGGGGCTCGGCCACACTCCGACCAATCAGAGCTGATCAGAGCAGCAGCAGATTGGAGTCAGAGCGGGAAGGAAAGGAGCAGAGTTTGTGGCAGTAAAGTGTGGATTTAAAGAAAACCAAAGGATTTAAGAAGAAAAAAAGTTCAGGATGACAAGGAACACTAAAATCCCCACAAAATCCGATCTTTATGAAAGCTGTAGGTTCTCTGTCAGGTTCTCTGTCAGGTTCTCTGTCAGGTTCTCTGTCAGGTTCTCTGTAGGTTCTCTGTCAGGTTCTCTGTCAGGTTCTCTGTCAGCTGAGGTCGAGCTGTTTTAGTTTACATTGTGTTCTATGGGACTTTTTTCTGGGTAGCCCACGTGAATTCAGTCTGCAGTACCACAGCGCCCCCTGTGCCCGTGGGTGGGACAGTTGTAAGCTAGTAATACCCTATCCAGTTATTATTATAGATCCATGATGTAGCTCCAGGTCAGCTGAGACTGCAGTGCTACCTTAACCTCACCCATTTAACGCTTCATAAAGATAATATTCATTGATCTGCCGTGGGTAGTTCTTCAGACTCACCACTATGTTCACTCTGATTAACGTACGTTGCACAATCATAAAATAAGTTATGATTACAACGTTCATGTTTCTGTGTTTCAGGCATTCCTAGAGAGCTACCTGAGCGCGGGGCCCACTCTGCAGTACAGTAAGGACCACTGGCTCTCCCGACAGTGGACTCTGGTGAGTGAAGCGTCGGTGACCAGCGGCCTCAAAGACGGCTCCGTGTTTCTGCTCAAGTGCGCAGACTTCAGCCTCGTGGTGACCGCAAAGAAACTGCCGTACATCCACATGACGGAGGAGTACATCGACCCCAAGTCCCACAAGTTTGTCCTGAGGCTACAGTCCGAGACCTCCGTTTAACGCCTTTTTCTATGTGTTACTTTTGTCGGTTTTATATTTTAACTAAGACTCTTATCACACATTTTAATATATCGGTCTATTGTTAAAAAGCAAACATCAAGGAATTTTGACGGGGATTTTTTTATGACACGTATGGACTACTCAGAGGTGAATGCGTGTGTGCGAATGGACGTGCAAAGGTGCCATTGTGTGTCATTGTTGAAGGAAGGGGAACAAAGACATTTCCTCGAGTCTCCTTTTTGAATCCTGGCACAAAACCACTTCTGAGTTTTAACCGTGGATCACACTACGAACGTAAACAAAAGAAATGTGTTTATTTTACCAGCAAGACTTTTCACGAACCAAACAAACAGCGTCATATCTACAGAGACTCTGCCAAAGTCACAGTCTGCTGCACAATCGTGGTTGTGAATGAAGCTAACCCACACGCAACTGTTGAGTGTGTGTGTGTGTGTGTGTGTGTGTGTTCATAAATCTATATGAACTCAAAATGAACCGTAAATATTTGACGGCTGCGCTCCAAGACCCAAAACATGCGCCTTGGTGAGATGGAGAGAAGACCAATCTGAATCTATGAGACAGTAATTAATATTAGAGACAGTGATAAACCAATAGTTCCGAATCAAATATAATATCCATCCATGCATCCATTTTCTTCCCCTTAATCCATTTCTGGGTCAGGGGGGTGGCCAGAGATGCCACCCAGTTCAGAGCACCAGCCCCTCACTGATCCTCCTGCAGGTGCTGAGTCCACAGGAGGATGGCCTAGATCTTTCAGCTGGGGCTTCAGTCAAAGTGGGGTTAAGTGTCTTGCCTAAGGACACAACGACAGCAGACAAAAAATCTAAATATGGTTGTAGGTATTCCCAATCACGCAACGATTCTTTAAAAAATATTTGTTTATTTAAAATTTTCGGTGCTATTTTTGTAAAGCAGCTTTCAATGACCAAATTTGGCAGTGTAGCATAGCTTCTAGCCTTAGCTTTTTCGGGTTCTTGGCTACATACATTAGTTCATGCGTTAAACCAAATTTTTCCATAACCTTTGAACTTCCCGTTGCATATTTATAACCGAGGGTGCTACTGGGTTAACGTCCAATTTTATCCATTAATAACGTGAATATTTATGAACATGTAACTCATAAATCAACTTGGCGTACTATTGTGTGGTATCAGCAAATACTGGACACAGGCACTGCAATAAATATTTTGGTAATGGCACTAGGCAATCTTCCGCAATTCATACGTGGAACATCTCTGCTTTACAAAAGAAAGTAGATATTAAAACGTTCACGTAAAAGCACAATCACAGTACACTTATTCTTCAAAAATAAAACCAGTTATAATCAACAACTCGCAAAGATAGTTATTAAACTACGGTGATGCCAAGAGACTCACAATCAAACCCCATCCCAGGGTTTGCCTTAAATAAAAAGCGTCTTTAAAGCCTTCTGTGTTACCAAGATGTCTGTAACAACATTGTGCCGTTATCAATTATCAATGTTTTAACTTAAATTCAGCCCTACTATTCCCTGATACCTTTTGTCCACTGGAGCTTTTCACTGTTCCCAAAGCAGCGGGGGGTTGGACACAAACAAAACAAGAGCAAATATCTGGAGCATCTGGTTTGTCCTTTATTGGCCTGGACTCACCTTCTGCAAACAGCAAATTCCTGCAGGTCAATTCCCTCATTCAGAAGTCCATTTGTGCGTCTTTACAAACAATTATAGCATCAGTAATATCAAAAAAGCACATTTATACAAGACACAAGTTCCATTTGACTTGTATGATTTGTTTTAGCTTATTTCAGTTCATTTTAAAACCCAAAAAAAACCCATATTTGTTGGAGTAGGCGTAAAGAGACATGGACATGGACTGCCCCATACTGCCCTCTGGCGGCTGGATTTGGTACAACTCCACTGCCTAGAAATCACAGCACAATTTCTACATGACTTTTACTGTTCCACATATATTCAGGACATCCTAGACTTTTGTAATGTGTTTCCAATGACCTAAACCTGCGCAGATCTCTCTATCTCTCTAACAGGAACGTGATTTATGCCGCGTCCGCCGTCACTTGAACTTTGTATGAACTGCAGCAGCTCCCAACGTGGCCGTGCCTCCTGTTTTTGACACTGTAATCTATTTATGTGGACGTGCATGTACGTCTGGGAGCGTGCGTTCCAATGCCATTCCCTCTCTCTCTCTTTCTGTAACCATCATCATTTCGTCAGTCGGGCCAAGTCGGCGTTGGGAGCGGACGTGACACTGCAATCTCACACATAGAGGTTTTTTTGCAAGACCTCGTTTGTAAACAAAAAATCTGAATAAACCATTTTGTATGAACATTTGTAAATCTGACGACTCTGTGGAGTGTGTGCCTTGCTTTATATTGGTGCCTTATTTTACTAATTGCTCCATGCAGTTTGTGTGTTTCATATGGATTTTGTATTAGTAATTAAAGCTGGGGTACGTAACTTTCAAACGACAACGAATGCCCATCGTTCCTGGCTCTGAAACAGTTGGGTTCGATCACTGGTTTTCACATTTTGCCTGTAGTTTGGGCCTTTGTCACTCTACCAATCAGCTCACAGCCTGAAGTGACACACAGAGCTGGGTTTTCTAATGAGATTAAGTAAGTAATGTTTATTTATGTAACGCATTTCACAGACCGAGGTACAGACCCAAAGCGCTTTCCAATGTTCAGAGTCAGATATTGTTCCAATCATTCCACACACGGTGATGACAGAAGCGAGTCCAGAACACACTGGACCATCAGCTCCAACACCATCCATTCACTCTCTCATTTACATTCAGACCTATTGTACATGTTTTTAGTGGTAGGGGAAACCGGAGCACCCGGAGGAAACCTGCGTAGACACGGGGAGAACATGCAAACTCCACTCAGAAAGGCCCTGTTTGGACCGAGATTCGAAAAATACATGTTTCTAAATGATACTGAGCCATTTCTGAAGATAATAATTATATATTTGTCAAATTGTATTTTTGGTGCCTCTGATATTGACCTTCTTTGTAGATTGATATCAGGTATATTATTGGACACAAAAAATCCCTATTGTCTTACAGTTTCCATGGAGATATTTATAGTAAAATGTTATCTTTTAATTTCTCTTTTTTCTCTTATACTGTTGTGTTAACATCACCATAATGTGATTTTGGAATTAAGCTGCAATCAATCTTCATCTGTGCCACTACTGAGAATGTTTTTTATTTTTTTATTTAAATATATAACATTGTCCCTCCAAACCAGTGGTACACACACTTTTATTCTTAGTAGTGGGAATTACTTTAGAATATTTGACCATTGTTTGGACGTAGAAAAGACTGGTCAAATTATATATTTTATTAGTCATGATATACATTTGACCATGCTTACCTGTGATACTGTACCTGTGCTCTCTCATCACTGGACTCTCCTCTCTCCATTACCCACAGCTGGCCTCTCCTCATCCACTGCTTGCTTCAACCAGACCCTATTCTGCGGCTTCTTCGTTGTCACAGACGCCCGGTAATTGGCTTCACCGCCGGCTTCTGTCACCATCGCTCCACTGGGGCTCGTGGGTAAATAAATGTCAGTGTCCAGCCCTGGATACGAACAACCTCATCCCATGTCGAGGTGCGGCCTGTCGGAACTCATCTGTCCCGGGCTTAATCTGCACAGCGAAGGGGGGTACAAGGGGAGGCGGTGGGCGAGCAGAATTTGCATCTAAATGGAAAGTTTTTCTTGCTATCGGCTCTTCCTCTCTATTTGCCGGTAATGACTTGGTTATGTGTGGATGTGGACACGGGGAGACGTCCTACCTGCTGCTTTGCTCTTCTGTCTGTGTCTGGTTCCTTTGTTCTGAACAGTACCGTGAGCCTTTGCCTAATACAGATACATTATGGCAGGGGTCTCCAACCTATAGCTCGGGAGCCACCAGTAGCTCGCCATCCCCTTTCAGGTAGCTCGCCAAAGGATTTAGAATTTAACAAATAATCTTGAATGAATCCTTTTTGAGCCATTGCACATCTATTTTAAGTGTAAATATAGGGTTATACAGAATTATGGTGTATTTTACATGTGTTCACCGTCGTAATTATTAGATAGATTTTTTACGACTGCAAAATGGAGTAGCTCTCTGCCTCTTCATTTGTATAAAAGTAGCTCTCTGATTGAAAAAGGTTGGAGACGCCTGCTCTACACACATGACAGAAGCAAGACACTGAACACATGTTTTCAGAGGTATAGGGGAAACCGTAGCACCCGGAGGAAACCAGAACACCTGAAGGAAGCCTGCATAGACTTGGGGAGAATTGGCATTACACTGATGTTTGTAGATTACTATTACTCTCAAGATTACAATTACTGTTGGGTTTTTTGAGTAGTATATTGCAGATGCAGGAGGGTCTAAGGACAGCGATGATTCTGGACATTTATGCAGATTTATTAATTATTTATTAGTGGTCATCCCGCTCTCTGTGGACGGTGTCTCCTCTGCTGTGTTCCAACGGTTTCATTCTGTGTAACTTTATAAAATCCTTTCGAAATCCCTGCTGCTGTACTTTAGGGCTATACAATAATACGTTTAAATTAATTGCTATAAACTTGAAAACTCACAAGATATCTCCCACTTGGGCCACGTTCACTTTACATTTTTTTTTTCCCTGTTTTTGCTCGTATAATTGTTCTTTCTTGACCCATGTTTATTTATTTATGTCTAGACCTCACCCCCAGTGGACAGTACTGACCTCCCCCCAAGCCTCTCACCCCAGCTCCGGCCTCCCATTAACAAGGATAACCCCGCTCAATTATTCACCACAGCCTGAATAATTCAAGGTAAACAGCCCATTGAAAATCTGTCACGCCCAAAGAAGGTGTGTGGAGCGGGTTAATGAGGAGCCGTGGTACAGACTGTGCACGTTTCAGTAATTTATTTAGTTACAACAAGGATTTATGGTTCACCAAACTGAGCATGTTACTTTGACTTGAATGTGTTCGTTAAGGAATTGCATATATACAGATTATGACAGCTGTGGCAACTTAAAAGGGGTGCCTGACTTTTAAACTACACAAAAACTACACTGTAAAGAATGTCCTTCAAAATAACACTTGTTTAATGTTGAAATTTCATTGTAATTTTACAGACATTTTCTACAGTGTATGTAAGAAATCTATGTATCTAGTTCTTAGCTCTAAAATCAGTTTAATTCTTTCACTGGATTTGACCTGCATGTATTGAAAGCCTCTGTCACGTCAACCGCCCTCACTCAGCCAATCAGCTCTCAGCCCATAGCTTCAAATAGTGACTCTCAGGGCTCTTTCTTAAATTTTTGCAAATGTTTTCTAGTAAGATGCTTTTATTTTCACAAAACAATTGCAAAGCCTTTCAGGTCAGTGGTTTTTCTCCCACTTCAGCTTCTATACCATCTCATCTTCATCTTCATCTTCTTGGTATGGCCTCCTCATCTCGTCTCTGTCCTCTGTATCGTGGCCTCGATGCTCCTCCTCCTCTTCGTCGTCTCCAAAGCTGTCGTCATCTTCAGTGTTCACCCTCCCACTCAGGACGTCCTCGATCCAGTCCTCCAGCTGCTCCGCCGTGGGGAGCTCCTCGTCGCTGGTCATGTCCAACCACACGCTGTCCGCCTGTGCGCAGAGGTGAAGGGGAAGACAAGGTTTTGCATCGGGAGAAATTGGTTTCCACATTAATTACCGTGTTAGTTCTATGATTAAGAATGAAATGGGTAAAAGTGATGATAAATACGTCAACAAGTGCTCAAATTTGGCAACGTGTATCTTACTTTGAGCACATTTTTACAGTTCTTAAAATAATCGTGCCATTGACAGTCATAATGTACTCAATCTAAGATTAAAAAACAACTATTTATTTAAGCATTTATTACCTGACACTTGGGACTCACTTTTTTACAGCTGAAACATGTGGTAACTGAACAATACTAGCTTTTATGATTATTCCAATACAAGTTGTTAAATTACATTGAGCAATGATCTGCAGGAGTGCACAAATCCAAAACAAAAACTTTTGATAAAGCCACCAAAACTAAAATTGTCAGTTAAAAATTAAAATACTAGATCAGTTAACATGATCATTTAACAAGGAGATGATAATCAACTTTCACAGGAGCCCTTCCCATGGACCGCTCACAGTAAATGGACAGGACATTGAAGTGGTTCGCTCCTATAAATATCCGGGAGTCCACCTGGACCACAGACTGGACTGGGAGTCCACCTGGACCACAGACTGGACTGGGAGTCCACCTGGACCACAGACTGGACTGGGAGTCCACCTGGACCACAGACTGGACTGGTCAGCTCAGGCCAATGCCAGAGCAGACTTTTCTTTCTGAGTAGACTGAGGTCCTTTGGTGTGAGCAGTCAAATGTTGTACATATTTTACCAGTCTGTGGTTGCTAGTGCCGTGTTCTTCAGGGTTGCGTGTTGGCGGCAGTCTGACCTCAGAGACAGTAACCGGCTCGACAGGAAATGTGTCTCTGTGATGGAGAGAAGTGTGGACTCTGTGATGAAGAGAAGTGTGGACTCTGTGATGGAGAGAAGTGTGGACTCTGTGATGGAGAGAAGTGTGGACTCTGTGATGGGGAGAAGTGTGGACTCTGTGATGGGGAGAAGTGTGGACTCTGTGATGGGGAGAAGTGTGGACTCTGTGATGGAGAGAAGTGTGGACTCTGTGATGGAGAGAAGTGTGGACTCTGTGATGGAGAGGGACTCTGTGATGGGGAGAAGTGTGGACTCTGTGATGGGGAGAAGTGTGGACTCTGTGATGGGGAGAAGTGTGGACTCTGTGATGGAGAGGGACTCTGTGATGGGGAGAAGTGTGGACTCTGTGATGAAGAGAAGTGTGGACTCTGTGATGGAGAGAAGTGTGGACTCTGTGATGGAGAGAAGTGTGGACTCTGATGGAGAGAAGTGTGGACTCTGTGATGGAGAGAAGTGTGGACTCTGTGATGGGGAGAAGTGTGGACTCTGTGATGAAGAGAAGTGTGGACTCTGTGATGAAGAGAAGTGTGGACTCTGTGATGGGGAGAAGTGTGGACTCTGTGATGAAGAGAAGTGTGGACTCTGTGATGGAGAGAAGTGTGGACTCTGTGATGGAGAGAAGTGTGGACTCTGTGATGGGGAGAAGTGTGGACTCTGTGATGGAGAGAAGTGTGGACTCTGTGATGGAGAGAAGTGTGGACTCTGTGATGGGGAGAAGTGTGGACTCTGTGATGAAGAGAAGTGTGGACTCTGTGATGGAGAGAAGTGTGGACTCTGTGATGGAGAGAAGTGTGGACTCTGTGATGGGGAGAAGTGTGGACTCTGTGATGGGGAGAAGTGTGGACTCTGTGATGGAGAGGGACTCTGTGATGGGGAGAAGTGTGGACTCTGTGATGGGGTTAAGTGTGGGCTCTGTGATGGAGAGGGACTCTGTGATGGAGAGAAGTGTGGACTCTGTGATGGAGAGAAGTGTGGACTCTGTGATGGAGAGAAGTGTGGACTCTGTGATGGGGAGAAGTGTGGACTCTGTGATGGAGAGAAGTGTGGACTCTGTGATGGAGAGAAGTGTGGACTCTGTGATGGAGAGAAGTGTGGACTCTGTGATGGGGAGAAGTGTGGACTCTGTGATGGAGAGAAGTGTGGACTCTGTGATGGAGAGAAGTGTGGACTCTGTGATGGGGAGAAGTGTGGACTCTGTGATGAAGAGAAGTGTGGGCTCTGTGATGAAGAGAAGTGTGGACTCTGTGATGGGGAGAAGTGTGGACTCTGTGATGGAGAGAAGTGTGGGCTCTGTGATGGAGAGAAGTGTGGGCTCTGTGATGGAGAGAAGTGTGGACTCTGTGATGGAGAGAAGTGTGGGCTCTGTGATGGAGAGAAGTGTGGGCTCTGTGATGGAGAGAAGTGTGGACTCTGTGATGGGGAGAAGTGTGGACTCTGTGATGGAGAGGGACTCTGTGATGGAGAGAAGTGTGGACTCTGTGATGGGGAGAAGTGTGGACTCTGTGATGGAGAGAAGTGTGGACTTTGTGATGGAGAGGGACTCTGTGATGGAGAGAAGTGTGGACTCTGTGATGGAGAGGGACTCTGTGATGGAGAGAAGTGTGGACTCTGTGATGGAGAGGGACTCTGTGATGGAGAGAAGTGTGGACTCTGTGATGGAGAGGGACTCTGTGATGGAGAGAAGTGTGGACTCTGTGATGGAGAGGGACTCTGTGATGGAGAGAAGTGTGGACTCTGTGATGGAGAGGGACTCTGTGTGATGGAGAGAAGTGTGGACTCTGTGATGGGGAGAAGTGTGGACTCTGTGATGGGGAGAAGTGTGGACTCTGTGATGGAGAGAAGTGTGGACTCTGTGATGGAGAGGGACTCTGTGATGGAGAGAAGTGTGGACTCTGTGATGGGGAGAAGTGTGGACTCTGTGATGGGGAGAAGTGTGGACTCTGTGATGGAGAGAAGTGTGGGCTCTGTGATGGAGAGAAGTGTGGGCTCTGTGATGGAGAGAAGTGTGGACTCTGTGATGGAGAGAAGTGTGGGCTCTGTGATGGAGAGAAGTGTGGGCTCTGTGATGGAGAGAAGTGTGGACTCTGTGATGGGGAGAAGTGTGGACTCTGTGATGGAGAGGGACTCTGTGATGGAGAGAAGTGTGGACTCTGTGATGGGGAGAAGTGTGGACTCTGTGATGGAGAGAAGTGTGGACTTTGTGATGGAGAGGGACTCTGTGATGGAGAGAAGTGTGGACTCTGTGATGGAGAGGGACTCTGTGATGGAGAGAAGTGTGGACTCTGTGATGGAGAGGGACTCTGTGATGGAGAGAAGTGTGGACTCTGTGATGGAGAGGGACTCTGTGATGGAGAGAAGTGTGGACTCTGTGATGGAGAGGGACTCTGTGATGGAGAGAAGTGTGGACTCTGTGATGGAGAGGGACTCTGTGATGGGGAGAAGTGTGGACTCTGTGATGGGGAGAAGTGTGGACTCTGTGATGGGGAGAAGTGTGGACTCTGTGATGGAGAGAAGTGTGGACTCTGTGATGGAGAGGGACTCTGTGATGGAGAGAAGTGTGGACTCTGTGATGGGGAGAAGTGTGGACTCTGTGATGGGGAGAAGGGGCTCTAATACAGTGCATCCTGGGTAACTCCAGACACCCTCTGCATGACACTATGGCCGCTCAGAGGAGTCATCGAAGCAACAGGCTCCTATCACTACGCTGCCGAACGGAACGTTTCAACAGATCCTTTGTTCCTTCGGCTGTCAGACTGTACAACAAACCTGACTGACTGTACAACAACAAAAAAGAGTCTTCTGCTGCTGGACACCTGAATTTCTCTGGGGGATCAATGAAGTATCTATCTATCTATATTTTCAGCCTGGTAAATTCTAGTACGATCAAACCATTTTGACACTGACTAACTGTGTCCAAAGTATATAATAATACTTTTGGATTGTTGATGAAAAGTTGTGTATGTAAAAGTAAGTAAAAAGTGTTTTTCTTACATCTGTGACGTTGACAACTCCAATCTGCGGTCTGAAGAGGTCCAAGTTGAAGGTTTTCTCCCAGTAAGTGGTCAGCTGCATGAAGCAAATATTGTATAAATCTAGTTATAATTCTTCTGTGAATGTTGACGTAAAATCTCACCAGCGGGAAGTCGTCCGGGTCGATCCAAACGATGCTTAAATCTGGGTTGTTGGTGTTGTCTCGGGCCACGTCCTTCAGAATCTCCAAAAACTCATACCCATCTACAACGTTTATGATCTGAATTTTATCGTTAGAAATTAACTGTGCAAAAAAACATCATTGCTTTAACAACAATTTACACTATTGGCTTTTCTACATTAGTTTTCTACTTCAAATCACGCCTTGATGCCAAAAATAAGGAGCATATGTCTGTATTTATAATGTGATCGACAGACAGACAGAGATATTTTCCGTTGGAGAAATTTGGGGCAGCAGCAGAGACACATCCACCCATGCAAACAAATGGAGACATCATTCTAAAAGTCACTAACAATAGTATTAAAACAAAAGGCTCACCTGGATCCTCTTCTTCTGCAAAGGCAACTATATGAATCCCGTCCATGTCATCCTCCTAAAGCCGATAAAACACTCAAAATGCTGTAGTTATGTATATATTATGGTTGCGTGAACATACAGGTACATACCCAAGTCTCAAACATATTCTCAGCCCGGAGTTTCCTCAAGGTCGCCCTGATGTGGGAATCATGAACAAAAGTAAATGATTACAGTAAGCTTTCACTTTAGAGACACTTTAGGTTTTGCTCAAAAGGCAAATATTCTTGGGTTTCTGTTCTGCCATTTTTAAAGACTTTTGTCCAACCTAAACTCCTAAAAACCTCCATGTTAGTTTTGCTTTGTCATGTTGATAATTTGACCATATAAAACCAAGCCAAACCCTTCTTTAGGACCACCAAAAGTAAATAATCCATGACTTTTAATAACAAAGTTGGAGGTAAAATGAGCAGCTTTGGGGATTGATTCCATGTGCTGTATTCGACACACCCACAATTCCAGATAATAACACAATCACTGTGCGATATTTGTGATTCTGGCCCTGAATACTGACTTTGGAATTTCATATGAATGTGAAATAGTTTGCATGGAAATATATGGATAAACATGAAATAAGCAGTGACTAAAAAGTAGAACACCCCCCTCTAGTGGTATATAGCTAACATTGCACGGTCAAATTGAATAAGTGCTAGAAACATCTAACTTTTTGATATGGAAAAAAACAAAACAATCATCAAGTTTTACATAATATCTGTCCTTTAACTCTAGTTGTGTCCTCAAACATTTGGTGGATCACATTTTGAGTCAGTATACAGCTTGGACATAACATCTACCTCATTCTATCACTTGGTTTTTGACACTTATATCAAACTGGATTTCAACCATTTGGTCTTGACCAGGGGTGTCCAAACATTTTAGTAAGAGGGCCACATTATTTCACCAGACGAGTCCAGGGGCCGACATCACGGACTGAAAAACTGTCTTGACTGGCATCGGGCTGTTCTGAGCTTTAAAATGATCTATAACAGAGTTGAAGTTGGCTGGATGATACATGTTTACCATCTCACAAGTCAACGACTGAATTATAGACCCACTAGGCTTAAGAACGAGTTACAGCATGTCTATATTGGCTGAGCTGAAGTTGGATGGATGACAGAGTGAACTTGTGTAAATGATCTCAAAGACTAGTTTGGGCGAGCAATGCAGAGGGCCACATAAATTTACACGTAGGGCCACAATTGGACCCCGGGCCTGAGTTTGGACATGTCTGGTATAGACCTATTATTCAAAACTTACACATTACATTCAAGAAGTAAACATTGAACTGTGGCTGAAATTCTTTGATGTTTTTGACTCTTTTAAAACCTCCTGCCTCCACTGACCTCCTGTGTTGACTGACAAACTCCACAATGTCCATCTCTGTGAGCGGGCGTCCGGGCAGAATGGCGGGTTCCTCCATAAACGGCTCGTAGAAATTCACCTCGTTCATCTTGAGGGAGAGCTGCTTGGCCACCTGAACACTTCATTATGTCAACACCTAATGAGCTGATGATAATGAGACCACAGCCGCGCTTACAGATTTGTCGAAAGTCGCAAAGAACTTGATGTAGGGTTGGAATCGCTCCGAGGCTTCTTTGAATGCTTTGAAATCTGGAAATGAAACAGTCAAAGGTATTCTTTTGGATAATTCTGTAATATATATTTTTCAGGTTCAGAATTTTAAAGATCTTGGCCTAATCATTTTGGCTACGTTCTCCACAAAATGGGATGCTATCAAATACAGGAGGAGAGAAGAGAGGGGAGGGGAGGGGAGAAGAGACAGGAGAGGAGAGGAGAGAGGGGAGGGGAGGGGAGACAGGAGAGGAGATGGAGAGAGGGGAGGGGAGAAGAGACAGGAGAGGAGAGGAGAGAGGGGAGGGGAGGGGAGACAGGAGAGGAGAGGAGAGAGGGGAGGGGAGGGGAGACAGGAGAGGAGAGGAGAGAGGGGAGGGGAGGGGAGACAGGAGAGGAGAGAGGGGAGGAGAGGGGAGGAGAGAGGGGAGGGGAGGGGAGACAGGAGAGGAGAGGAGAGAGGGGAGGGGAGGGGAGACAGGAGAGGAGAGAGGGGAGGGGAGGGGAGGGGAGACAGGAGAGGAGAGGAGAGGAGAGAGGGGAGGGGAGGGGAGACAGGAGAGGAGAGAGGGGAGGAGAGGGGAGACAGGAGAGGAGAGGAGAGAGGGGAGGGGAGGGGAGACAGGAGAGGAGAGAGGGGGAGGAGAGGGGAGACAGGAGAGGAGAGGAGAGAGGGGAGGGGAGGGGAGACAGGAGAGGAGAGAGGGGAGGAGAGGGGAGACAGGAGAGGGGAGGAGAGAGGGGAGGGGAGGGGAGACAGGAGAGGAGAGAGGGGAGGAGAGGGGAGACAGGAGAGGGGAGGAGAGAGGGGAGGGGAGGGGAGACAGGAGAGGAGAGAGGGGAGGAGAGGGGAGACAGGAGAGGGGAGGAGAGAGGGGAGGGGAGGGGAGACAGGAGAGGAGAGGAGAGGAGAGAGGGGAGGGGAGGGGAGACAGGAGAGGAGAGAGGGGAGGAGAGGGGAGACAGGAGAGGAGAGAGGGGAGGGGAGGGGAGACAGGAGAGGAGAGAGGGGAGGAGAGGGGAGGAGAGGGGAGGAGAGAGGGGAGGAGAGGAGAGGAGAGAGGGGAGGGGAGGGGAGACAGGAGAGGAGAGAGGGGAGGAGAGGGGAGACAGGAGAGGGGAGGAGAGAGGTAGGGGAGAGAGGAGGAGAGGAGAGGTCGGGGAGAGAGGACAAGAGACAAGAGAAGAGACAAGAGAGGAGTGGAGAGAGGAGAAGAGGGGAAAGGAGAGGAAAGGAGAAGTGGGAGGGGAGGAGAGACAAGACAGGAGAGAGGAGAGATAAGAAGGGGGAGAGAGGAGAAATGAAAGGAGAGGAAAGAAGAGACAGGAGAGAGGAGAAGAGGGGAGAGAGGAGGGTTGAAAACAGGAGAGAAGAGAAGAGAGAGGAGAATTCACGTGAGAGGAGAACAGATGAGACAGGAGAGAGAAGAGAGGAGAAGAGGGTGTAAGAAAAAGAGACAGGAGAGAAGAGAGGATTTACCACAGCTTATCAAGCATATCTCTGAATCTCTGAGCGATAAGAACAGTGGAACCTTACACTTATTATCTCTCATTTTGCTTTATTGAATTTCCGCCTTGTAACCAAGTCTAAAGCATTTTACACACCGGCGCCGTTCATCAGAACAGGGTCAGGATCAAGGCCCATCCTATGACCATGTCCGTGATGAAAAACCATGCACGCTCATTTTCCGCCACAATCGCATCTTCCCTGCATCTCTTGTACCGTCTTCTTTTGTGTGGAGCGGGACCATAATTGCAGCTTGACCTATTACCGAAGGAGAAGCTATTTGAAGGCTCTCCAGAGGCTGACTGACTCGGCCGTTTTGAAGAATCGGGTTTCCTTTCAGCAGGCTGTGATGTGGGACCATTAGCCACCAGACCCCATTAAGGTGGTGGGGACTTGGAGGCGATGAGAACCAGAAAAAGGGCTTTTAAACTGCATTAGACAGTGGCCCCAACACATCTGTGCCGTATGGATAAGCCTGCTGCTCTAATCCCATATAAAGCCATGGCCAACCAATCTTAAAGGAACATTTTAAAGAAATCTATGGTCTCAAATTCTAATTAGGTGAAACCAATTTACGACCCAATTAAATTACTAATTACCAATTACTAATGCGCAAAAACTATTTGAAGGTTTGTTTTTAATTTTAATAATAATAAATAATGATAATAAATAACATATTTTATTTTATTTTTATTATTATTGTTTATTTATAACTTAATATTTTATTATTATTTTTATGTATTTATTATTTGTTTCCATTTTTTGTATTATTTATTTATGTATTATTTTTTTATTATTTATTCATTATTAAACTATTTATTGAGCCATTTAGAATAGTGACTTGTATTAGAGGAGTTTTTTCCCCTCAAATAGTAATTAAAATATATTAAATTAACATCAGTAAACCTCTAATATTAAGTATGTGTGTCTGTACATGAGTCCTCTCCCTTGAAAAAGCCAATTAGACGGATATCTTCTTCCATTCTCTCGAAGGCTCTTATCTCCATGGCATTATTGATCATTTCCACAGGGTCCTCCAGCACCTTAAGGACAAACCCAGATAATCATCTTGCTTATCAAACTATTCAACACTTTCTCTGTCATTATCAAACTCACATCTAACAAAAACTCCACCAAGGTATCCGCAGAGAGCTCCCCGTCAAACTCCAGAATCCGATCATCTTTGAAAACGTACAATATGCCCACTTCTCCCAGCCCTGTTGACAAAAAAAAAACAAGCCTTATTCAATTCAAATGAGAGCTACTACACCATGAAATAATGTGAATAATCGTAGCAGCAGCAGAACCTAGTCTCTGTGCCACTTTGAAATCCTTCTGAGCGTCCACCATCCCAAAACCGATGTCTTTGTTTTCCAAGACCTGAGCCGTGAGCTGCGGGCACATTGTACAGTCAACATTCATTCAATTCCATTTATTTGTGTATAGCCTTAAATCACAACAGTAGTTATCTCGGAGAACTTAACACAACTGTTGATTTGCCACCGTAGATCAGAGAATCAAACCGTTCAAACGTGAGAAATGCAAAATGTAGAGCCGTTGGTCCATAAGAGGCAGATGACCAACATCCATAAATGTAAAACACACACATAACACAATCGCACCATCTGTAATACACACAAGTTCACCTGGTTCTAGACACCAGCAGATATGAACTTTACTGGCGTCACGAACAGGATCCTATTGTAGCTAAAGTGGGACCTCATATGGTGTAGTGTATATATAAACATTTTAAGAGTAGGTTGATTCATGGACTAAACTTTGAATGAATAAGCTCCTAGGTAAATGTGGACTCTACTCTGGCTTGCTCCTGGCTGACCCCCCCTGAACAATCCAGTGGAACCTGAGAGTAACCTCACAGCCAGTATACAGAGAGCTGGGATGGACTAGTTTGGGGTCTTGGTCGGTGTCAACTCTCTATGCAACATGTCGCAGCCTAATACTTTAATATATTCTGTTATATCTGTATGTATCTCTTTTATATCTATTGGTTTGGGCCTAGTATGTACAACAACGATTACATTTTCATGATAACACCTATCCAAACATTACATCTCTTCATCCTGGCATTGTCCTGTGTCTCTGTGACGCATACATTATTGCCAGCATTGCCTTTTGCTGGTCCAATGTTAAAGGAAATGTGATATTGCCGACCTGGGTAAACTGTGGTCCCGTTCACATTTCTATGCAGCCCTCAGACCTGTCCTGTGGTGAAGTGAATGAGGACCTAAAATTGCAGGAAAGCCAAAACAAAAGTGCAGGAGAAAACAAGCTCAAAATCCAAAGGAACACAAAAACTAGGAACAGGACGGAACAGATGTTGACAATACACTGGACCAGCAACAAGAGGAGAGGATCACATGGTACGTATAGACACAGACACAGGTGAAACACATCAGGCCGGGCCGTTATTATCATAGCTCCATGGGCGGGGCAGACCATCAACACAGGGGTAAAATAGCACAGGAAGTCAAACTAAACCCAAAGCACAGAGAGCAGATGTCAAAATAAAACCAAAGTCCATATAACAAAACAATTTGTCCAAAATGGCGGCAGTGGCTCAGTTGGTAGAGCATTAGCCTTTGAGCCTGAAGGTCGTGGGTTCGAGCCCACCGTAAGACCTACTTCATGACTCCCACTGATGACTGCTGTCGTCCTTGGGCAAGACACTTAACCCCACTCAATGCTCCGTCCCTTCTTTTAATATTTTGTTCATCATCTAAAGAGTTTTAAAACAGAAGTAGATTGCGGGAAAAATAGCCTCACCTTGTTCTATGGTATTCCACATTTACCGTAACCAAACAATGCCATAAAAAAACACCCATTTAAACGTCATATCTTTATAAGTATTTAGACTTGCACCGTCTATATTTGCCTTCACAACTTAGATTGAGCTTGAAAAGTGTGTTCAGTGTTTTGGAAAAGTGCACTTGAAAAAACGTGTCCAAAAACGTGCAAGGCCGGTTCCAATATGTTGCAAAGTTTGTGGTGGCAAAGCTTAGTCCAAATTGGTTCAGCAAATTAATTGGCTGACCTAGAAACAATCCCACTGATACTTGAGTCACAAAGGAGCACACACGAGGAGTTTGACGACGCTGCTTTGACCCTGTGAGCGTGAGACTATCGAGAACCTCCTCTGACCGCCTTCAAACCATCAAGATGAATATTGGGAAAGACTGTTCATGATGCTTTGTGAGTATTTCTGAAATTCAACAGTGAAGACAGATACGAATTGGACTATTTTAGATATTGTAAAAAATCTGTCAAATATTAGTCTTTTAAGTCCCATCATGTCCCACTCAGATGCAACCAATAGCATTGATTTATACATTTTATTTAAAAAAAATTACACTTTTTACACATGGTCTGTTGTTTTCTGCCCCAATGAAGAAGGAATTTGACTTTGTTTGGCCAGAATAGTGATTGAATCAAAAAAAAAAGCGCTTAGAGGTCCCAATTTTTCCACCCAACTTTATGAACCAAAGCATTTCTACTTCTTGTATTAGTAATGGATTAGTGCAGGTTATTAAGGATAACATGGATTGGATATTTCACTGTGCAGCAAAGTTATCTCCCAGTGCATCATGACAATAGCACGTGTTAAGTTATATTGAAACAAGTAAAATTATATTATTATATGACTTGGATCGTACGCGCGCTCTGATTGGTCTGATATTTTCCCATCTCGGACCGTTACCATGACAATCGGTCCGGATTTGATATCTTTCCTCGGCAAAAAAAGAAGAGATTGACAACTTCGTTACAGATCAGAAAGGTAAAAACACGATTAGGAAAACCAAGTCGGAGATCGATATTTGCATAAATTAAAAAGAGTCATATAATAAAACTTGTATTAACCTCGCTTGCTCGGCCTGTACAAAAAGGCCACGGTCTGACATTTCTCTGAACCTCGCGCTCGTTTAAAAAGCCGTTATTATCATATGTATTCACAGCATGGATGAGTAAAAGAAGTTAGTGTTAAAATTAAACAAAATTAAGATACATTAAGCCAGATGTGAGCAATTTTGACTTATTTTTAATCACTTTTATACAGTTTAAGTTGATTCTGAATTAGCCCATCACCAAAGCTAACCAACAGCCTTCTTCTTGATGCATGGAAACAGAGCCTTTCTGAGTGGAGTTTGCATGTTCTCCCCGTGTCTCTCTCTCTGATCTCGCTGGTCTCTCTCTCCCTCTATTTGATCTCTCGCTCTCTCTCTCTCTCTCTCTCTCTCTCTGGTCTCTCTCTCTCTATTTGATCTCTCGCTCTCTGTCTCTCGCTCTCCATTTGATCTCTCGCTCTCTCTCTCTCTCTATTTGATCTCTCGCTCTCTCTCTCTCTCTATTTGATCTCTCGCTCTCTCTCTCTCTGGTCTCTCTCTCTGGTCTCTCTCTCAGTGATATCTCTCTGGTCTCTCTCTCTATTTGATCTCTCTCTCTCTCTGGTCTCTCTCTCTCTGCTCCGGTTTCCTCCAAGTGCTCCGGTTTCGACCTACCACTAAAAACATGCACAATAGGTCTGGCATGCGCCTCCTGTACTGGCGAGACTGTGGAGTGAGAGACAAATGCCCAAAAAATAACAAACCGCTTTGTGACTCTGGTCTGTGGAAGGCGGTGTAGAAATGATTACTTACTTACTTACTATTCTATTCACACAGTACTTACTATAACTGTATTCGTCTTACCTCCAGGACCAGCTCTGTCATCTGAAAGCGCTTCTGTAGGCCCTTGTGGTTGGGTACGGGCTCGTGGTAGAAGAGGCACAGCAGATCAAACCGTCTCAGAGCCTTCTTGTAGTTGCGTTCATTGATATCCAGCACTCGGTCTTTGCCATCAAAGTTCGGGAACTCCAGACCCTCTTCTGCTCGGCAAAAACGCACATGTCCAACAAAGCAGTATAGCCCGGATAGAAGGGAAAACCACAAATGCAGCATGGCTCTTTGATTGCAGTGAGAAGGGGAAATCAAAGAGGCTATTGAGATACAGAAGATCAAACAGAAGTCATCCACTTTATGATTCCTGATATGACACAACCAATATGTTTCTTTTCTTGTGCCCTTCACGTCTCTCGCCTGGCTCCCCTGCTGTGTCCTTGCAACCTGCCTTCAATCTCAGCTTTTCTCTCTCTCTTCCAGGGAGCTCTAGGTCTCCAGGGGGCCCATTTTGCTCCTCCATTTCACTTCCTGGTTGTGACAATCTCTGTGATAGAATGATAAAGGAGGACATGCATTCACGCTTGAAATGCATTCTTAAATCAAAGGATTGAAGGATCTCAGCTCGCACCATAAGCAGGAGAGTCATAAGGCCATATTATACCTTCCAACAAACACTAGCAAATACTAATAGATCATTTTCTCTCTGGCTGCTCTCTCTTGTCTCTTTCTGGTCTTTCTTTCTCCCACTCTCTCTCTGCCTCTCTCTGCGGTCTTGCTTTCTCTCTGGTCTCTCTCTCTCAGGTCTCTCTCCTTATCTCTATTTGGTCTCTCTCTCTCTCTGGTCTCTCTCTCTCTCTGGTCTCTCTCTCTCTGGTCTCTCTCTCTCTATTTTATCTCTCTCTCTCTGGTCTCTCTCGCTCTCGCTTTTGCTCTCTCTCTCTCTGGTCTCTCTGGTCTCTCTCTCTCTCTATTTGGTCTCTCTCTGGTCTCTCTCTTTTATCTTGCGCTCTCTCTCTCTCTCTGGTCTCTCTCTCTATTTGATCTCTGTCTCTCTCTGGTCTCTCTCTCTCTCTCTCTCTCTCTCTCTCTGGTGTCTCTCTCTCTGGTCTCTCTCTCTCTCTGGTCTCTCTCTGGTCTCTCTCTCTCTCTCTCTCTGGTCTATCTCTCTCTTTCGTTGAGCCTTGTCTATCAGATTTACGGTAATCAGATTCCTTATGCACGTGACCAGGCGCATTACGGTACAGGCTGGAGTCTGAGCAGGAGACCGCAGCGCTCGTTGTTTTTAGCTCAGACCAAACTAGCAAATGTATTTCGACCTAAAATGAAGCCACTTCGGTCTCTGTGTGTTTTACTGCAGCTGAACATTCTTTGTTTCGGACTCATTGGCGCCTCAAGTAAGTGAAAAACCTCACGATGGAAGTTTTTCAAGGCTAGATGCTAAAACAAACAGGCTAACTTTTATTCATTCATAACTTGACGGGCTTTGTGCATGCATGCTGGCTCAACAAGATGATCTTCCAGTCTTTGCATTTATATTTAAGCCTTAAAAATAGCTGATAAAAGTGCTGCAGGTGTGTCATCGGTCATCAAACTGGTCTGACAAGTTAGCGTGATATTATGGCAACATTGTAACACACTGATGACCACAAAGCTTCTTCTCAATGGACTGGACTTCATAAACCCCAAATGCAACAATAAACATACTCGACAATCCTTCTAAAACACAAAACGCATTCAACCCAGAGGAAAGTTTTGTTTTTTAGACCTCCACCTTCTGCAATATAAACTGGCATAAAACATGGCTGTAAAGGATGTTTTATTATTAATAGAAAATGTTTTATTTTGACACTTCCTGTCTCAACCGGAAGTTAAGTGGCTCGCGCAACATCAGACGAAGAAACGTAATCATCAGTTCTGGCTTCAACTACACATTCAACTGGACTCTACAATGGCATTACCGTTTCCATTCCCCATCAATAACAAAATACGAGAATCTCATCTCAAAATCCTACACAATATATATCCCACAAATGCGGAAGTATCAAAATTCATGAATATAGATCTTATTATATAGAACTTATTCAACATGTATTCTACTCATGCCCACTCATCACACTTTTCTGGCAGGCTATAAGTCAATTTCTATCCCAAAAACTAAATACCGCCATAACTATCTGACAGAAACGTTATCATTTTTCCCACCAAAGCAATAAAATCGAAAGAATTGCCAACATATTCATATTTGGCAAACACTACATACATAGAAGCAAATACAACAAAACCAAACCATCCTTCCAAGCAGTAAACTCCAAAATTAAATCTATAACCCTTATAAACAGCAAAAAAAAAACAACAACTCCACAGTCAAATTATTCGAAACCTTAATACATCAACTATAAAAACTCCCATTAATGCCCCATATATTCTAATTTTCAATATTTACTTTCTTGATCTCTAATAACAGTCATTAAAGTCATAAAATCCTATATAATTCCTTTTTCTTACCATACCATTTGTTTCTGTATATAATGTAAATATTGTGTGTCTTTGTTTTCGTTACTCTATGTTTTCCTTGTATATGTATATTTGTCTTATTTACCAAAAAAAAAAATACACAACACACTGATAGTTTTATACAAGACAATCCCACATATTTCGTATAATGAATGACTGCAAATAAGACTAAAATGTGTGTTTTTGCTTTCTTTAGACAATAGATGGAAAGAGATTCTAGATAACATTGCGCACGCCATCAGAGCATACATACCATGCAACTCAGATAAATGTGGTTGTCATGTAAGGTTAGTAATCACAGTTATGGCTCCAACAATACAGGCTGCAGTCAGTAATATTTGTATATGTTTTTGTGAAATTGCAGTGTTCTCCAGGATGACTTGCGACCATTTAGAGGTGGAATTTCTGAAGATTTCATGGCGTCTACTGTCAAAAGAGGAGTGGGCACACATTACCAGATAATTGACCACACATTGTACAGAGAACACAACTGTATGTTTCCTGCCCGGTAAGAAGAAATACCCATATGCAATCATTTAATTTATATTGGTCATCTAACATGTCTTTCTCATTTAGATGTAGTGGAGTGGAGCATTTTATTCTGGAGGTGATTGACACACTGCCGGATTTAGAGATGGTTGTTAATGTCCGAGATTATCCCCAAGTGCCTAACTGGGTACAACCGACCCTCCCAGTCTTCTCTTTCAGTAAGGTTAGGTTTGCCTGCAAGACTAGTCCCAAATAGTTGAAACTCAATTAAAACATGTCATTTTGTCTGCTCAGACCTCTGACTACCAAGACATTATGTATCCGGCATGGACGTTTTGGGAAGGTGGACCAGCTGTTTGGCCCATATACCCCACTGGTTTGGGCCGGTGGGATTTAATGATAGATGAACTCAAAAAGTAAAGTTTAAAAATATCTATGTTTATGTACCATTAATGAGTGAGCATTGATACTAGGTCTTTTTTATTTCTTTTTTAGATCTGCCTCACAATGGCCATGGGAGAAGAAAGAGTCGAGAGGTTTCTTCAGAGGCTCTAGGTCATTAAATAAACTCTTTTCAAAGTGATTTGTATTTACTACATCTAAAAAGTAACCATAAACAATCCTTCATCACCATTTTCTCAGAACTAGCCCAGAGCGTGACCCTCTCATCTTGTTATCGCGAGAATCCCCGGAGCTAGTGGATGCGGAGTACACTAAAAATCAGGCCTGGAAGTCAGAAAAGGTGAAATATCACTCTAAATATGACTATTTATAGAAAGATGATTGCTATTTATTTTTTAGGACACATTGGGTAAACCTCCTGCTAAGGAAATTCCACTTGTTGATCATTGCAAATACAAGTAAGGATCACTAGCTCCAACGTTAAATCTGCATTTCACTTTTATGTTTTAATAATGTTTGTATTTCAGGTATTTGTTCAACTTCAGGGGCGTAGCAGCCAGTTTTCGGTTCAAACACCTCTTTCTCTGTGGCTCCCTGGTGTTCCATGTTGGGGATGAATGGCAGGAGTTTTTCTACCCACAACTAAAACCATGGGTGCACTATATACCAGTCAAACAAGACTTATCGGATGTCAAGTAATAACCTATACCACTATAAGATTAAGATGTAATTTGGGCCGACTTCTGTAACCCAATTTTGTTTCCAGGGTTCTTCTTCACTTCGCTAAAGAGAATGACGCAATTGTACAAGATATTGCTTTGCGGTAGGAATACTGTTTAACTGAGTGACTTGTTTTAATTGGTGTTACGTGATGAGACTGGCTTTGTTATTGTAGAGGGAGGCAGTTCATCCTTGACCACCTCAAAATGGAAGACGTCTCGTGCTACTGGAAAGAGCTTCTCACAGAGTACAGCAAGCTCCTCACATACAAGCCAAAACGGAGAAATGGCTACAGTCAGGTCCTCAACAAATCTAGAAGAATAGAACTTTGAAAATGATCCGATTGAAAGGCATTAGCAGGGAACAAGACGTGATATTATCTTAAGAAATTGCGATAAAAATAGTGGAGACAGAAGCACACAACATACGGTTAAAATAAATAAATCCGTGAACACTAAGGAAATGGTCATAACATCTGATTCTTATCAAAATCACAAGGCTGGACAAAAGGTCTGCTTAAACTAATTTGAGCAGTGAGGTGAGATACGGCTGTGTTTTCCGTTTTAAGAGGACAGAATCAGTTTTACATTGTTTGTTCTCAAGCAGCAGTGTCCGAGTTTTGTTTATCTATTTGCATCAGGCCCAGGTTTTGCAGTGCCACTGATTAACGAAAGGGAGAACTGCTTGTTTTTTAGTGCCTTCTACACTCATTCACTCATTTTGCCGCCTCATCTATGCATTGACTTGCAAATCCTGTCCTAAAATAAACCAATATTCAACATTTTAACCATTTAAGAACATATTACATAACAAAATTGCAGGTAGTTGTGGGCTTGTAAGCTATCTATAATTTTTAATACTATTCAATATGTAAACGATTTTAGGTGAAGCCAAGTGTCAAAGGGGGAGGAACTGATTGAACAATATTTCTTATTTTTTCTTGACTAAACATTTTTCCATTATTTCAGTTTGAGTGGGAAAGGTGCTTTTTGGGAAACTTTTTTTATTTTCAGCATGTATAAAATAATGAATACATAAAACACACACGAACCAAATGATGTATAATTATAAGAACATGTAAGAACATGAACACTTCAAGTATGTGAATATGTTGTAATATTCACATTGTGCCATGTTTGATTCATCGACCAAAATGCTGTGATGTTTTTTTTAATTATTTTTTTTATAAAAGGTTCAAGACAAAGCTTTAAGTTTGTGTTTTGAAAGAATAAAGACGTTCTGGAATACTAATGTGTTTTATTCAATTGATTACGAGACCGATGGGCCTGTGTCTCGACGCTAAATCCCTCTCCTGCCTCCAACTGGTCCAGACGCAGCAGCCAGACTTCTCACTGGTTTTAACAGAAGGGAGCACATCACCCCTGTCTTAGCGTCCCTCCACTGGCTCCCTGTGCGTTTTAGAATTGATTTTAAGATCTTACTGATTACTTTTAAAGCTCGTTTAGGTCTGGCACCAAGCTATATCTATGAACTTTTTACCCCCTACGAGCCCCCCCGCAGCCTTAGATCCTCGGGCAGGTCCCTGTGACTGTTCCAAGGTCGAGGCTCCGGACGAAAGGTGACCGAGCCTTCTCTGTCCGGGCTCCTCGACTTTGGAACCACCTGCCCAAGGAGATGAGGCTAGCTCCATCAGTATCCTCTTTTAAATCACTTCTTCAAACCCACTTTTATCAAACAGCTTTTAACTGTTAGTTTTAGACTTCATGCTGTATTTTAATGTCTGCTTTGTCTTTGTTGTGTCTCTCTTCTGTTTTGCTGTCTGCTTGGTTTTCCTGTATCTATTGTATCCAATTATTTTGACTTTGCATTATGACAATGCTGACTGTGCAGCACTTTGTAAACATTGTTTTTAAAAGTGCTATACAAAAAAAGATTATTATTGTTATTATGATGAAAAGCAGGGTGACAGTAGCTCAGTTGGTAGAGTATTGGCCTTTGGGCCTGAAGGTCGTGGGTTCGAGCCCACCGTAAGACCTACTTCACGACTCCCACTGATGACTGCTGTCGTTGTGTCCTTGGGCAAGACACTTAACCCTACTTTGCCCAAAGCCCCAACTGAAAGATCTCAGCTCCTGTGGACTCACCACCTGCAGGAGGATTAGTGAGGGGCTGGTGCTCTGTGGACTGGGTGCAGCTCTGACTGCCGCCCCCCCCCCGACCCAGAAATGGATTAAGGCAGGGGTGTCATTCATACGGCCCGCGGGCCGGAACCGGCCCGCCAAGAGATTTGACACGGCCCGTGGCTCATTTATGTAAAAATATAATAAAGTTACATTTTAAAAAGCCGCTCCGCGACGCGAGGCTCCGCGCCGCGAGGCGCCGCGACGCCGCAGCGCCGCGCTCAGGGGTGAGTCCAGTGCGTCTGTAGTGGCTCCACCAGAGCGGTGCTGAAGGAATAACATCTTAAACTACAAGACTCGGCGAAAAATACGGCACTTTGAGCGAAGAATTGAGAAAACAGAAGATAAACCTGTCTGGCCCTGAAGCCACAGCAGTCTGTTTGTGCCCAGAGCGAGAGGTTAGTTCTGCTGCTGTAAAGGGAAGCTACCTGTGCTAACAACATTAGCATTAGCATCGCAGCCGCACAGTGAGAGAGAGTTTGTTAAAACTCTCACAGGCTGCAGACATGGTCTGAGAAACCACTCGCTTTTACCAACATGTTGCCATTGATAAGAGACTGATGTTACTGATGTCACATATTCATTTGTGGTGTTACTGAAACTATCAGAGGAGTTTTGAGCGCTGCTGCTGGTACTGCTGCTGGTTCTGCTGTTGTTGCTGGTGTGTTGGACAGTGTGGACTGGTACCGATGGTAAAAACAGGTGTAGTGACAAAGCTGCAAATGGAGGTGATGATTTTTGGACATTTGACTGTATTTTACACAAAGACACTGCTGCAGTCGTTAAGAATAGATCACGTTATGGAAGTTGTTTTATTCATTTCAAGTGAATCATGGTCAGTTTGATGCTTTCTCTGTGATAATAACATAACCATGGACCTTACCATACATGGGCGGCACGGTGGCTGAGTGGATAGCACTCTCGCCTCTCAGCAAGAAGGTCCTGGGTTCGAATCCCGGCCGGACCAGGGCCTTTCTGAGTGGAGTTTGCATGTTCTCCCCGTGTCTGCGTAGGTTTCCTCCGGGTACTCCGGTTTCCCCTACCACTAAAAATATGTCCAATAGTTCTGGCATGCGCTTCCTGTACTGGCCCCGCTCCCATCTCTGTGTGGAGTGAGAGACTAATGCCCAAAATTAACAATTGTAAACCGCTTTGAGACTCAGATCTGCAGTGAAAAGGCGGTATATAAATAATAACTTACTAACTTACTTACTTACATACAGAAGATGGTTAATGTGATAATAACATAACCATGGACCGTACCACACTGAAGATGGTTAATGTGATAATAACATAACCATGGACCTTACACACTGAAGATGGTTAATGTGATAATAACATAACCATGGACCGTACCACACTGAAGATGGTTAATGTGATAATAACATAACCATGGACCTTACCACACTGAAGATGGTTAATGTGATAATAACATAACCATGGACCTTACCACACTGAAGATGGTTAATGTGATAATAACATAACCATGGACCTTACCACACTGAAGATGGTTAATGTGATAATAACATAACCATGGACCGTACCACACTGAAGATGGTTAATGTGATAATAACATAACCATGGACCGTACCACACTGAAGATGGTTAATGTGATAATAACATAACCATGGACCTTACCACACTGAAGATGGTTAATGTGATAATAACATAACCATGGACCTTACCACACTGAAGATGGTTAATGTGATAATAACATAACCATGGACCTTACCACACTGAAGATGGTTAATGTGATAATAACATAACCATGGACCTTACCACACTGAAGATGGTTAATGTGATAATAACATAACCATGGACCTTACACACTGAAGATGGTTAATGTGATAATAACATAACCATGGACCTTACCACACTGAAGATGGTTAATGTGATAATAACATAACCATGGACCTTACACACTGAAGATGGTTAATGTGATAATAACATAACCATGGACCTTACCACACTGAAGATGGTTAATGTGATAATAACATAACCATGGACCTTACACACTGAAGATGGTTAATGTGATAATAACATAACCATGGACCTTACCACACTGAAGATGGTTAATATGATAATAACATAACCATGGACCTTACACACTGAAGATGGTTAATGTGATAATAACATAACCATGGACCTTACCACACTGAAGATGGTTAATGTGATAATAACATAACCATGGACCTGACCACACTGAAGATGGTTAATGTGATAATAACATAACCATGGACCTTACCACACTGAAGATGGTTAATGTGATAATAACATAACCATGGACCTTACCACACTGAAGATGGTTAATGTGATAATAACATAACCATGGACCGTACCACACTGAAGATGGTTAATGTGATAATAACATAACCATGGACCGTACCACACTGAAGATGGTTAATGTGATAATAACATAACCATGGACCTTACCACACTGAAGATGGTTAATGTGATAATAACATAACCATGGACCTTACCACACTGAAGATGGTTAATGTGATAATAACATAACCATGGACCTTACCACACTGAAGATGGTTAATGTGATAATAACATAACCATGGACCTTACCACACTGAAGATGGTTAATGTGATAATAACATAACCATGGACCTTACACACTGAAGATGGTTAATGTGATAATAACATAACCATGGACCTTACCACACTGAAGATGGTTAATGTGATAATAACATAACCATGGACCTTACACACTGAAGATGGTTAATGTGATAATAACATAACCATGGACCTTACCACACTGAAGATGGTTAATGTGATAATAACATAACCATGGACCTGACCACACTGAAGATGGTTAATGTGATAATAACATAACCATGGACCTTACCACACTGAAGATGGTTAATGTGATAATAACATAACCATGGACCTTACCACACTGAAGATGGTTAATGTGATAATAACATAACCATGGACCTTACCACACTGAAGATGGTTATTGTGATAATAACATAACCATGGACCTTACACACTGAAGATGGTTAATGTGATAATAACATAACCATGGACCTTACACACTGAAGATGGTTAATGTGATAATAACATAACCATGGACCGTACCACACTGAAGATGGTTAAGCTGAGGTGCTGTGTTTAAGTGCTTTTTTCTATCTACCTACTTTACCTTTGTGAGCAGGTTTTCTCTGTAATGAGCCTTAAAACAAAGCTAACATACAAATATTAATATATACATATTGTGAAATACCATTTTCAATGTAATATTGTAAATACATTACATTATTTGTACTATGGAAAACTCACTGTTACATTTAAGTTTGTAACAGAAAACTGAGTATTAAAGGACAGTGTTTTAAAGGAAGTTTTAAATAAATGTGTTTATGTGCACAAAAAGTTGGACTTTGTACCGTTTTTGGATATTTTTGTAGAGCATCTCCTGGTCCGGCCCACTTGAGATCAGATTAGGTTGTATGTGGCCCCCGGACCAAAATGAGTTTGACACCCCTGGATTAAGGGGAAGAAAATGGATGGATGGATGGATGATGAAAAGCTCCTAGTCTCTTCCCTTGTTCTTCCTTCTCTCCCCTTTGTGTGGTTTAACGATTGAAGTTAGATAGAATTTGTTAACCATGGTGTGTTACAAGTACTTGGAGCTACCCCTGCCTCAGTCGATATGATAATAGGTTTATATTATCTGAAAAGGCATCGATGGAAGGTGTATTCAGATCATACATTCAGATGCAGTTAGGTCCTCCGGCCGCACGGGGCGCAGTTGAGCTTAGCGCGTCCCGTGGAGGTCGCCGGTGACAGAAGAGACACAGTCCGTGAAGAGGACGTCTGTCTATGTTTATCATGGATCAATAAGATGTTTAGAGTCTGTGCTCTAAACTGAAATATGTAAATTTTCTGCTGTTTTTCTCATTTTCCCTGTGACGTCACACCACTGCATTCTCTCTCGACGAGGCTGCGGTGAGACTCTCATTTTTTTGCCATTTTCAATTATTATGTCACATTAGCGTCATAAGAATGTATTATGTTGCTTACATTGTCAGAGTTGTAATATTTTTTAATTTAATATTTTGTTTATTACGCTACAGAGCTACAACAGTTCATTCCCTGCAGCCTGTAATCAGCGCACGTGCGTCACTGGATTGGACCACAGACTGTAATTATTAGTTTGACATTGTTTTATTTACAAATATATGGTGTAGACTCGTGCACAAGGACAGTTTCACTTTTTCGGTTCTCATGTATTTTCATCCTGCAAAAGAGGCCCAGTGTCAATGTGTCCTTAGGCAAGACACTTCCCCCACCTTAGAATGAGTCTGGTGTGTGTGTGAGTGGTTGGTGGTGGTCAGAGGGGCCGATTCAGCCAGTGTGCCCCATGGCAACTTTGGCTGCAGTAGTTGTCTATCGTCATGTGTGGAGTGACTGAATAATGACATTTGAAACGTCTTTGTGTGTTCAAAGAAGTACTATATAAAACTGATTATTTATTATTAACCAACTTACAACTTTAAATGTTCTAATAATATGAATTGCATACATGACTTCTGCAGATGCAAACTTGCTTACAGTTCCATATGGTGTGGCAGTGCACCCCAAACAAACATCTGCTATTTAGGAGGAAGACTGCCAGATTTCCCCAACTTCTGGCAATTAGTTTTATGGTTAGGAGTTTGGAAAGTCCTCCTAACCAAGGGCCATGTGTTCTGCCTCTGCCACAGTCTGATGCCAGCTGAAGCATGATGCGCTGTGGACCCTAGAGACAGCAGCAGACTCAGGCCCCGGGGACTCACGCCACACCGGTTTAATACAGGACATGATGAGGAGTCCAGTCTCCTCCCTTTTCCCCATGCTGCATGCGGCTGAAGGAGAGGCTGTCCAGGCTCCCAGCTCTGCACCCAGGACCCTGCCAGCCATCATGGGGAAGCCTGAGTTTCCAGACACCGGGTGGGACCGCATCAAGGACCTCTTTGAACGGCAGTCAGTGTTTTATGCTTTTAGTAAAATTATGTGATTTTGGGCTGTGCCAATGAGATAAAATGCAACAATTCAAAAAAAAAAATCAAACTACTGGTCAAAAAAGACCATCATACATGTTATTCAACCTGAAAGGACAATTGAAAATCACAAAGGGGAAATGTAAAGAAATAGACGACAGAATATAATTATATATAACCAGAATATTGTAAAGTTAGGATAACCCCTTTTGCTTTTGTCCTTGTTGTTTTGTCTCCACAGCCCCACACAGAAGTATCCAGAGGAAATAACCAACATAGTTAAAAGTGGTGCGGTTGCAGCTGTTGCCGGTCTCTTTTACGGAGGTTTGCCAGCAGCCAGAGAAGCCAGGAAGCGCTACATCCAAGTGAGCCAGGCTGAGATGTACACGGGCCGTGTGGATGCAGTGGTGAGTGGAGCAGGACTGATGTCAAACTGTGGCTTTGGTTTTTATGTGTTTGTTCTATTCAGCGATCTGCTCACAACGCGGCCATCAGAGGCTTTGTGAGGTATGGCTGGAGGTGGAGCTGGAGAGTCACTGCTTTTGTGACTTTGTTTAAGTGAGTATTTGAACGGCTTTGATCGTTAAGTAGGTTTTGAAGACCACTGTGTGTAAACAATCACTAATATTTTAACATTAAACATTATTCCTAGCACTGTGAGCACTGGCCTATCAGTTTACAGAGACAAGTCAACACTCAGCCACTACGCAGCAGCTGGAGGTGAGTGGTCAACATTTATTGCACTATACATTTTATAAGTTGCGTATTTAGTGACAGTTTATAGATGCTTAACTCTTATGACATGATATTCTTGCTCATTACTCAGTACAATTGTTGTTGTCCCTTGCAGCTGTGACAGGAGGCTTGTTCAGACTGAACTTGGGTCTGGGGGGGCTGCTGGCTGGATCACTCATTGGCACTGTCCTGGGGTAAGGCTGCCCTCATTGCTGAAGCTACACCAAACTACATAAAACACAACTTATTCAATTAAGATATTTGAGTTTGATCACAAATGTGTAACTGCACATTTAAAACACATCATTTGAACGACTTAAGCAGTGATGTGCATTAGTTGTTCGCTCATGCTTGTGCGTGTGCGGTTTTGCCTGTATGCCTCTGGTAGGCAGCTGTGGCCCTCCCAGCGCCCCTCTGTGGGCCAGCTGAACCCCTCCTGCCCTCCACCTCCAGCAGAGCAGGGGGAGCCAGAGGGCTCATGTGCAGCGCAGAAGGCGGCGGTGGATATGAGAGACAGATCTGCCAGAGCAGCAGCTGTCTTCTCTGTTTCACCCGTGTCTGAGTGTTGCTGCTCATGGCCACGACCTGCAGAGGCTTAAAGTTACTTCAATGTTCCCACCCTCTCAGTCCTGTGTCCCTTCTGTCCCTGTGGCCTCTTCCAGCCCAGTGCATGCTGGGCTAATGCGTGTGGAGAGTGTACCGGACTCCAGGGCCTGGTTTGGACTGTTTGTGATCATCAGCTTGTTGTTGGCTTAGCCCGAGTCCTCTCCTCATGTTGGCCTCATTCTCAGATTAGGCCTCTTCCTCTTGTGTCTGCCTGACTGACCAGCCACCTGGAGCTTTTGATGTGTGCAAACTGCCCCATTCTGCCAGGTGCAGTCAGGGGGCAGACAGGAACGCAATCAGAGTGGGCAACTAATCGGAAAACACATCATGCTCTAGATCTCAGCCCAAAATCCCCTCCTCATCTGGGCTGGAGTTTTCATACATTAGGACATAGAGTAGGACTGTAGAGGGTATTTTTGTCACACTCAACTGTTCACATATCAAAACTTTTATCAGAGTCATGTCAACTGCTTTATTGAAGTTAACAGTAATTACTTATCAGGATCCCTGCTGGTTTGATGATTATCAGCATGCAGTCTCTGTCTGGAGAAACAGCTCGTGAGAGGAGACAAAGAGAGCACAGAGAACTGTACCAATTAAAACTTTCAGAATGGTAAGAGTATTCATTACATATATGCACTTGAATTTTTACACAAGGTTCTTAATCATCATTTATTCTTGAGTAACCATTTTTATCCAATTTTTCAGGGAGGCACGGCTGCGTCTGACTGATGACCTCATAGGAGATCTTAAAGAAACATCAAACGTTCTTGAAACGACCAAAGACCTGCAGAGGATAGAGGAGCTGCTCAGTTCAGCCCCAAACACCCCTTCATCTAATGATACTGTTAGTTTGCTGGAAAATGGGACTTCACACAGCTGAAAGTCACTTTTCTGAACTACTAGATTAATGTAACACGTGGTCCTCTTATGGACACAGTGGGTATTACATCTGATGTGATAAATATATTTCTCTTCAGTATTTACATGTAAGTAAGTAAGTAATCTTTTATTTATATACCGCCTTTTCACTGCAGATCTGAGTCTCAAAGCGGTTTACAATTGTTAATTTTTGGGCATTTGTCTCTCACTCCACACAGAGATGGGAGCGGGGTCGCCAGTACAGGAGGAGCATGCTAGAACTATTGGACATATTTTTAGTGGTAGGGGAAACCGGAGTACCCGGAGGAAACCTACGCAGACACGGGGAGAACATGCAAACTCCACTCAGAAAGGCCCTGGTCCGACCGGGATTCGAACCCAGGACCTTCTTGCTGAGAGGCGAGAGTGCTATCCACTCAGCCACCGTGCCGAGCCACATGGACTCTCCAGGTCCAGGAAGAGGCCATTGCAGGACTGTGTGGAGTCAACTGAGGTTCAATGTATTTGGCAGGATAGAGTTTTGTGAGTTAAGTATCCATGGACTGCTAAACTTGTGTTTAGAGTAAGTTGATTTTCTTCAAGTTGTATCCATTTGTCCAACATTGTTTTTGTTTTATGATGGAAACTGAACTATCATCTTTTATCATTTTAAACTGAAATCAAAGATTCTTTATTTTAATAAAATATTCTTGCGTTGATTGTTGCTCATCAGCTCACCTCAGTTAAACTGTATGTTACTATTGCTGAACGTGTTGGTTTTTCTGTCATGAGTTTACCTCTCGGGCTTTTCAGAAACTAGGTCAGACAGACACAGGGGCCCCTGGTGTAAACAAGATGTGACACAGCAGCAGCTGTGGCTGGGTTTATAACCACAGTGACGTCAGGCGCAGAGATGGCTCCGGACAAATCAATGATCAGGTATGATGTCGACGTGTGGAGCCAAAATGTTTCTTAAAAACCACATTGTTCTCAGTCATTTATTGCACCCAGAACTGACCTGAAAAGGTCCTTCTCTTAACAGAACTGACTCCATTTAAAACACTTTCTATCCCTGGCTTCCCTCTAACATTGCTCTAAGTTTGTTTTGCTTGTTCTTTTATGTTTATTGGTTTTTGCTGTCCTCTTATCTCTTATAACATTCCAGAGCTCCACATTTTTGTTTCACACCAGATTTAACCCTTGTGCTTACACATGGGTTTATTCCAGCCTTTCTGACCCTTTTAGACCCTAATTTAAGGTGTTTTTCTTCTACCTTTAAATCACTGTTGGGTTATTTTGACCCAAGGTTAAAAGAAATAAATGAAAAAAAAAACATTTCTTCTAAAGGGTGAACATTTGCGCTGCAGTCGTTTTTATTACTGGATTTAATCATTGTGAAATAGTTTATTTTAAGAGATGCCGTCTCTTGTGGTAATTACTACACAGCTACTTCAATGTAATATATTGTGCAAATTAATTTTCAAATGTGGGATTTAAAAGGTGAAATGGTTTTTGATTGAGTGATAATAATTCTAAAAAAAAAAAAAATTAAATAGTGGAGGTAAGAGGGTAGCTGCTACCACCTATAGGTTACAGTAAGAATCACCCACATGTTTCTCTATTTTCTAACTATTACTCTTAGTATTTACAGTCTGTTTATTATCATTTTATATCCATTATGCCTTGATCTTGTACTGCACCGTCTCTTTTTGGCCTTAGGAACCAAACAGAACCTGTGAGGAGATGTGCTTTAGTAACGAGCACGTGGCTGATTTCTTTTATAATCTTCTCTCAGTGCAGGTCAGGCAGGTTAAAACATAACTACATGAGTCTTGAAGACGTGCTGCGTTTACGGTTTTAATGTGGGGAAAAGCTAATGATTAATAACCGGCGTTGAGTGCTTTGCTCAGTACTTTGGCATTACCTGTTTACAGTATATATGGGTTTTATACTGCGGCCTTGGTGTTTTATTAACTGATTAAATAGTGGAAAGCAATATATTAGTTATTTAACCGACTGAAACCACAACGTGATTGAAACATGGGGTTTTCCACTTTCATAATGCTGCGTCTGCGTGTTTGCTTGTTTTAATGGTATGATAGTGTTGAGGCGGATTTGTGAAAATATACATATATACGTTTAAAGTTTACCATTGTGGGTGTTACTCGGTTACAAATACCTGCAATGATAATACATTTGCCTGGACGAGTATAAGTTGTCGTTGTTCGGAACAGTTTATTTGTGTCCGTGACAGCGCAGGAGGCGGGGCCGCGTCTGCAGCTCCACGATGCGGCTCTTCCTTTACCCGTGAATGAAGGCGTCAGTCCGGGGACCAGGACACCATGACCAGTGGACAGGGCTCTCCGCTGGCGCACGCAGGCTGCCTCTCCAGACTCTTCCTCTGGTAACTTCACTCTGCTCAACACTAAATAGAACTCAATGATCCCGATGCATGGCACTGCTCGTCCAATCCTGAGCCGGGAATTCACGCTTTGTTTCACTTTGGAGTCTTGTACCTGTCTGTTTATTCTCAAACCGAAACATCTGATGTATTTTTTTATTGCCCTTCTGTTATTTAAACGTTGCAGGTAAATATGCTGCTGCATTACGTTGTTGGCGTTTATGAAAGTTATTACACACAGGGGCGTTCCAACGGTACCCCGGGGCCCCAAGCAAGAGTCCTTGGGGGCCCCGATACCGACCACATAACCACATAAAAGGGTTTATACTACAGTAGGTATAAATATATATTTAATAATAAGGTAATATGCAATATCTTTGACTTCCATCCATCCATCCATTTTCTTCCCCTTAATCCATTTCTGGGTCGGGGGGGTGGCCAGAGCCCAGTACACAGAGCACCAGCCCCTCACTGATCCTCCTGCAGGTGGTGAGTCCACAGGAGCTGATATCTTTCAGTGGGAGTTTCAGGCAAAGTGGGGTTAAGCCATATCTACATTAATATAAATTAAATAGAATAAATGTATAAGCCTGGGGCCAGCCTGGCACACTGTACAGTCTGACATAGAACATCATGACGCAAAGCAATGAGAAATAATTTTGCATATAAGCTAGTTCACTACACTCATGTTATAATTACCGTTCTTGAGCAATCTGTCATAGAACATAATGTAAAGTCTAATCCAAAATACTGCTCCTACCCGGATTTGAACCTGGGCGTTGCAAGTGTTGCATTTTAACCACTAGGCCACCTTTGCACGCATACAGACCGCCCCAGAAAGGCTTTTTAATTGTTATTAAAGAACGTGGCAAGTTTCGCATCAGAAGAAAAGTTTTTATCCGCCAACTCTCCACTGCAGGTAGCTGTTGTAGCTTGTACAAGTCGAACGCTTGTGTCAAATCAGTCGGCCCTCGGGGGCCCCCTTCCGGTTTGGGGGCCCCAGGCAGCTGCCTGCCCTGCCTGTTGGCACGGGACGCCTCTGATTACACAAGTATATAAACATGCACACTTACGACCCTACTTGCACCTTCCCTAACCTGATTTGTCCTGCTCGTTTCCATGGAAATGTTGCTGCTATGGCCATTACTCGTGCACATTTTTATACAATTTTGCAAATAACTCGTTGGAGCTGGTTCATAGTTTGCATCGCATTGTGACTGATTGACTACATTGTCTTATTGACCTGGATGTCTGACATTTGTATATACAAAGAAACCTCCATGTCACATTATAAACACTCATGGAACATGATATATGTTCTGATATGTATTTGAGCAGTGATACATGTAACTGGAACACAACAGGAACATTCTGCACGCAGGACACGTCACCAGTAAAATTGCACCATGACTGGTTATCGCTCTAAAAAAGTACAAAAGACTTCCAAAGATAAGATGAACCTTTGTTCGACCCTCTAATCTTTCAACTATCATCATTAACTGTTGCAGCTGGTTGTCTCCGTTACTGGGACTGGGAAAAAAGCAGCGTTTGGAGGAGAACGACATGTACAGTGTTCTTCAAGAGGATTCCTCTGAAACTCTGGGAAAAGAGCTCCAAAAGTACATCTTATCATGACATGACATGTCGTGCAGACTTATTTTACATGCACATCATTCATTTCTCTCTGCAGTTTATGGGACTGTGAAGTCAGAAGATCTAAGAAACAACTCTGTGAGCCCAGTCTGACCTCTGTGATTGTGCGGTGCTACGGGGCGTCCTTTTCTAAGGCTGGACTCTTTGTCTTGTCTTTGGTAGGTCTGTCCTTCTGTTCCTACAATCTTCATTTATGATTAAATGTTTTCTTTATTTTCATTCAGGAATGTATCAAAGTCATCCAGCCTCTTTTGTTGGGGAAAATAATTGAATTCTTTGAGAATTATGACCCCAGAGACGAGCACAGCCTGTCGCTGGCATACGCATATACAGCTGCCATCTCTCTGTCCACGTTTGGCCTGACGATCCTTCAGCATCTGTACTACTACCACACCCAGAGGATTGGGATGAGGATCAGAGTGGCTTTGTGTCACATGATCTTCAAGAAGGTACTGCAGCAGCTTCTCTTTTATACATTCTTCCTGTTTAACAATTTTGTCAATTATTGACACTAGAACTAGAACAATGTGGCTGAAGGGTCATGCCTATGGACCCTGGTGAAACAGTCTGTTAGAGACCATATCTGAGGGCTTGAAAAAGCTGGCATAGTCACTTATGGTTGACATGTCGTGAGGTTATTTCATAACAATGACTTTGGCTGCTGTATAAACCCAAGTTTATGTGACTACAGTTATAATTCACTAAACAAGTGCACGTTGTGTTTAGTTAAACCTGTTTCTACTCAGGCTCTTCGACTCAGCAGCGAATCCGTTGGAAGAACCACAACTGGCCAAATCGTGAACCTGCTCTCGAATGACGTGAACCGGTTCGATGAGGTCCGTACATCTCATTATTTTACTGTCCCTATCAGGGTTTGTTGATTTGATTTTGACTATCGCCCAAATGCAGATCCCATTTGCTGCTTCTATAGGTCTTTTCTACATTTTAATAACTTATTACCTTGGGACAACAGTTGGAAACGTTTTAACCTACAGGAGCTTCATGCTTGTTACTCTGTCATTATGCTAAGTATGGTCCCTGAACATTCTGCACCAAAGTGTAACTTTGTAGCTTTATAACCTCCTTCACCTGAGCCACATGTGACCTACATGCAGGGCTGGGTAGAATACTTTGAAATTTCACTGGTGATCCAGAGTTTGTGCGTGTAAAACAGATGGTCTGGGTAAAAGTGTATATCATTAAGGACAACAAATAAAAACAAATGACTTTGCCATTAACATTAAAAAGAACGAAGATCAAACACAAAAGACACTTACAAACAGTACAAGACAAAGAAGAAAGAACAAAAGAAATAAAAAAGGCCTGGTTTCTTCCAGAGCCTACAGCGGACTGTAATTATTGGTGCATCTTCATTGATTATCTTCTAGCTACTACTAATGGACAGAGGAGGTGAACAAGCTCATAAACAGATTTTTGACACTCTCAAAACCCGCGTCACAGCTTTATGAGGGCACTTGGATTTGTGTGATGCATGCTCAGCATGACTTGGGAACTCGTGTGTCCTCAGATCACTCTGAACCTGCACTACCTGTGGCTCGGCCCTCTTCAGGCTGTGGTCATCCTGGTGTTGTTGTGGTATGAGATCGGTCTGTCCTGTCTCGCTGGAGTCGTCATCGTGCTGCTCATGCTGCCTGTACAGACCTGGTTTGGGAAGCTCTTTGGCCTCTTCAGGTAGATATGACTAAAACCCTCTAGGCTTGTGTCGTCCTCAGTCAAACGTAACCGTTGTCGTCTTTTCAGGAGCAAATCTGTGATCTTAACAGACCATCGAATCCGGATAATGAACGAGGTTGTGACTGGCATCAGGATCATAAAGATGTACGCCTGGGAGATGCCGTTCTCTGCTCTCCTCACCGATGTTAGAAAGTGAGTCATGCTACAATGATTATCTAATCTCCTGTCATGATACATTTTCTTAAGCACCCATATTACGCTTTTTGGCATAATATTTCGCTATTTGGCCTTCATACACATGCCCAGAGTAGTTTTTCCATTGATTCCCTCAAGCTTTAGATAGAGGTCAATCTTTCTCTTTCATTCTCGAGGCACAGAAATGAGTTGTTTCAAAATGTAACATGCATCAGTGACGTGAAAAGTCCGCCTCCCAGAGGTGATTGACAGTTGGGAGAAACTGAACTATTGAATCAGTGCATCCTAAATACATGTCTGATTTTTTTTCTGTTAGTTTCATGTCAACTTGGAGAAAATGTGTTTTTGGTGTAAATATGTGTCGAGACTATTTGGCCCGAAGACAGAGAATGAGGACTTTGTTCACTGGGATCTGCCTCGAATCTGAGAGTCTGAAATCCACAACCAAACTCACTTTTTTGCAAGTGAATGCAACGGCACCAAAAACTGTTCCAGAACTACAGTTACCTTGAAACGGGACCTACTCAAAAACTGATCTGAAAACATGGTGTTTTTCCAACATAAGACGCTAAGAGGGAGCCTCGGCTTGGAAGTACAGTGTCACTAACTCACTGTGAACTAAATAATTAGGGTCTGATTCTGGTTCGAGGACATAGGGCTCTATGTGACAGATTGACATTGTTGGAAAAAGTGTATTCTCTGAAATGACTCTAACGGGTAAGGAATAGTGACACGTAAAGGGCCTTTGAGTGTCCGTAAAGCATATAAAGTACTATATAAAACCAGTTATTATTGGTGCAGGGGTCAAACCGGTCATCGAAGGAAATGGATGGGTTAGAAGTCTGGTTTGCTGAGCTTCTACTAAAGTATAAAAAAACGATTGTGTGTTTTACAGAAAGGAAATTGGTGAAATCATGAAGAGCTCCTACCTCCGCGGTCTCAACATGGCCTCCTTCTTTGCCAGCAGCAAGATCATTGTCTTCTTCACATTCATGACTTACTCTCTTTTGGGGAACGCCATCACAGCCAGCAGCGTCTTCGTCACCGTGTCGCTGTATGGGACCATCAAACTCACCGTGACGCTGTTCTTTCCTCTGGCTGTAGAGAAGGTCTCTGAAACTCGCGTCAGCATCTCCAGGATCAGGGTGAGCTCCTTTGGCTTTGTTCTTATCTATATATTTGGTTTCAGAAAGCTGCTGGTTGGTTACTTTGATCGCCACAAAGTCTGTTTCGAATATCATTTATCCAATCTGGAGTTGGATCACTAAAAACCTGCACTTTATGAATACTATTTTGGTCACCTTACAGTTTGTCCCGATGTACAGATGTATACATACAACTACTTCTTGCACTAGAATATACAGTATTTTAGAATTGCATCTCTATTGTGCTAAAGTCATAGATAGATTTTAAACTTAATTTTTGCTTCTTTATCATTCTAGAGTTAAAGATTTTATTTTAGTATAGTTATTGTTCACTGATCTTGGGCTATGTGCGCCTCAGTCCTATTGTTCTGTAACTCGTGAGGCAACGCCGACATTTCCCCTCTGGCACGAAATAAGAATCTTGTAATCTTTTATTAGAGCTGAATTTAACTCTTGAATGTCTGTAATCGCTGCTTGGTGTTTTTATGTGCTTTGGGCTAAAGAATAATTTCTACCACTGTTGAAATGGTATGAAATGAGATATCATACTTAAAATGAACATCTGAAACTGACTAATTGTGTTGTGCTAATACAGAATTACCTGCTGCTGGAAGAGGTTGAGAGACTTGCCGTTTTATCTCCAGGAGAGAAAGATTTCCTTGTTGAACTTGACAACGTCACATGCTACTGGGATAAGGTCAGTGGCTGCAGCTAAACTAGTTTCTTTGCTGCTTTGATGACCATGAGGACTGTTTGTGTGTTAATATTCCCCGTGCAGACTGTGGACGCGCCGTCGCTGCAGAATGTCTCCATCTCTGTGAAGCCGCAGCAGCTTCTGGCTGTCATTGGACCAGTGGGAGGCGGAAAGGTAAATGAATATACTAAGATTAAAGTGTAAGTAGTTTGTCTCTGAAAACAGCCCTAACTCCATCATCTGGATGAGCTAGACTGTTATGTAACCTGAAACCACCTGTCCAGAATTTGTCTGGGTCTTATGGCCCTTTAACCTCAGTGTCTCTGTCTCTCCGCAGTCCTCTCTGCTCAGTGCCATCATGGGGGAACTTCCTGGTGATGCCGGAGAGCTGACAGTCAGAGGAACACTGGCATACGCCTCTCAGCAGCCCTGGGTCTTTCCAGGAACAATCCGCAGCAACATCTTGTTTGGGAAAGAGCTGAACCTTCAGAAGTACGAGAGGGTCATCAAAGCCTGTGCGCTAAAGAGGGTCAGGCCGAACACTACTTCACTTCTTATCTCTGTGTAGAAGTTCTTGTTTACATGTGTGTGCTGTGTGGGTAGGACATGGAACTGCTCCCTGATGGAGACTTGACTTTAATTGGAGACAGAGGAGCCACTCTGAGCGGAGGGCAGAAGGCACGGGTCAACCTGGCCAGGTATTTGACCACTTCAATATTGTACGTTGTGCATAGAATTCAGCCTGCAGCGCTGTCATTTCAAGTCGTATGATCAGATGTGGAGTAACAACACTTTATCAGAATCAGAATGATCACTAGTCAAAAAACATTAACCTGTGTTCCCAGATATTAAGCAAATGGATGGATTTAAATCTACACAAGTATATCCCTGCTTCATGCCAAGATTGGAATGAAAATAACATAAACATAAAGAAAACAAGCTAAAAAAGTCCAGTAAAGAATTGTCTCTGTGAAATTGATCAACACAAACGATTTCAATGGCACAGTGACAATTGTTCCTGTGCTTTTAGCTTGTTTTATTACTCCAGGTGCACATCGTTAAAGTAGTATGTGTTTTTAGAGCCGTGTATCAGGATGCCGACATCTACCTCTTGGACGACCCGTTAAGCGCCGTTGATGCAGAGGTTGGAAAGTTTCTCTTTGATCAGTGAGTTCACAATCACTCCTCAGTTTAATGTCACAAAAATACACCGCGAATAATGTTGCTCCCATATTCCTGGGCAGCTGCATCAAAGGATTACTGAAGCACAAGTGCCGCATCCTGGTCACTCACCAGCTGCAGTATCTGAAAGGAGCAGACCACATCGTTGTTCTTAAGGAGGTGTGGGCACAGAACCTGTCAATGTCAATGTAAGTGAAGTGCAAGGATCGAAGCAGTCTGTGAGAGTAAGTGTCTGTGTGTGTGGCAGGGTATCATAATGGCCCAGGGCACGTACACGGGCCTGAATCGATCCGGGTTTAACGTGGTGTCTCTCCTGAAGAGCAACGAGGACCTGTTGTCTCGTGCCGTTGAGCCAGACAAGCATTCTATCAAGAGTCGAACCACAAACCACTCCAACAACTCTCACAGCAGCCTCCTGCAGCAAGACAGCAATGCGCTCCCAGTAGGTGTCATTTCATAAAGTGTTTTTGTGCCAATAGTTGTCCTCGGGCTGTTGGGTTTGGAGTTTTGTAACTGTCCTCTGCACAAAAAAACCACCTGTTATATATGTAAGAGCTGTTATTATGTCTCACAGCAAAGGCATTTTAGTCTTTCCAATGCACACTTTAAGAATATACATCTTTGAACTTTAAACTGTACTTAGAATCTTTTGCCAAGAATTCATTTGGAATCTGTTATTTACAAATTTAAGTACAAGTGTAGTGCCTCTGTATAATCTGATTATTCTTCAGAAATTCAAAACATGCAGGTTAAAGAATTAGAAGCAAAGAATTTAAGGCTATGGACACCTTGGTTATTGCCTGGACTAAGTATTATTGTTCTGACCGTCGTTGCTTCTGGAATCAATATCTTAAATATCTGTCATTAATAACTGGAGGATTGATGTCTCTGTTCTGATGCACATTCATAAAAAAGGCTTCTCTTAGTCGTCTTTTGTTCTGTCTGGAAGAGCTTAAGAAATAAACGTCCAGGTGTGATCGCTGCTACCTCCGTCTCATTTAGTGCATTTTAGAGTAGTAGAGAGTTTAGTGAATTCATTTCTTTCCTCAGGGCGTTGGATTACTCAAAACAAAACCTTTCTCACTGATATCACAGTTTTAAACACATCCAGTTAAATGTACCCAACGACTCCAAGAGAAAAACTTAGTAACCTGATATGCTTTGGTAGCGTTTGCTCAGCGATAACATTTTCTTTTGCCTCTCCCCAGGTTGAAACGGTTCACACCATGACAGAGGAAACCCGAGTGGAGGGAAATGTCAGCAGCGAGGTGTATGTGCGCTACTTCACTGCCGGCTGCAGCTGCCTGGTTCTCCTGGTCATCGTTCTGCTCAGTGTCGCAGCTGAGGTGAGGCCCATTCAGAGGTGGAAAAAGGAGAATTCTGAATCACCGGAGTTTGGAAAGGCTAAAGCAGTTCGGTCACTGATTATCACGTCCCTTAAGCTGCTTTGCTTTAGCTGGAGAAAATATTTGCAGATTTTCCTCTTACTGGTATAACACAAGTGCAAACTGTTAAAGTGTGTTTTTGCTCGACAATAAACACAAGATACACTTTATTGATCTCACATGGAAAGGGGCTCTACAAATAAATATGGATTGTATTTCTCCAATACTGGGCAACACAAAACGTAATTGGGTAATTAAAAACACTGGAATCACTCATTACTTCACGGTTCCTGACTCAACAGGGACTAATCCTCTGAAGGGTGTTTTGTGGCTGTGTGGCTTCAATGTCTATGTGAAGCTACCATTTAATTGGATAGGTCGTTGTGCTCTGATGACAGCTTCAGATCACTCTTACATCATCTCTGCCATTCCTAGATCGCGAGGTAAGCGCGATTTTGCTGCTCATGATGCAGTTTGGGGGACAGACGTTCCAGATGATCACAAACTGTGGACCAAGCCAACAAAAGTACTTCTCTCCTTGTTCCCCCAGGTCGGTGTAGGGAAGGTTATGCTTAGAATGGAAACCTTGAATTATCGGTTTTCAAGTTTTGTGAATTCAACTGTAACTATTCTAGAGGCCAACAGAGTAGAAGTAAATGCGTTGCGTGCCGTTGCTTTACAAAACAGGATTGTTTTGGATCATTTGGTTGCCTCAAGTGGAGGTGTTTGTGTTTTACTTAATCAGACCGCTTGTTGTACTTATATTCCTGATAACAGTGCCGATGATGGGATCATTGCACAGGGTATTCGAAATCTAACCACTTTGCGCGATGCGGTTAACCGTGATTTTGTTCTAGATGCTTCATGGTTTTCAGACTGGCGAGCGTGGTTGGTTCAAATAGGTACTGGACTTGGAGTAATATTAGTACTGCTAATAGTGCTGTCATGTTGTGTCATTCCTTTGATCCGTTCATTGATCCGACGTATGATCTCGTCGACACTCGTTCAACACACTTCTCTTAACCTGCATGTTGACTGTCTTGATGAGGACAGTGATCCATTTAGTGAGATGTTACTTGATGATTTTGAGTAAATTGGTTTGTATGTCTAACCCATTTTATGACGGATTTTCTTAAACCTACTAGGTGTGAAAGTTTTGATGTTCCGGGGTTTATTATATTTTACTTATATTTTACTTATATTTTACTTATATTTTACTTGATATATTTTATTTCTTATATTTTACTTATATTTTACTTATATTTTACTTGATATATTTCATTTACTTATATTTTACTTATATTTTACTTATATTTTTAGTACTTGATATATTTTTAGTACTTAATAGCATGTGTGTGATTGATTTAAGATAATCAAAGGGTGGATTGTCATGGCCAGATTCCCGGCACAAGATATTCTAATCATTTAGGTCGATACATGCGTCTTCTTTCCCATGCGTCTGAAACCCGCTCCCCATCACTGTTTGAAACATTAAGACAAAGGCTGCTTGTCCACGGTCCTCTTTCCCATAACCTTCGCCACCATCTGCATGGGCCTATCTCAAATGTTCTTACAGCGTGTTCCTTCTTATCAAATTCGAAGGTCCTTTTCTGCGCTTAATGTATCTCTCTCCAACTTTCCCGTCTGCAGCTGCGTATGACTCATCTCTCTTGTGACGATGGTCCATTGTTTTGTCTGACACACCTCCAGTATAAGATCATAAGACATGTTTGTTGGGGGGAACAGACAGACGCGGCATCGCTCCAGGTCCCGCTTCTGTTTGACTCTTTTCTGCGCAGAAAATGTCATTTTTGTACTCATCACTTCTGTGAATAAAACTGCACCAAAGGACAAGTTTGTTTCCTCTCGGTTTCATTCATTTGAGGCAATAGAATTTCCATAACACAATGCAGAGCTGACTTTAACCTGGTTTAAAACTCACGAGTGAAGTTGGAGCATTGCAGGTGAAACACGCACGTGAATATTGAGATAGTGACACAATTCTCATAGTTTTGACTTTTTTCCGTAAACCAACAAATGTGTCAAACGTTCGCTGGTGTAAAACAGTTTGCGTGTCGATTCCAGCCTGAAGTCCCACCGGCTCAGACCAGTTCCATCCTGCTGCGGCCGTCCCTCTGTTACTAGTGTTCAGTTCCTGCTTGTTCACGAGGAATGTTCTGTCTGTTTCAAATGCCGCTCCATAGCTTTCAGGTTGTGGGATGGATTTGGCCATTGCACAACAGTCTTTGATTCTGAAGGAAAGTGCATACAGTACATACCAAAAGTTTGGACACACCTTCTTATTCAAAGAGTTTATTAGGTTCATGTTTATGAAAATTGTAGATTGACACTGAAGGCATCAGAAATATGAATTAACTCATGTGGAATTATGTACGTACTAAAAAAAAGTCTGAAACAACTGAAAATATCAGAATGATTTTTTGTGTGCAACAGTCAGAGAAAATAGAGTTACAATTACTATATACAATACAGTGCACAAATGTCTTATATTCTGGTTCTTCAAAGTCGCTCCTTTTGCTCTGATACTGCTTCACTCTTGGCATTCTCTGGACGAGCTTCAAGAGGACCTGAAATGGGCCGAGTTCCCACAGATGCTTTTCTTGTAGAGCAAGAGTGAGATTGACGCGCACATCCAATTCTAAGTTGCGTGCAAAAAAGTCGAAAATAGATCAGTGAAAATGACTGCACAGCTTTTGCTCCCAAAGAGAGGAGACGTTTCGTGTCACTACTCTTCATCAGACATGACTGGTGTCTGACGAAGCGTGCAGCGTCATCTCCATTTTATTTCCCCACAGATGCTTAGCACTTGTTGGCCCTTTCGCCTTCACCCTGTGGTCCAGCCCCAAAACCATCTGGATTGGGTTCAGGTCCAAAACCATCTGGACTGGGTTCAGGTCCAAAACCATCTGGATTGGGTTCAGGTCCAAAACCGTCTGGACTGGGTTCAGGTCCGGTGACTGGAGGCTGGGTCATCTGTCCCAGCACCATCCCTCTCCTTATTGGACAAACCGCCCTTACACAGCCTGGTGCGGGTCTACAGTCAATAGTCATGAAAAGAAAAGACACTCATTGAATAAGAAAGTGTGTCCAAACTTTTGGTCTGTTCTGTAAGTTATGAGAGCGTTGATGTTACCTTAATGAGAGACAAATTAGAGTTATAACATTGGATTTTAAGGGAATTAAAAACACTTGTTGGGACAATTAGCCAGGTGTTTGTTATTTCATTTCTTTAGGCCTAACTTTACAGACGTTTATATCTAACCCATTTTAACATAACGTAAATGCTGTGATAATGTAACTAATGTGAAATACTTGGGTCCTTGGCGCCTCCTCCTTCCATCTGTCGTGTCCGTGTGTCTCCACAGGCTGCGTACATCCTGCAGGACTGGTGGCTGGCCAACTGGTGAGTCCTTCTGCTGCTTTTCTTACATAAACCATGTGACTAAAGGTGAGCAACGTCAGCACACATGTTTTGCAGTTATGATCATACCATTTAGGAATATGTGTTCCAGTATAATCTTTCACAAAGGCTCTTCGCTAGTTTTTTTGGTCCTGGTTTTTTTGCCTGTATTTTCATTGAAATTCAAGGCTAACACACTATTGGCTGATCAGTACACTTTCTCTAAGTAGGACTAATGCAAACAGAACAATGAGAATGGAGCTATGGAGGAAAAGTGTAGTGGTGCTGAAAAGGTTCCTACACTCTGGATGTATTGACACACTAAGATGCAGGCTCCATGTGTTGTCATTGCACAGGTCTAACGGGCATGAGAAGAACACGACCGAGCGCATTTCAAAAATGAGCAACCACACGGCGCCACATCAAGAAAAAGATCTGAATTTCTACCTGGGCGTGTACTCAGGTGATGTATCCTCTCAGACGCATCCACTGTTGACCAGATGCATCGACGTCATCCAGTCACGTGATCGTGCATGAGCGTACGCCGGAAGTAGTAGAAACTAGCATTAGCATTAACATTGCAGCGAGAGCAAACCGGACACAACTCTTAAAAACGGAGCTTTCTCTCCTAAAACGAGAAGTGGCTGCTTCAAGCACATGTTTGACGACGTTATTAGTGGAAGTAGGACATCAGGTCAGGGCTCACAAAGAGCTGTATTTGGAGAAGTGAAGGATCGGTGATCGGTGAACTGGATGTTGACCCGTACCTTCTCCCACAGTCAATTTTATCCATTAAATGAAATGTCCAATTTTGCCCGAATTCACCCTACATGATCTTTACCATTATGTCGTTAACAATGCATCCCCTCACACTGGAGCAGATTTATATGTACATTTTGCTGCTAGCATTAGCGCATTAGCAATAGTCCACTTTTCTGTGGCTTTTCTGTCTACAGCCAAACATGATACGTACTGACGGGGAGGAAAATAGTGAAAAACGCAACTTACGTCTAAAATAAGAGATCCTTTAATCGTGGCACAGTGGGGAAATGTCAATGTTGCAGCGCACAGACAGGACAGTAGTAAGAGACACGTTTCACTTGTGTCATTGTCCTCCAAATGAATGGAAATAAAATAAATACAAACTTGTGATTTTATTTTGTAAAAAGTGTTCACTGCAGATTAGGGAGTACTTGGATGGCTCAGTCCTTTTGGTTGATTGTCGCCATCGTCGTCTTCAGTCTTCATGACGAGCAGGTGTCAGATAAAAACACATTTGGCTTTCCGCACTGCACAATATCACAGGTTTGGCTGTAATTGGTTTTGATCAGGTTTCCGTAGGCTCGCAGTTAGACTTCCGCCGTCTGTCATGGAGAGTGGGCGTGGCCGGGACGTCACATGCACGGGGTCAATAACATAACATATACTAATATTCTTCTGAACTATAAAAAAGTCCTTGTGTTCCGCTCGCAGGTTTGACCGTCGCTGCCGTGTTCTTCGGATACGCCCGGAGTTTAGTGCTGTTCCATGGTTTGGTGCGGTCCTCACAGAGCCTCCACAACAGCATGTTCAGTGTGGTGCTGCGGTGTCCGGTGCGATTCTTCGACGTCAACCCCATTGGTTCGTTCCCGGTCTGTTCCACTGCTGTAGACACGACTTTGAGCAGAAACACACGTAACACACGGCGTTCTCGTATTTCAGGAAGGATTCTCAACAGATTTTCCAAAGACATCGGACAAATGGACTCCACGTTGCCCATAACTTTTGTGGATTTTTATCAGGTACATCGATTATTATATTTTTTTAATATAATTCCTTATTTCTCTGCAACTGTCAATGTGTTGTATCGCCACAGAACATTTTGGCATAAACTAAAAATAATTCTCCGCACACAGCAGTTCTGAACTTCAGGACTGTTTAAATAAAGCTCCTCTGTGAGTGCCTCGAACCATACTGTTGATTCTGTCTCTGAAATAGATTTCTCTTGAGACTTAACTTGTGACCTTTGTGGAGAAAACACTGGTGTCTATTCAAAGCTGTCCATTTAAAGGATACTTATAGTTGGGTTAATCTTTTGTACAAATTGTTTGACTTTTGCATTATTCTAGGGCTACTCCATCCACCACAACACTTTCTTTTTGACTAAGTAATCCACATAAAGATACATTCAGTCTTGAGCGTTTTGTCTTTTGTGCTCAGTTATGTCTGCAGAATGCTGGAGTGGTCGCCGTGGCTGCGTCCGTCATCCCTCTCATCCTGGTCCCAGTCGTGCTTCTTCTTCTACTGTTTTTGTATTTGAGACGTTTCTACCTCCAGACCTCGCGGGACATTAAACGCCTCGAGGCCACCAGTGCGTTCCACCAAGTCGTTATTGTTGTAGGCGTGTCACAACCGCCTGAATAACTGTGTGTGTGTGTAGCCCGTAGCCCAGTGTTCTCGCACCTGTCCTCGTCTCTTCATGGCCTGTGGACGATCCGCGCCTTCAAAGCCACCGACAGATTACAGAGGCAGTTTGATTCTTACCAAGATGTTCACACAGGTTTGGCATTCTCTCTCTCTCTCTCTCTCTCTCTCTCTCTCTCTGTCTCTGTCTCTCTCTCTGTCTCTCTCTGTCTCTCTCTGTCTCTCTCTGTCTCTTTTTTGTCTCTCTCTGTCTCTGCGTTTTATGAAACAAACTCAACATAAACACGAAAGACACAGAACCGCGTCAGAGCGTTCTCCATAATCAGGGGTGCACATAACTTTTTCAGTGAGGTTTTCAGATGAGGACCAGGACGTGGTGTTTGGTACTCATTTATCACGCGGTTCTTAATCGAGATTTTATACATGCTTCTTTTTAATGCTGAAATTCAACGTCTACAGAATGATTGATATCTTGGCCTCTTGCAGATAGAAACATGTGAATTATTATAATCCTTCAGTAGAATAATAAAAATATACAACTTCCACACAGGAAAGGTAATAAAACAACCAATAATAATGTGAGACTAACACATATTTCTCAAAACAATAAGTCAAAAAGAGTTTGGCAATTAAGTGGCACTAACTATGTGGAAAAAAATATTGAAAAAAAATCCACTCTCTGCCTAAAAAAGTCAAATAATGACTCACAGGGCTCTCACAGTTTCTCCCGGGGTCAGAACGGAGGATGTTATTGCACCGCGCCCCACTATTTGAGAAGGACTGGTCCATGTGAAGTACGCAAAAGCGCTTTCTAACTCAAGTGATAGTACGCATTTCTGATATTTGTCACGCATGCGTACCTGTGTACCCCTGGCCAAAATCCAATATTCAATAGTGGATTTGAAATAAAAGCAAACATCAAAAGTAGTAGTAAGTAATGTTTATTTATGTAGTGCATTTTACAGACCAAGGTCAGACCCAAAGCTCTTTACAATGTTCAGAGTCAGATATTGTTCCAATCCTTCCACACACAGTGATGACAGAAGCGAGTCCAGAACACACTGGACCATCAGCTCCAACACCATCCATTCACTCTCTCATTTACATTCAGACCTACTGTGCATGTTTTTAGTGGTAGGAGAAACCGGAGCACCTGGAGGAAACATACGCAGACACAGGGAGAACATGCAAACTCCACTCGGAAAGGCCCTGTTCCGACCGGGATTTGAACCCATGACCTTCTTGCTGAGAAGCGAGCGTGCTAACCACTCAGCCATTGTGCTGCAATTCTGACATAACGTTAGAAGGCATTACAAATTAAATGCAAAAGATGAGCCATAAACAAAGCCTAAAAATGTTTATCCTTGAGTATAAAAATAAAGATTGATTGATTGATTTTATTCTGATTTTGAGCGTGGCTTCCCCTGGGTTTGGGGCTGACCCTGGGTTTGGGGCTGACCCTGGGTTTGGGGCTGACCCATGCCCTGGCTCCTCTGGGTTAGACTCTAAAGGTTTGTCCGTATCTTTAGGGACTGAGGTGACTTCCTGCTTGGAGTGTGTAGACGTGTTCCCTGCCGCTCCGCTGCTTGCTTCGCTTTGTAATCTCTTTTTAATCGCTTTATTTACATTTTTATTCTACAAAACACGGATTACTCATTCTGCAGACTTCAGCTTTGTGAAATGTGTCAACATTAATCATGTCCGGACGGAAGAAACAAAGAATTATCTGCGATGGGTGCTGCACTCTGGAAAATCAGCTGAAATTTCTTCAAAAACGGATGGATATTTTGGAAACAGAAATGGGACTTAACCCGACTCTTCCAATGTGTGAAAATGGAATGAATGGACAGACTGGAAATGTAAGTTATGATGACGTAATTACTTTTCCCAAAATCAACAAAGAGAACTATTGGAATAAATGCGGCGCTAAACCCAAAGTTGACAAAGCTAAGAATGACAATGGGAGTGGAATTCTGCCACGAAATGTTTGGAAAACTTCAAATCGTTATGCTGCTCTGTTTGAAGAAGCAAAGCCACAGTCTGTTTCTCCCCTTCCGTCAAGGCCACGGTGTTTTCTGCTTGGAGATTCTGTCATTCGGAATGTATCTTTGAACTTTGTACAGACTCATTCTGTGCACTCGGCCAAAGTGTCTGAGATAAGAACTCTGGTGCCAAAAGTTTTATCTCAGACCAAGGGTGTAAGTACATTGCTGATACACACAGGGGCAGTAGACATTCATGAGAAATCCACCGAGAAGTTGAGAAATTTTTCTCTGCTGCTGGATGACCTTAAAAAAATAGAGTTAAGGGTGCTAATCAGTGGACCCATTCCAAATGCAGATGGAAAAATCGAGAAGTTTAGCCGTCTGTACCAGTTAAATACATTTCTACACAATGAGTGTTCACGCAGAGGACTTGGATTCATTGAAAACTTCAATCTGTTCTGGAATAGGCTCGAGCTCTTTGAAGGGAAAGGCCCACATCTGAACAAATACGGAGTAAAAGTGTTGATGGATAACTTTGCATCTTCCTTTAAGACCTGAGCCTGCGCAGCTCGTTCAGCCGTTGAAAGAGAGGAGGATACAAAGGGCGAGACCCTCTCCACGGAACCCAGAGGTCTCTCCACCTCCACCGCCTCAAAAGAACTCAACACGTCCACCAGCATCATCATCAGCAGCGGATCCAGCACCAGCAGCAGCAGTGGCTGCCACAGCGTCATCAGCGCCTTCAGCATCAGCACCACCAGCACCAGCTGTGGCTGCTGCATCATCTTCAGCAGCACCTTCCCCACCTACAGCTCCCGTGAGGCCCCTCCCATTGCTCCAGGCTACAGACAGGCCTGCACTGGGGGCCTCTCAACCACCTCCGTCTCCACCAAAGACTCCCTCATCACCTTCCATGGACCCGTTTGGGTCCCCCCCCGCCACATCCACTCCATCTAAGGAACATGAGGACGACCTTTCCCTGTGTTGTCCATCACTATTGGATTTACCGGAGCACTCTGCAGGCATGATAAGATCGGCGATGAAGACTATTCCTCTCACACCCACTGTAGCCAGATCAAGAGTCCTATCTAACATTCATAACTACTCCCCATACCAAAGTCACCTAGGGCGTCCAACTCAAATTCACCCGCAAAATCCACCGGTCCCTCCCCTAACCCCAAAACCATTCCAGCCCCACCCCCCCCTCGTTTAGCCAACCTCCTCCCTAAACCATCACAAAGAACCCCTCCACCTCCACTCCCCCCTCGTCCATCTCCCAACTCCTGCCCCTCCCCTAACACCCATCCACCTCCAACACCCAAGAACCACCCACCTCTCCATCCTCCTCCCTCCTCTCCCTAGGATGCACAGGGTCTCTGCTTCGCAGCCACTGGCAGTCTAGGTAGAGAAGAGACCCGGCTGGGGCCCTGTCATGAAGCCACCTGTGCCATTCCCTTAGTGATAACACAAAGAATACATAACAGAAAAACACCTGAAGTTAGTCAATCTAATCTGGAAAATCTAATTCTTCCGTGTAAAAATCAGCCGACCACAACCGCTGACACTGAATCCTTGAAACTTGCTACGCTAAATGTCAGATCTCTTTGTAACAAGTCTTTTTTAATCAATAATTTTATTTGTTCTCATAATCTTGATCTTATGTTCATGGCTGAAACTTGGCTTGACCAAAATACAGAAAATGCAGTTTCAATAGAAGCATCACCACCAAATTTCAAATTTGAATCTGAAATACGGGGAAACAAAAAAGGAGGCTTAGCTGCTATTTTTAGAGACCACTTTGTCTCCCATAGCATGTCTCTTGGGAAGTTTTTGTCATTTGAATATGTGTCTTTTAAAATACAACAAAAACAATCTCCTCCAATACTTTTCGTTGTCCTATACAAGCCACCGCAGTCATGTCAGTTTTAGTGATAATTTTACCAAGCTGCTTTCAGTTGTATGCACAGATTTTGATAGTTTAGTTATTACAGGTGATTTTAATATTCATGTGGATAATGTTAATGACAGAAATGCAAAAGAGCTGAGTTCTTTACTTGATACCTTTGGTCTCACTCAGCATGTGAGTGGCCCCCACCAGAGGCACTCTAGTTAGTTACAAAGGGGTGAATATTTCAAATGTAAACGTGGTACGATGTTGCGCTTTCGGATCATTTCTGTGTATTTTTTTGACATGTTTTCACTAACAAACCACCAGTGGACTCTGCAACTGTTCGAAGAAGACACATAAATGAAAATACGAGTGAACTATTTATGGGAATGATAAACTTTGAAAATGCATCGTATTCTACTGTGGATGAACTGTTCTCTGTCACCTCTAGTGTTTTGAATGTTCTGGACACCATCACTCCTGTGAAGGTTAAAATAGTGAAAAATAAGCAGAAGGCGCCGTGGGCTAAAGCAGACTCGGTCAGGGCACTGAAGAGAAAGTGCCGGAGGGCCGAGCGGAAGTGGCGCAAGTCCAACCTCCAGGTTGATTACAAGATATTCAAGGATAAGTTGTGTGAGTTTAACCGGGTGCTACGTAGTACGAGAGAAAGGTATTTTTCTGAAATGATTGAAGGCTGCTGTAACAATCTGCGTGTTCTGTTTTCAACAGTTAATAGATTAACAAACCCCCCTGTTCAAATGCCATTAGAGCTAACTTCCAAACGTAAATACAATGAGTTTGCACACTTTTTCAATGACAAGGTTCAAGGCATCAAAAACGCCATTGTCTCCAATCCACAGATAACCATCCAACAGCCTGAAAGGCTCTTTGAGCTAACTCACTTTGCACCTGGTAGAAGATAAAAATGTCCAAGAGATAATCTCCAGTTTGAGCTCCTCCACATGCAGCCTGGATGTACTACCCACTAGATTTCTGAAGTCTGTTCTGAGCAGTCTGTTACCTTCACTCACACAGATAGTAAACATGTCCCTTAATTCTGGAATATTCCCAAAGGCCCTGAAAACGGCAGTCATCAGGCCCCTGCTAAAAAAGAGCAGTCTGGATGCTACGGTACTTAACAACTATCGTCCCATCTCAAATCTTCCATTTATGGGGAAAGTCCTTGAAAAAGTTGTCTACCTACAGCTTACTAGATTTCTTATAATCAACAACTCATTTGATATGTTTCAGTCCGGCTTTAGACCCCACCACAGCACTGAGACTGCTCTCGTTAAGGTTACAAACGATATCCGGCTGAACACTGACGCAGGCAAAGTCTCAATCCTAATCCTGTTAGATCTAAGTGCTGCCTTTGACACCGTCGACCATGAGATCCTTTTACAGAGACTAGAGGACTGGGTTGGCATCGCTGGCACGACCCTAAGTTGGTTTAGGTCTTACCTTGAAGACAGGAAGTACTTTGTGGAGATAGGAAACTGTGTCTCAGATCATATGGCCCTGACCTGTGGAGTCCCACAGGGGTCGATCCTGGGACCTCTTCTGTTCAATCTCTACATGCTGCCGTTAGGTCAGTTAATACGCAGAAACAAAGTGTCCTATCACAACTATGCAGACGACACTCAGATCTACAGTGCCTTGCGAAAGTATTCGGCCCCATTGAACCTTTCAACATTTTGCCACATTTCAGTCTTCAAACATAAAGATATAAAATTTAAATTTTTTGTCATGAATCAACAAGTGGGACACAATCGTGAAGTGGAACAAAATTTATTGGATAATTTAAACTTAAAAAAAAAATAAAAAACTGAAAAGTGGGGCGTGCAATATTATTCGGCCCCTTTACTTCCAGTGCAGCAAACTCAGTCCAGAAGTTCAGTGAGGATCTTTGAATGATCCAATGTTGTCCTAAATGACTGATGATGATAAATAGAATGCACCCGTGTGTGATCAAGTCTCCGTATAAATGCACCTGCTCTTTGATAGTCTCAGGGTTCTGTTTAAAGCGCAGAGAGAACCATGAAGACAAAGGAACACACCAGGCAGGTCCGAGATACTGTTGTGGAGAAGTTTAAAGCCGGATTTGGATACAAAAAGATTTCCCAAGCTTTAAACATCTCAAGGAGTACTGTGCAAGCAGTTATATTGAAATGGAAGGAGTATCAAACCACTGCAAATCTACCAAGACCCGGCCGTCCCTCCAAACTTTCATCTCAAACAAGGAGAAGACTGATCAGAGATGCAGCCAAGAGGCCCATGATCACTCTGGATGAACTGCAGATAACTACAGCTGAGAGAGTCTGTCCATAGGACAACAATCAGTCGTGCACTGCACAAATCTGGCCTTTATGGAAGAGTGGCCATTTCTCAAAGATATCCAATAAAAGTCTCTTAAAGTTTGCCACAAGCCACCTGGGAGACACACCAAACATGTGGAAGAAGGTGCTCTGGTCAGATGAAACCAAAATCAAACTTTTTGGCCACAATGCAAAACGATATGTTTGGCGTAAAATCAACACAGCTCATCACCCTGAACACACCATCCCCACCTCAGCTGTAGTTATCTGCAGTTCATCCAGAGTGATCATGGGCCTCTTGGCTGCATCTCTGATCAGTCTTCTCCTTGTTTGAGATAAAAGTTTGGAGGGATGGCCGGGTCTTGGTAAATTTGCAGTGGTCTGATACTCCTTCCATTTCAATATAATTTCTTGCACAGTGCTCCTTGAGATGTTTAAAGCTTGGGAAATCTTTTTGTATCCAAATCCGGCTTTGAACTTCTCCACAACAGTATCTCGGACCTGCCTGGTGTGTTCCTTTGTCTTCATGGTTCTCTCTGCGCTTTAAACAGAACCCTGAGACTATCAAAGAGCAGGTGCATTTATACGGAGACTTGATTACACACAGGTGCATTCTATTTATCATCATCAGTCATTTAGGACAACATTGGATCATTCAAAGATCCTCACTGAACTTCTGGACTGAGTTTGCTGCACTGAAAGTAAAGGGGCCGAATAATATTGCACGCCCCACTTTTCAGTTTTTTATTTGTTAAAAAAGTTTAAATTATCCAACACATTTCATTCCACTTCACGATTGTGTCCCACTTGTTGTTGATTCATGACAAAAAATTAAAATTTTATATCTTTATGTTTGAAGCCTGAAATGTTGAAAGGTTAAAGGGGGCCGAATACTTTCGTCAGGCACTGTATGTCTCACTGACTGCAGGAGAACATGGACCAGTGGACTCACTCCTTCACTGTATCCAACAGATCAGTGAGTGGATGCAAAACAACTTCCTTCAGCTAAACGCAGACAAAACTGAAATGATTGTCTTTGGTCCCCAGAAACAAAGGGAGAGCGTCATCTGTCATCTACAGTCTCTCTCCCTAAAACCTTCAAACAAGGTCAGAAATCTAGGGGTAATACTGGACTCAGACTTAAATTTTAATAGCCACATCAAATCAGTAACATCAGCAGCTTTTTACCATCTAAAAAACATTGCCAGGATCAAAAACATAGTGTCTAAAGCAGACCTGGAGATTCTTATCCATGCATTTGTCTCCAGTAGGTTAGACTACTGCAATGGCCTGCTCACAGGTCTGTCCAAACAGGCTGTAAAACAGCTGCAGTACATTCAAAATGCAGCAGCTCGAGTCCTGACTAGAACCAGGAAGTACGACCACATTAGTCCGGTCCTCAGGTCTCTGCACTGGCTTCCTGTGGCTCAGAGAATAGACTTTAAAACAGCTCTGCTTGAGTACAAGTCTCTCCATGGTCTCGCACCAAAATATATTAGTGACATGTTAGTCCCATATGAACCAGCCCGGACTCTGAGGAGCACAGGGACTGGACTCCTGTTAGTGCCCAGAGTCAGAACTAAACATGGGGAGGCTGCTTTTCAGATTCATGCTGCTAAAATCTGGAACAATCTTCCTGAAGATGTGAGACAGGCCTCCTCTGACAATGTTTAAAACCAGGTTAAAAACAGTTCTGTTTAGCTGTGCATACAACTGAGGGATTTTATGTTTTATCTTTCTTTTTAATGTTCTGTGATTATTTATGATTTTAATGCTTTCTTGTTCAGCACTTTGAATTGCCTTGTGTATGAATTGTGCTATACAAATAAACTTGCCTTGCCTTGCCTAGGGACGTGGTTCCTGTACTTGATGACGTCTCGTTGGTTCGCTCTTCGACTCGACGGCATTTGCTCAATATTCATCACGGTGACTGCCTTTGGCTGCCTGCTGCTCAGAGACGGTGAGCACGTCTCCAGAGGAAACTCGCCTTTTTGTCTTCGATCATTATCTGAGCAATACAAACATCCGTATTTAATCGTTTTCATTCTGTGGAGCGTCCCAGGGCAAAGCAATGGTACAACATATATTTTCCAAATCATTTTCCAGTACTTTTCTCAATGACTCCAGTTGTAGCCTTTTGCTCTAAATCCCAACATTAGTTACCTTTTTTTTTTCAACACAGATCAGAGAATCAAACTGTTTATTTATCTTAAGTACTCATTTCATGCAATTACCTTATATATTTGATCATTCTTTGCAGTGCTCAGACCCTCCTGCATAGTTTCAGTGGACAATGGCTTTATTCAGAATGTGCCTGATTGTGAACTGGGTCGTATGACAGGTCTGCGAGCGGGAGAGGTGGGTCTGGTGTTGACCTACGCGATGACTCTGGTGGGAAACTTCCAGTGGACGGTCCGACAGAGCGCCGAAGTGGAGAACATGGTCTGAAGACGACATTTTTTTTATTTCAACAGACTCTCGCAGTAATGATGAAGCTGAATGTGTGTCTGTGTGAATGCCCAGATGACGTCGGTGGAGCGAGTGGTGGAATACGCAAAGCTGGAGAGTGAGGCATCATGGGAAACTGAGAAGAAGCCTCCTCCTGATTGGCCGAGCAGAGGCTCGGTCACATTCAACAACGTGAACTTCAGCTACAGCGAAGACGGGCCTCTGGTGTTGAAAGACCTGAGCTTCAGCCTGCGGCCCAGTGAGAAGGTGAGACGTTGAGACAAGAATCACCCACATGTATAAGACACAGTGTCGTAACTCATATAATACATTAGATACCATTACTTAAAACAACGTTGAGATGTTTTCATTTTTCCCATCGCCAGCGTTGTATATTGCTCATGTGCTTTGAGTGCTTATTTCCCTAAGGCTAACTTTACTTACCAGTGTGTCACCAAAATACTGTTTATGTATTTTGGTGCAGCAGGTGGCTGGTAGGAAACTTTTCCAATAAGTTATTTGTTTCAGATTGATCTACAATTAGCTTTCTTTGATATTTTTTGCTGCATGATGTTTACACGTGTACTTCGAGATGATAATGTAGAACCACTGGCTGACTGTGAGCTTTGGACTGAAGGTGAATAATTGTTTTACAGGTGGGGGTGGTGGGCAGGACGGGGGCCGGGAAAAGCTCCCTGGTGTCAGCTCTGTTTCGTCTCTCGGAGCCAAAGGGGAAAATTTACATTGACGGAATCTTGACGTCAGAACTCGGCCTCCACGACCTGCGCCAGAAGATGTCCATCATCCCTCAGGTCTGAACATTCTCCAAAAAACCCCCGCTGGAATTCTTGCACAAACTTGTCCTTCCACCTTTTGCGCTGATCTCAAAGTTGTTAGATTGTGCACAAACAGAGAAATAGTTTAATTCTTGTGCAGGGTTCAGTGAGTAGAAGTGATCATTAGTATCATTCAAAATGTTAACACTTTTACTGTACACTCATTTTAAATTAACAAATCGACAAACATGAAACTGTACAGGCATTAAGTTACAAATTTCTTTTTTTAATCCAAATTAAGTGTCCTGTTATATGAAGTTTGATTAAAATAAATTGGTTGAATATTGTTGAGTAAACCATATAGTGTGTGTGTGTGTGTGTGTATATAGCACATTGTAATTCTTTACTTTCACCACCAGGGGGCGTTTCAGTGAGGTCTGTATTTTACTATTTTCTACCCAAGATCCAATCGCATATTACTTTTACAATACTAATAAGCAAGACATGAATTAGATTCCATTTGGACCATGAGCTGCAGTTGAATAAATACGAAGGTAGTTCAAGTGTTCTTTGTTTTCCCCGTCTTCTGCACTGATAAACAAACGTGTTTCCAGGATCCTGTGCTGTTCAGTGACACTGTGAGAAAGAACCTGGATCCTTTTTGTCAAAATTCTGATGAGGACCTGTGGAACGCTCTTGAAGAGGTGTGTGTTCGGTTGTAGTAAATCTTGACTGTCACTGAACTGTTTTGAGTTTCCATATTTAGAATCCAGGTATAGCCAATTATAATAATCATCTATTTGCATTACAAGGTAGCAGCAAAATAATGATTACTGTGACCTGGTAAAGAATGACTAAGGTTCATTTGTCATTCTCAGAGGTACCTCATGTGAGCCGTCAAAACTGACATTTACAAACCCATGTCAATTCTAATTGGTATGAGTGAAAGGCCTGTGTCCCGTGTGCAGGTGCAGCTGAAGGCGGTGGTGGAGGAGCTCCCTGGGCGCCTGGACACTCTTCTGGCAGAGTCTGGCTCTAACTTCAGTGTGGGCCAGCGGCAGCTCGTGTGTTTGGCTCGTGCTGTTCTGAGGAAGAACCGCATCCTGGTCATAGACGAAGCCACTGCTAACGTCGACCCCAGGTATCAATCTTTCATCAAACAAGCAGGGTCATCTCGACTCGCTCTGATACCCCCTTAAGCTGCTAATTTATCTGTCAAAGATAATTAGTTTTTCCTTCCACATTTAAAGTAGTTTCCAATTCATCGAAGGCACAGGCCTGGTTGGTAGGAAAAATAATCAGGATTCACCTTGGAAAAAAATACCCAAACAATTTTTTTTTTTTCAATTATTTAGCTTTTGACCTGAGGTTAGGACTAAACTAGCTTTAGGGAATGTATTATACTTGACCATAGACTATAAATATTGAACATGCTTTCTTTCAGGACAGACGAGTTGATCCAGAAAACAATCCGAAAAAAGTTTAGTGATTGTACCGTGGTGACCATCGCCCACCGCCTCAACACCATCATTGACAGTGACAGAATATTAGTGAGTAGTTCATACACTGAACACGAAGAGTGAACTCTTTAATTTGAGCATAACAGTTCATACATAACAGGTCTAAATGTTTGTTGAAGGTGCTGCACAACGGTGTAATCCAGGAGTTGGACAGTCCCTCTGCTCTGCTGCAAAACCCAGAGGGACTCTTCTCCAAGATGGTGCAGCAGCTGGGTCCAGCGGAGGCTTCAGCCCTGATCCAGGCAGCAACGCAGGTCTTTAACACTTTATTTCTCAATGGAACTCTGGATAAGGCTCTTTTTAACATGAAAGTGTTTTATTCCAAGCAGAATTAAGTTGTGATTGAAGTGCTTCAGCTTGGAATGAAAACCTGGTATCTTGAGCCTGAAATCATTACTTTGGTGTGAAAAAGTGCTATTACTCATGATCGACTCAATAAGTTTCTATGAAGTGCATTTGTGGAGCTTTAAAATTAGTTTTAATATTAACCTTTACCTCTGAACACTTTCCAATGTAAAAGCAAACAAGGCACATTTCCACAAAAGGCACTGGCCGGTTATTACAGTACGTGCAAAAAGCCTTTTCCAATTAAAAAATAAATAGTGTCCTAAAAAAACAGTCCTGACGGCGGCAGCGTGGACTACAGAGCAGTTTCACAGATGATGAGGCTCTTCTCACACTCGTTCTCTAGATGGCCGTTTGAAGTATTCGAACGACTCCTGTTGTTGTAGGCCTGGAATGTGAAAAAGTTGATCAGAAAATCTACATTATGAGATTTCGTCAAAGGCAGTATTAATAAGTTCATAAAAATACAAGTTACAACATGCATTAAAAACCTAAGCTTAATTCAGCTTTTGAATGAATACAGGCTTGAAGGTACATTTGGCAGTCATTCTAGGTCATTGATTTTGTTAGCAGCGCTTTGAGATTGTTGTAAAGCTTACGAGAAGTTGTGCCAAACATTTAAAGCTTGCGAGATCAGGTAGAGCTCCTCTAAACATTTATAATACTGTAAAGCAGAAGAGATTTAAACTCACCTTTTTAGCTGATTCTAGCAGAGAAACTGCTTCTTGTTTCCCCGTCTGCTGAACCATTTTGTAGAAAATGCCCTGTTTGTCCTGCAACAGGGTGTATGGCTCGTCGTATGCACTGATTCTACCAGCGTCGAGAACCTGAAAGAAAAATAATCATGATACAAACATCTGTGTTTCAGAGCTGACCAGAAGAGATGTCAATGCTGCATGAGCCAGATGTGCTTTAATAAAGAAAATCCAATACCTCTTAAATGTGACTTATCTGCCCCAACAGGTAGATTATGACTGCATTACTTTATATTGTGACCATGGGTAAAGTCTTTTATAGTGTTTGTTCCTTTTGTTAGTGTAAATAGGATTTAAAGTTGTGTATTGATATGTTCTATAATATTAGTAACATGTGCCAGTTTAGTTGGACTCACCAGGATGCGGTCGCTGTCGATGATGGTGTTGAGGCGGTGAGCGATGGTGATGACCGTACAATCTTTAAACTTGTCTCTGATCGTCTGCTGGATCAGTTCATCCGTCCTACAAAAGATGCACAGCTGTAAAATCATGTGTAAATCCAACTGGACAAAATGTTCATAAATATATACTTTGAAGATGTATTAGTCATCATACTGTATTATTGTGTGCTCAGACTTATACCACTGCAGGTAGCTACACCAGGAGAATGTGAAGTGTGGCCCACTCTAAACGCAAGTGACAAATGCAACAATCTTACTTCAAGCGGCAATAAAATGTTTGTACCTCATTTCATTTCAAGAAAAATAAACGCCTTTCAAAAAAATTTATTGACCTTTCGGGACATAATTGTTACATACAGCACATGTTGGAAGCTTTGAATGGACAAATGGCGAGAGAGGGATATAGTTAACGCCCAGTTTGTTTGTATAACTATAGTTAGAACATTAGTACGAGTGTGGAGGAATCGTGTTCAAAGTAGTGCCTCCTTCACTGGACAAACTGGAAAAAAAGTGTGGGTGAACATCCGGCAGTAGAAACCGCAGAGTGAGCCATGTCAGATTCAATCATTGCATTCTTATGAATGATACTGCTGCTCTGCGTAAAAAGGTTTTTTTCTGTACCAGAAAGTGATTACAGCATTAATTTGTGGGGCCTTTAAGAATGGATTCTAACCCAGATACCTGGGGTCGACGTTAGCAGTGGCTTCGTCTATGACCAGGATGCGGTTCTTCCTCAGAACAGCACGAGCCAAACACACGAGCTGCCGCTGGCCCACACTGAAGTTAGAGCCAGACTCTGCCAGAAGAGTGTCCAGGCGCCCAGGGAGCTCCTCCACCACCGCCTTCAGCTGCACCTGCACACGGGACACAGTGAATCTCTTTATGTCTAGGTTTATAAAGAAGCAGACACCACTGGCAAACTTTACAATTAAAGTTTGTACTTGCTGTTAACAATCATGTTACTTCATGTAGGTATTTCACTGGAACAACACATGGTCCAAAATATTTTCAGTGGCAACTTAAACTAAACACCAGTGCCCAGCCTTACTCTGCCCCAAAAGTGACTGTTCCAGAAACTATCGCCAGTGTTCATCCATTAGGTGGCGCTACATTTATGTCAATAACAGTAAATCAGATAAGCAACATTACAATGATAAACACTATAAATGACAATAAATCAAAGTGAACACACAATATACTTATACTATAAGTGCAATAGAATACTGTGTGTCTTTGTGTGTTTGGGTGCGCATGTATGTGTGTGTTTGTGTGGTTACATCTACAGAGCTTCTGTTTAGTCCGAGCGCTGTGACCACAACTGGACTCTCCTGGCTCCTGGTGTTGACTCAGTGATAGTTTTAGCAATAGTCCACTTTTCTGTGGCTTTTTTGGGGTACACCGCTGGTCTGCTGCCCTGACCCTTCACATGGTCTGCTGCTCTGATCCTCCACATGGTCTGCTGCCCTGATCCTCCACATGGTCTGCTGCCCTGACCCTCCACATGGTCTGCTGCTCTGGAGACACATTTACTGCTCAAACTTCCTCCAAATGTAGCCTGACCCTGACTATATTACTCCATGCCTGCTTCACCTCTGTCTCTCTGCTCAGAGTGCTCAGAGTGATCTTTGACCAAGACACCCACAGAGCTCTGCTGCCACCTGCTGGCTTATTAAAATACTGTCTACAGCCAAACCCCAGACTGTATGTTGACGTCAATTGATGCTGGTTAATAGCATGTGAGTTAACCATGGATCTATTATATTAACTGGATAGGGTATTACTAGCTTGTAGCTGAATAACTCATGTGCTCAGGGGATTCTCGCGGTACTGCAGACTGAACCAGACTGAACCAGACTAAATTCACGTGGGCTACCCAGACATTTTCCCCATAGAACTCAATGCATATTAAAACAACTCAACCTCAGCTGACAGAGAACCTACAGCTTTAATAAAGATCAGATTTTGTGGGGATTTTAGTGTCCCTTGTCATCCTGAACTTTTTTTCTTCTTAAATCCTTCGGTTTTGTTTAAATCCACACTTTAGTGCCACAAACTCTGATCCTCTGGCTCTTGCTCTAACTCCCGCTCTGATGAACTGCTCTGATTGGTCAGAGCGCGGCCGAGCCCCTCTGTGCACGTGCGTGAGACCCGGTGTGAGACCCACACACGCGTGTTTGGCGCAACGCATTATGGGAGATCAACCACTGCGCAGAACCGGGAGGACCAGACGAGGCCCAAATACAGGCGAGTTTCCCATAGATCTTTGAGAGTTCCAGGCAACTTCCGCTAATCTTTCAGTCCCCATGCCGTCACAAAGCGCCACTGAGCACAACCATTCATTTGAATAGGGCGCCATCTTGGATCGCCGGGGCTTGGAGTTAACCTGGTATGTTATTATGCCAATGATGACACACACATGTCAAACACATGTATCTGCATGAACTGACTGTGTTCAGAAAAATCTAAAAGAAAATTGTTTCAGACTCGTGGTGATAGACCTGATTGGGCTAAGTGTCTAGAGATGGAATTGAACCTAGGTCCTTCTACAAAACAGCGTTAAACTTCCCACAAAAAATTATGGACAACTTTCCCAAAAGGTTGTGGCCCCCATTCAACTATGTGTATTTTTTAACTAGGACCCAGAACAAAATGTCTTTGTCACCGCTGCTGGCACTTGGTTGGCATGTGATCATATACATGTTGTGCCTCACCTCCTCCAGCGCCGTCCACAGCTGCTCGTCTGAGTGCTGGGTAAAGGGGTCCAGGTTCTTCCTCATGGTCCCAGTGAACAGCACTGGGTCCTACACACAAACACTTTAGTAAACTTTTACAAGATCTCTGCATCAATGCATCACTTTACTTTACTGTACTGCTGTCACCTTACATTGTGTGCTCCATGTGCACTTGTATATTGTAAATAGTAACCGTAACTCTATTTTAAATGTATTCCTTAAAAATAAAGAATAAAAAACACTTCTCTTTCTGACTGTTGCACTGAGCCAAAGCAATTTCCAAGTCTGTGACTTCCTGTTACTTACGTGGCAATAAAAATTATTCTGATTCTGAAATTACAAATTAGACTCTAAATTTTATAGTTCAGAAAGAGACACCAACAGTCCTTCAAGATAACTTCTGTTGTGCTTTTGAGCTCTACAGAAGTGAATTTAAATGTTCACAGAGCAAGAAGAGTTTATGTTTTAATGAAAGTTAGGCCCCGTCCCAATTCTGAGAGAAGAGTGTCCTCCCACAGGGGAGTGCACTCGCAGGATATTCTCCCAAAGAAATGGGACACCCTTGGATCTAGGGGACAATATGCAAATCGACGCAGCAAACACATTCCACGTCACACACATTATCAATGTGTCTGATCTCACCACAGACAGATTTGACACAGATGACTTTATGAAAGTATTAAAGTGAGACGTTTTTAAATTGTATTTCATATGAAGAAAATTAGCCATAATTAGGTACAGGACCGCTCCATATCTCTCTCACGAACACACAGAGAGAGACAGACACACACACACGTACATACACGGCACACAGAGACAGACACACACGTACATACACGGCACACAGAGACAGACACACACGTACATACACGGCACACAGAGACAGACACACACGTACATACACGGCACACAGAGACAGACACACACGTACACACACGTACATACACGGCACACAGAGACAGACACACATGTACATACACGGCACACAGGAGACAGACACACACGTACATACACGGCACACAGAGACAGACACACACGTACATACACGGCACACAGAGACAGACACACACGTACATACACGGCACACAGAGACAGACACACACGTACACACACGTACATACACGGCACACAGAGACAGACACACATGTACATACACGGCACACAGAGACAGACACACACGTACAGACACACACGTACATACACGGCACACAGAGACAGACACACACGTACACAGAGACAGACGCACACGTACATACACGGCACACAGAGACAGACACACACGTACACAGAGACAGACGCACACACACGTACATACACGGCACACAGAGACAGACACACATGTACATACACGGCACACAGAGACAGACACACACGTACAGACACACACGTACATACACGGCACACAGAGACAGACACACACGTACACAGAGACAGACGCACACGTACATACACGGCACACAGAGACAGACACACACGTACACAGAGACAGACGCACACGTACATACACGGCACACAGAGACAGACGCACACGTACATACACGGCACACAGAGACAGACACACACGTACATACACGGCACACAGAGACAGACACACACGTACATACACGGCACACAGAGACAGACGCACACGTACATACACGGCACACAGAGACAGACACACACGTACATACACGGCACACAGAGACAGACACACACGTACATACACGGCACACAGAGACAGACGCACACGCACACACATACGGGCACAGAGACAGGCGAGTACAGCCGCGGATCACAAAGCTCCTGTCAAAGCGATGCAGTCTCTGAACTATGGATCTATAATAATAACATGGATCCACGTCTCTGAAGCCGCAGTGAACGCCACACGCTGCGGCCGCCACACGCTGCGGCCGCCACACGCTGCGGCCGCCACACGCTGCGGCCGCCTCACGCTGCGGCCGCTTCGGGAGCGAAAGTCACCACACACGGCACCAACACACGCTTTAAAAAAATCCCCTCTGAATGACTCGCACACGCTTCAAAGCTTCCTCACGTTCTGCACAAATTTGCGCGTGGGTGTTCCATGTATGTTTTTTAATTGTGGCGCGGCTTTGTCGTAATGCATCATGGGATCACCCTTCCACGCAAGTGCAGAGGGTGATCCCATGATGCATTACCTCACTTGGGCTTGAGGGTGGTTTTTATGGGTTTGAGGTCCCTCGCCTCTTCTCCTTAAGTATTGGGACACCCTACAACCCTCGCGGGCATCCGCAAAATCTAGGGCAAGGGTGAGAACTTCACCCATGAGCACTTCCCCATTAAGATGGGTGGGTCTACTTACTGTCTGTGGTGTCAGAGCTTAGATCAGGGGTTAAAGCAAAAAAAAAGAAGATTTGACTGAAAATTTTTGCATGGAAATTTATCACATGTAAATCACAGTAATATGCAGGACCAAGTTATATTTGTAATTACAATATATTCTTGTATAATAGATTGTATATTGAATACAGCTCAAATGAATTCTTCAAAGATATACAGTGTATTTTGATATGAAATATAAGTGGATCAAGCAACGAGTAAACTTTTTGACAGAATATTAGTGAGAGTAGCTTTACTTGAGGCGATATGGAGCGTCAACACTTTGGCTCTGTCCTCGTCAAAATATTGCAAAAGGACGATAAAATTCTGTCCACTTTTGTTTGTGGACACGTCAATATTTAAGAAAAAGGTTTCCCTATCAAGTTTGAGTGCACAGTGCACTTCGATCAACTGCAAATGATTTAAATAAATCTACCAGCGGTAGTGATATTCTGAACGTTATTTTCTGCGATAAAGCCACAGACACGGTCTGCCATAGCAAGCATATATATATATATATATATATATATATATATATATAAACAGATTCACACGTATATGTATTACTATATATTATTTTTATAATCAATCATTTCATTGTGTGTATTATTATCATTATATATATATATATATATATTTTTTTTTTTTCCAGACCAATTTCGTTTGACGGAAATCCGTTACCTAGACGGAACTCTTTAATCCCTGGCTTAGAGCCCTTTCTATTTGACCCTAAACATTATGTCAAACAAAAAGCCTGGATGTTCAGACCTGGGGGATGATGGACATCTTCTGGCGCAGGTCGTGGAGGCCGAGTTCTGACGTCAGGATTCCGTCGATGTAAATTTTTCCGTTTGGCTCCGAGAGACGAAACAGAGCTGACACCAGGGAGCTCTTCCCGGCCCCCGTCCTACCCACGATGCCCACCTGACAACATAGCGTTACAATCCTCCAGGGAGCGACATTTTAGACCTGGGGCTTGTGGCGTACCTTCTCTCTGGGTCGGAAGGTGGCTCTCAGCTTGTGCAGAACCGTGGGGCCTTCAGGACTGTACGAGAAACTGACCCCATCAAAGGTCACAAGGCCTCTGCTCGGCCAATCAGGAGGCGGCTTCAGCTTTGTTTCCCAGGGCGCTTCACTCTCCAGCTCTGTGTACTCCACCACTCGCTCCACTGAGGTCATCTGAACGACACAAAACTATTAGAGCAGGCATTTTCTTAAAATGTTATTCTATTATTCTTATAATTAACTTGCAGCATTGATGCTTATGGGCCACCAAGGCCTGTTATACATCATCTAGTTTCTCAGGAAAACAACCAAATGTACATTTGTTTATGAAAAAAATCAACCAGAAAATAGTGAATCGCATGTCACCTTCAAAAACAGATCATCTCAAATGATCAAAGTTATCCAAAGACAAAACATGGAAAGGACAGTGTGTCATCTTGCCTAATGACAAAGCAACAGTTCAGTACTTTTCCACCGTTCCACTCGAGAGCCCAAAAAACGCTCCATCATACATCATCATCATTGTTACTTTTATAATTGGCTATCAGCACACTAACGAGTGACGGGACGATGGCATTACCATGTTCTCCACCTCTGCGCTCTGCCGAACACCCCACTGGAACATGCCCATCAGAGTGACTGCATAACTCAGAGCCAAACCCACTGATCCAGCATCCAGCTCTGAAACACACACTCCAGCCTTTGTTATATTATTATTTTATACCACACAAACAAACAGGTGAATGTTAAACTGTGGCCATAAGTATGGTCTGAGCTGAAGTGACTCACAAGGCTCTCCCTTATATTTAATATTTCTATTGAGAATGACAATGTGCCTCTGAATAAAATTGCTTACAAAACCCCTCAAAAACATGTATACATTTATAAGCAGGTATTCCAGCTTTAACCAAAAAAACGGTAGAATTCCTTACGGTTCCGCAGCAGCAGACAACCGAAAGTGGTGGCAGTCACAAAGACAGCACAAAGCCCGTCGAGCCGCACCGCAAACCAGCGCGACGTGGTCAGGAACAAGAACCAGGACGCTGTTTAAGGCCAAGAAGTGTAATGAGCATCTCAAACTGTAAACACAGAGCCGCTGCCATCTTGGAAATACCTGAGTGCAAGTCCTGGTGAGCGTCAAAAATGTTCTGGAATCTTTCAGTGGCACCGAACGCTCGGATCGTCCACAACCCATGGAGCGAAGAGGAGAGATGAGAGAAGACTGGACTGCGAGCTGAAAAGGTATTGTGATATTTAAAGTCAAGTCATCATTAAATGGCCCTAATCCGTCAAAAGGCATAAATAAACCAACAAACTCTTCTCAAATACTTCTTTAACTGATAACAGGAGTTCAGTCGAGATATTGATTTCAAAATTAGGTTTTAGAGCCCCTAAATCTTGTTACTGTTTTCATTTTGATGTCCCGCCCGCCACCGTTTCACCAATCAGAAGGTCCGTGATCCGGGTTGCCAGAACTCACCAAGTCGAGCTACTTATCACTGGTAAAGTAACATGTTGTCGCAGAGCTAAAATATCATCAACAAATCATTAATGATTTGTTGTTGACATGACAAAACTGTTTATTCAGATAATATGGTCCCAGCTGAATTCGTCTGCATATCTGGCACCTTGTCAAGGAGAGTACAGTACCATTTTTGGTAAGACTTTTACATACTGCTCCTTTAAGTGTAGTTGAATTTGCAGTAAACCATAAAGTACTAGTATACAATATAACATAGTAAACTATAGAATGATGCAGTCATGTCTGATTACATCATTTTTTAGTCTAGGAAATCAGGTCACTCTTGTTCGTCTCTATTCAACACCGACATCTCCCCACTCTCTCCCTCTCACAATTTACGAAACATTTTATAATGTACAGAATTTTCCAGAATATCCGGTTTATCCTGTTTGATTTGTGTGTTTGTGAGGAGGTGTGAAAGGATGAGGAGAGAGTGTTTGTTGGATCATTATCAGTTTGGAAATTTTCTTTGCTTCATAACAAAGTAGAAAAGGTCGATGACAGACATAGACCTTTACATACTGTTACTATTCACAATTAGAATGTTGCAGTGAAATCCTGGCAGAACAAAGTGCGCCGCACTCACTTGTCGCTTCCAGGCGCTTGATGTTTCTCGAGGTTTGGAGGAAATATCGTCGGACATAAAGGAAAACCAGAAACAGGACCAACACTGGGACGAGGATCCAAGGGATGACTGAGGCCGCCACGGCAACCACCCCCAGAATCATCAGGAACAACTACACACAGACACACACATACAGAGAGAGACACACACACACAGAGAGCGCGAGAGAGAGACACACACACACACAGAGCGCGAGAGAGACACACGAATACAGAGAGAGAGAGACACACGCACACAAACACCCACACACACACACAGAGAGAGAGACAAAGAGACAGACAGAGAGAGACACATACAAACACCCACACATACACACAGAGAGAGACACACACAAACACCCACACATACACACAGAGACAGAGAGAGACACACACACATATGTACACAGAGAAATACACACAAAAACACCCACACACAGAGAGAGACACACACACACACATATGTACACAGAGAAACACACACACACAGAGACAGAGAGAGACACACACACACACAAATGAGGCCTCAGGGTTTTGGAAACTTTTGGAATAGATCATTCTTAACCTGTCCCGTCACACAAACAGGAAAATAAACGTCAGAAGCATTACCTGAAGAAAGTCTATAAATGTCACCGGTAAGTTATTATCCAGCAGCCCGATGTCTTTAGAAAACCTGTTCAGAACTCGTCCTGAAAAGACCACAACTTGGATGTTAGCATTAGGACAATTTGACCAAAAATCTAAGATAGAAGTTGTATGTGAAGCACTTACCAATGGGGTTAGTGTCAAAGAAGCGCACTGGGGTCTTGAGAATAGAGTTAAACATGTGATTGTGCAGAGTCTGAGCACTTCTCACAAAGATATGAAACATGAGGATGTTCCTGAAGAAGCCCAGAAAGATGGTGGCAGCAGTGAGACCTGTGAGAACAACACAAGCAGCAGCTCCTTACTGCCAACATCAAACTATTTACCCTGGCCTTATCCATCCGTACACTCCGCTCAATCATCATTTCACTGTAACGTCTGGGTCTGGTCCTTGTGTTAGCGATTACAATCGGTTGAATATCGACCGGCTACTCCGAGAGTGCGTTGTAGGTCGGTGCCGGTGACGTCAAGAGTTTGCGCCGAACGGGCAGGTTGTGGTTTGGCAGTGGCGAAGAATGCGATAGTAAAGTAATCCAGTCTGGTTCTATGAAGAAATTGAAGTCGGAGCAAGAGGAATGTTGAGCAAATGTAATCGCTAGAAAAAATTGTGGCGCTACTCCCCACGGGCTTCGTTAGCGGCAAAGGAGATGGCTAAAGCTAGGCTAAATGCTAACAACACACTCGGGCTCACTACATACGTCACGGTAAACTCAGATCCAATTGTTTCAATCTGCAAAAGGAGTTAACCCCTCCCACCTGTTAACGGAGCTCAATGGAACAAATCCAGACCTTAGTATGAAATGAAATTTGTACTATGGTGTGGTACAACCAGGCTACAAACTATTTAGACAGACTGACACTTTATTGATCCCCGTAGGAGAAATTCAGGGGTCCACATCCATCCATGCAAACACATAATGCAAAGTACATAATGCTAAAGGTTTCTAATTAAGTAACTAACAAACCAGAGCACCCAGAGGAACCCTACGCAGACATGGGAAGAACATGCAAACGCCACTCAGAAAGGCCCTGTTCCGACCGGGCTTCAAACCCAGGACCTTCTTGCTGAGAAGCGAGAGTGCCACCGTGCTGCCCAGTCTGAGTGTTAAGTGTCGATCATATGATGCTTGATCAAGACCAGAAACTCTGTCCAGTCTAATTCTGTTACCTCCATAAGTGCCCAGGTAGAAGTCTCGGTCCAGCTTTTGGGTCCCGTTGGTTATAGTGATATTCTGATTGTTCACTTCATCTTGTTTTTCAGCCCTGAGCGTCAACAGTTCACAGATCAACACGAGCAGACAGAATGTGTGAAACATTTATCCACTGCATTCTTACCAGTACGCCAGCCACCAGTCATTCATGATGTAGGTCACCTGCGAACACACACACACACACACACACATACACACACACACGTTATAATCTTATTGGTATGCTATTCATCCATCCATTTTCTTCCCCTTAATCCATTTCTGGGTCGGGGGATGGCAGTCAGAGCTGCACCTAGTACACATAGCACCTCTATTCATTTGTTTATTATTTTAATGTTTGTTTTAACAGTAATAAATTCCCAATAGGAGTGGGATGAATCAAAAATCTTTCGTGCATATACAATGAAACTTTTAATATCACGATAGAAATAATACAAATGACACAAGTAAAACCCTTTGTGACGTTTAAAGCTGGAGTAACTAACTTTAAAACCATGTAACAAAATCCATGTCACTAGTTCTTGGCTTATCATTGCATTTCTTTGAACTGATTCTCTGATCTTTTTTGGCAAATCAACGGTTTTGTGCAGTCCTTTGGGATAACTGCTGTTGTGATTCAGGGCAATACACAGGTTCATGTTGTTGAATTGGTTCTCTAAAATAAAGACGGGATGTTGTGGTGAATAATCATAAATAATAAAACCTGCCTAAAGACACATCCACAGTTTGGCACTTTACAGCCGCCCCACTGTGGCACCTGCTGTTCCCAGACGTCTCCTATAACAGCACTAACCGGGCCAAACCCTGCTAAGCTTCAGAGGTCTGACGGGATCTGGCTTTCACATGCAGCAATGGCCATGAATAGAAAATAAATCTGTTTTAGCATCAGGTACCTGGGCCAGGAGGTTGATGAAGAGCATGAAGACCACCAGCAGCACATTGGCCCCAGCTTTCATGTATTTCACGTAGAGTCCCACTTTGATTGTGCCCTGTGCGCGGCTCTCCTCCACCACAGTCTGAACGGCCTCAGCCTGAAGCAGCAGCACAAACATGTCAGAAAGTTTAAACAATGCCTTTGCTTTCTCTTCAGGTATAATCTATTCTTTACATTTCTAAAATAAAGCAGAATTCAGTAAATACATTTAAAATCAATGGCTTTGTTTTCTCTTCAGGTATAATCTATTCTTTAAATTTCTAAAATAAAGCAGAATTCAGTAAATACATTTAAAATCAATGGCTGAAGATGTGAACTTATGCCTTTGATGCCGTTAACATGTACAAGAACAGACGTGTAACATGTGAAGCTTTTAAGTGAGATACAACATATTTATAGTGGCTTAGTTTAGCTGTGGGTCAGAGAAAGTAGTGGTTGTTAAAGCAATTGTGGCTCAATTCGTTATTTTAAAAAGGGTACAGTGCAGCTACATGGAACTAAGTACAAATGTCAGTTTCAGAAATAATAATTCTTTCAAAGACAGAGTTGAAGATGACAGATGGGCAGTCAGTCTCAGCTTCATAAGTTACAGAGTGAATCTTTAAACTATTGAAGACCGTCAACTGTTTCCTCGTGTCTAAATGTTTTGCCAGGAATGTTCCACAGTGGACATTGGTTATTTCATCTACACTGGAGAAAAGGACTTTCACTATATCAGCAAGAACGCAAGAATTTAGGGTTTTGAACCATACTAATATATAAATAACTAAATGCATCTATATGATATGTTTTCTATGTACTCTCTATGATTTTAGTGCCACTCACAGGCAGCTGGTCTCCGTCTCTAGAGCCGTCGTCGGTGCACACAGAGTTCTGGGACAGAGTTCTGATGCGGATGGCGTTCTCTGAGGCGACGGGCTCGTCCTCGTCCTCCAGCTGCAGCAGAGACGTGAAGTCCACCCCAGAGTGCTGCAGCTCCGTGTACGTGCCCTTCGCCACCATCTGGCCCTGTCGCACAAAAGCACTGTGGTCAGTATGGTTTAGGGTCAGGGGATAAAGTCTGACTAATGACCCAGTATTGAACACATGGAGAAGTCTTCATTCTGAGAGCTCTAAAGTTTTACTTTTTGAATGCGCTGGAATCTGAAGTAATTCCTAAGTACCTCTGAAACAGTCGTTTTGTGCTTTACACTTGTTCCACCTTTTAATACAATTGTTAGATAGTTTTAGAATTATCTATTTATTTGTTTCTGCTGCTACTGGACAACTGAATTTATCCAACTGGGATCAATAAAATATCTTTATCTAATCTTATCCATGTGCATCTCGTCTTTGGTTCAAAATTTTGGTCAATTTATTTTTTAACCCAAAACATAAGACTGTGTGGCAAGTTTTTTGTGGCTCTAAATACACTAAGGTAACCCGACGAGCCAGATAACTCCCTCCTGTCGATTCTAAACTGAGGAAGGAAGTGGATGTGGCTTGCTCCGCTTAAAAAAAAAAGAAACAAAAAAAAAAAAGGAGAACAATGATGAGGAAACTCAGTTGATAATCGTCACTGAACAATTACAATCACACTATATTAACACATTTCAGTGACAATAGTCTGGTGTAACCTTTTTATATACTCCAGCTGTAAACGTCACAATGGTTTCACTTGTGACATTAGTGTTATTTTTATTGTGATATGAAAAGTTTAATTCTATTGCTTTTTGCTTCAGTTCACTCCTTTTGAGCAGAATGTATTACTGTTCAAACAAACAAACAGCATAACAATGAGAATTTTATATCTTGAAACTACATATTTTGACAATACATATTTGTGAGTTTCCACATCTTAAAATAATAATAAATCGTGTATTTGCTTTGAATCAAACCTCTTTAAGAACAACAATTTGGTCAACTGCCTTCAGATACTGAAGCTGGTGAGTGACCAGAATACGGATTTTCTTCTTCAGCAACCCGCAAATGCACCTGTGACATCATAAACGTTAGAAGGAATTCTCATGTCCTTTCTTTTGACTCGATATACTTTGGAGAACAAGAACTTACTGCTCAAACAAGTGCCTCCCGACCTCCGCATCCACAGCACTTAAGGGATCATCCAAGAGGTAGATATCGGCATCCTGATACACCGCCCTGTGGTGGGCCAAGCTTTTATTCAGCTTTACATTCTCAGACACTGAAAATATCTGATGGTGAGTGTTGATACCTGGCCAAGTTCACACGCGCCTTCTGACCTCCGCTCAGAGTGGCCCCTTTGTCCCCGATGAGGGTCAGGTCTCCCTCTGGCAGCAGGTCCATGTCCTGCACAAGCACACATTCAGAAATCATGTCTCACAATAACGGCAGCTATTCTGTTTATGGTTTTATTATGAATTCAAAAAGCAATTTCAGAAGTTGAACAGTCAAGAAATGGCACAGACTATAAAAACGTTTAAAGTTCTAGTATAGAATAAAAGATAGAACCAATCATTTAATCTCAAATGTACAGGGATTAGTAAAAAAAAAGAATTATTCCCTTGAAAATGTTCTTTGGATGAAGAACGAAACGTCAAAAAAACCTGCTGAAGTACAGATGATGAGCAACCTTTCTTGGTTTAATCTAAAATGAATTTTTAAAAACATAAAACTTGCCAAACGGATTCGTTGCACGTGTCTATCTGTAGTAACACTGGTCACCTGCCTATTAATCATAAACAGCTTGTACATCTGATGACCCTTGACCCCAGCAAGCACATGGGACCTCTGCTGCAGGTGCATACGCAGGTGGTTTTGAGTTACACAATATTTTAGTTATATAATAAGTTATATTAGTATTTTCAATCCACTTAATTTAAGAGACCCATATTTTTCATGTCACCCATAAAGAGCGCATTTACACAAAGGCATCCCATGATGCAATCCAGTCTGAACTTTGTGAACTTTTGACTGAACCACAGCAATGACAGTGTGCTTCACATTTTTAAGATCACAGCACGAGCAGCATGACTCAACACTCTTTCGACCAGAGCAGAGGTTTGTTGGGGTATAGTTCAATGATAGTGAAATATTGGATACTTCGTCATAACTCATTTACCAAACTTAACTCTGAGGTTAACAATACAGCAACACTTTCATAATCAATGTTTTGTAAGCAGTAGTGAATCATTGTGATTTATAGTAATGTTTTTACTGTTCCCTGTACAGCATGACTGGTGTTTTTGATGCAAGCAGTTATATAATAGCAACAAATACTACAATAGATCCAGAACTCTGCAGCCTGCCTGCTCACCCACTCCAGAGACCACATCACCCCTGTCCTCAAACAACTCCACTGGCTCCCTGTTCTGTACCGCATCCAATACAAACTCCTCCACCAAAGTACCTCCATAACCTGGCCCCTTCATACCTCACTGATCCTCCCCATCATGACTGTCCCACCCGCTGCCTCATACCCACAGAATCCAACCTCCTAAATCCTTCTCTAAATCCACCCGTTTCACCTTTCACCACCATTTTGTTATTGATGTTTATTTTTGTATGTTTTGTAAAGCGTCTTTGAGTATCCAAAAAAGAAACGCCATTTAAACTCAATGTATTATTATTTTTAATCAAGTTTTTTGTTTATTTATCTCCACCAAGTCTTTGAATTGTTGTCATGGACTTGGACTGGGTTTGCGTTTTTGTTTCACAGGTGCTACTAATGCGTCCACTGTGCCCTCACAAGTTTGAAGTAGGAACCATGGAGGACCACAGTCATACAAAAGAACTACCCGAAAAAGAATCTTTTAGAATAAAAATTAAAAACACTTCTTTTCTAAATGTATTTTAATTTGCTTTATGGTTATTCTATCAGTATTTGTTGTTTGCTACACTAACTCATGCAATGATGAGATGGCTACTTCCGGTTTGAAAATAGTTTTAATTGAAGTTGATAGAAGATTTGTAAGTAAAAAGTAACAAGCACTGTTACAAATACATTACAGTCCACCAGGATGTTCTCCAGGAAACCAAACTGGTGTTTGTGTCTATTATCTGTGTAATATCATCCTAAATTGTGCCGTTTTGTGTTTTGATATTTCTAGGGTATGAACTGTCTAAGAACAGTAACAAACTCTCATGCCTATAGTGTGCGTTTGAGAACAAGCTGTCGTAGTAGGCCTTATCTCTTTTATGGTCTGCGTTTTAGAGCGACTGCTTTCACCAGCTGCATGTGCCATGTTTATAAAGATTATGTGACTCTGCTGTAAACAAAAGGCTCCACAGCAGAACGGTGCAGATTGCTTTGTAGACAAGGCTTCCGTTGTTGATGTCTCACCTTCTTGAGGGCACACGCACGCAGGACCCTCTCGTACTTCTGTGGGATCAGCTCTTTACCAAACAGGATGTTACTGCGTATGGTTCCTGGAAAGACCCAGGGCTGCTGCGAGGCGTACGTCAGCTGACCTTCCACCTTCATTACCCCCTTGTGTCGAGGCAATTCCCCTAAAATAGAGCTCAGCAGCGAAGACTAAAGACATAAAACAAATGTTAGCAGGAAGTTTATAAAAGCAGTTGTGTGTAAAGTGAGGCGCTCACTTTCCCTGCTCCCACTGGTCCAATCACAGCCAATAGTTGATTAGAGTTCAGAGACAAGGACACGTTTTGAAGAGTAGGAACGTCCAAAGTCTAGAAGAACAATTACAAATGCGTTCAAGTAAATTATAAACTATACATCCTACGTCTAAGCATGAGCAAAATAGTATAGAACAAACTCCTGCTCTCACACCTCCTGGTAAACAGGCCCTGGGTTTTTATTGATTCATTTATTGTTATTTTAAATGATACATTTATATTTACTTTCCTTAGTTTATGAAGAACATTTTACACTGTTATGTTGCCTACTGCACTTACAGTAAACACATACAAATGTACATAAAAATATGAATATACAATCAAGCAACAGTGTATGTGCAACATGTGTAGGAATATTTATAAAAGATATTCACAAATGTATTTCTATTTACAATTTGTCAGGTTGAAATGGAGTGGGAAAGAAGTAAGAGCTTGTAGACTCCCACCCCCTGAATATAACAGACATATTTGGGTTGTGTTACACCAGTGTGTATTATATATATATATGTTATACTAAATGACTGTCTGTGCCATGAGTCTGGGGTCTTTTGCTTTGAATAACTAAAAACGATGTCACATTATCCTGTAAACCAACTGCTTCTTTTATAGGGAACCTTCATGTTGATACAAATATGTTCTAGCGTGATACTTATTAGAAGAAGATTGGCAATAACCATAAGGGGAAATACGGGGGGGTCCAACCATTGCAATTATACCATCAGACGCCCTGAAAGCCTCAAAGGAAATGTTGGAGTCTCAAATGTCCTACAATTACTATAATATAAGAATAAAATACACATTTTAAATTAGATAATATAATGTATTGTTGCCAGTAATAATATCTATGTCTAATCAGCAAATATTTTCTTATTATTTACAAGCAGCACTTGAAGAGAGCCGTATGTAAATTATCCATGTGCCAAACAGAACAAAGACGTAGCTGAGGTCTCCTGAATGTTGCAAACATCAAGCGACAGCTACAGTTCTAAGTGGATCTAAATGTATGGACCCGCCTGAATTTTGACTATCGACTAATACTGAATGAGGTACTCTGCAACACTGGCAATAATCAGAATCAGAATCAGAATCATTTTTATTGCCAACGTAAGTAACAGGAGGTCACAGACTTGGAAATTGCTTTGGCTCAGTGCAACAGTCAAAAAGATATAATAAAAATAAGAATAAAAAACACTTCTAAAGAATAAATTTAAATTTAAAATAGAGTTACAGTTACTATTTACAATATACAAGTGCACATGGTGCACACAATGTAAGGTGACAGCAGTACAGTGAAGTAAAGTGACGTATGATGGGCAGTAAAGTGACTTTATAAAGGGCGGGGGGACAGGTTACAAAGTGTTCAAGAGTCCAACAGCAGAGGGGAAGAAACTGTTCTTGTGGCGGGAGGTTCTAGTCCTGATGGACCGCAGCCTCCTGCCTGAGGGGAGTGGTTGGAATAGTCCATGTGCAGGGTGAGAGGGGTCGGCTGTGATACGACCAGCCCGGCCTCGAGCTCGGGCAACGTACAGGTCCTGCAGCGATGGAAGGCTGCGGCCGATCACTTCCTCTGCAGAGCGCACAATGCGCTGTAGTCTCTGTTTGTCCCTGACTGTGGCTCCAGCGAACCACACGGTGATGGAGGAGGTGAGGATGGACTCGATGATGGCCGTGTAGAACTGCACCAACATCTGTGCAGGCAGCTTGGCTTTCCTGAGCTGCCGCAGGAAGTACATCCTCTGCTGGGCCTTCTTGATGAGGGAGCTGATGGTCGGCTCCCACTTGAGGTCCTGGGTGATGGTGGTGCCCAGGAAACGGAAGGACTCCACAGAGGTGATGGGGGAGTCCATCAGGGAGGGTGGGGGCGGGGGGACAGTGCTCTTCCTGAAGTCCACAATCATCTCCACTGTCTTCTGGGCGTTCAGCTCCAGGTTGTTACCACTGCACCAGGACACCAGCCGGTCCACCTCCCTCCTGTAGGCGGACTCATCGTTGTTGGAGATGAGTCCAATGAGGGTGGTGTCGTCCGCGAACTTGATCAGCTTCACGGAGTCGTGGCTGGAGGTGCAGTGGTTGGTGTACAGGGAGAAGAGCAGGGGAGAAAGAACACAGCCCTGTGGGGCTCCTGTATTTATAATCCGAGAGTCCGAGACATTCTTCCCCAGACGCACTCGCTGCTTCCTGTCCGTCAGGAAGTCAGTGATCCACCTGCAGGTGGAAACGGGCACGTTGAGCTGGGAAAGCTTGTCCTGGAGCAGGGATGGCAGGATTGTGTTGAAGGCAGAGCTGAAGTCCACGAACAGGACCCTGGCGTAGGTCCCCGGGGAGTCCAGGTGCTGTAGGATGTGGTGGAGGGCCAGGTTAATGGCGTCGTCTACAGATCTGTTGGCTCTGTAGGCGAACTGCAGGGGGTCCAGGAGGGGGGAGGTGAAGGACTTGAGATGGGAGAGAACCAGGCGTTCAAATGACTTCATGACGACAGACGTAAGTGCTACAGGTCTGTAGTCATTGAGTCCTGTGATCCTGGGCTTCTTCGGGACGGGGACAATGATGGAGGATTTGAAGCAGGCCGGGACATGGCAGGACTGCAGAGAGGTGTTGAAAATGTCCGTGAACACAGGAGTAAGCTCACTGGCGCAGTGTCTCAGAGTGGCCGGAGACACGTGGTCCGGGCCAGGAGCTTTGCGGGGGTGCAGCCTCAGGAAGAGTTGTTTAATCTCTTTAGAGGCTATTGTTAGGCTGGGGGCAGGGCTGATGGGTGGGTCGTTAGAGTAGTGGGGGGTGGGGGAGGGAGAGGTGTCAGGGGCAGCATCAAAGCGACTGAAAAATAAGTTCAGTTCGTCAGCTAGCTTGTGGTCATCAGCACAGGGGGGGGCTTTGGGTTTGTAGTTGGTGATCTCCCGTAGGCCCCTCCAGACAGAAGCAGTATCGTTTGTTACCAAACTGCTCCTGTAGTCGTTCTCTGTGCCGGGACTTGGCTGCTTTCAGTTCTTTCCTGAACTGATATTTAGCTGCTTTGTAGCCGCTGCGGTCCCCCTCCCTGAAAGCAGACTCCTTTGCTTTCCTGAGCTGCCGGAGTTTAGCAGTGAACCAGGGTTTGTCATTGTTGTAGATGACCCTGGTCCTTGTTGGAATGATGCTATCCTCACAGAAGTGAATGTATGACGTCACAGTGTCCGTATATTCATCCAAACTGTCTGTGGCAGCTCTGAAAAGGTCCCAGTCTGTAGATTCCATGCATGCGCGCAGCTCTTCCACAGCTTCATCAGACCACACTTTGGAGCTCCTCACTGCAGGTTTCGAGAGCTTTAGTCTCTGTCTGTAAGCAGGAACCAGATGTATCATGGAGTGATCTGAGAAGCCGAGGGCTGGCTTGGGAACAGCGCGAAAAGCTCCGCGCACGGTGGTGTAACAGTGATCCAGAGTGTTCTCCTCTCTGGTCGGGCATTTGATAAACTGTCTGTATTTGGGTAATTCCTGGCTCAAGTTTCCCTTATTAAAATCCCCCAGGATAATAATCAGAGAGTCCGGGTATAAACGTTCCATACACAGTACTTGCTCTGCGAGTGCGCGCTGAGCCTCGCGCGCGTCCGCGCATGGCGGTATGTAAACAGAGGCAAGAATGAATGAAACAATTTCCCGCGGGGAGTAATATGGTTTACAATGAATGAAAAGATATTCCAGAGCAGGAGAGCAGTGCTTGGAGATCACTGTCACATCGTTACACCAGTTTGTATTGACGTAGAAACACAGCCCTCCGCCTCTGCTCTTCCCTGAGAGCGCACAATGGCGATCCGCGCGGAACAGCCCAAAGCCCTGCAGCTCCAGAGCACAGTCCGGGATCCGCTCATTTAGCCAGGTCTCAGTGAAGCAGAGGACACAGGATGTGGCGAAGTCCTTGTTTCTTCTCATGAGCAGGCTGAGTTCGTCCATCTTATTGCCCAGTGAGCGTACGTTGGAGAGAAAAATGCCGGGGAGAGCCGTGCGCGCTCCTCTCCTCCTAAGACGCACCAGCAGGCCTCCGCGCTTTCCCCTTTTACGGGCCCACACTTTTTTGGCTAGAACATGAACTAAATCAGCCGCAGATGCCAAGAAAACAGGCAATAGGTCCATGGGAACGGTGGGTCGGATGTTCATAAGTTCCTCACGGGTGTAGGAACAGCCAGATGCACAGTTAAAAAGTAAAAACAAAAGAAAAAGAGAGCAGCAAAGAGCCATGTCGACCGTACGAGGCGCCATCTTGGTAAATATATATATAACTATTCTAAAAATAAAACTGACCTTGTCCCAGTAACACTCTAGTTCTTTAATATCCACCGACGAAAGGTTTTTCTCATGATTTTTGTGTGGAACTGAGTTGATTTGGCAAATCTCATCCAGCTGTAAGAACTCCTGAAACAACACAATACAGAGGTTCAGTATCAAAGGGCATGTGTTGGTGGGAATAGAACTTGTTAACTTTGCACTAGCGTTAAAAGAATGTTAATACCAAAAGGTTATCCAAGAAAAATTAGAAAAAGAAAATCAAGATATGTATATAATTATTTTACTTTAGCCAGAACATAGATTAATCTGGACTTTGCCCGTGAGACTGCACCTCAAAGGACAGACACCTGCCGGCTTCATGTGTGATGTGTGTCTTCCACCTTATCTCCCTGTTCTGTAACCAGTGATGCAACACTGACATTTCCCAACAGTGGGACGAATAAAGGATCTCTTAAACTTAATCACCTCCACCCTCTGTAGCTGTGTAAACCTACACTAGGGGCCTGGCTGGTTCCTCTAAGTAGGGAATCATAAGCAGGGGTGCACATAAGTGGTACGCAGATACAAATGCACGACAAAAATCAGAAACGCTACCATCACTTGAGTTAGTAACCGCCTTTGTGTACTTCACCTCTACCATAGACCAGTCCTTCACAAAGAGTGGGGTGCTCCTCCCGAGGGGAGCGTGGTGCAGTGCCAGTGTAACCGAGCGGGTCAGTCTGTAGCTACAGTACGTGAATATAGTTTTATACTGAAGGCTGACTTTCAAGCGGCACGCGCCACTCACACACACACACACACACACAAACTGCATTCTGGGTCTGTGCGCGTGATCGAACCAAGGCACTATTTCCTGGTGGGTTAAATGCGCCAAATTACAGAGGAGGTGACTTGACTTTTTTTTTTGCTAATTTCACTGTAAATACGCTCTGCACTGCTTTCACCAGTACAGAAACTAAACCCACCTAAGCACTGGAATCTGAGCTCTCCTGTTTTATTTCTAAGTAACCCATGACCAGTGTTGGGCACGTTACTTTGAAAAAGTAATTAGTTATAGTTACTAGTTACTTCTCCCAAAAAGTAACTGAGTTACTAACGGAGTTACTCCACTATAAAAGTAACTAGTTACCAGTAAAAGTAACTATTGCGTTACTTTTTCGTTTTGTTCTGGAACATAATGTGCACCCGACGTGCGCATTTTTACCTTTAACAGTGCCAATATTTCCATCTAGAAAAGGCTGTTTTGCTGCTGAAGTCCTGTTCACTCTTCATCTCTCACTGTGCTGTAAGCACTAAACACCAACACCCGACACTGTGAATGTGGAAACACCGGTGACGAGCGGTGAGGCTGGTGAAGCACTGACTTCAGCCCAATCAGATGAACATATACATCATATAAATCAAGTGGACAATTTGTTTGGCTACAGCAAAATATGTTTTATGCCCGCATTGTGTGTTCATACAAAACGCAAAACTATGAGTTATGGGTCTTACCTTATAGCTATACCTTATAAATGACCTGCACAGTCCACTTCGGTTCAGACCAGTTCCTTGTTTAAATCCAGTGAATGGTTTGAGCGTAGATATGTAATCCTCCATTTGGAAATGAGTCCAATGAGTTTTAAAAAGTAAAACAAAACGCGTGTGTCCTCCGTAAACTCCTCTGTTTTGCTGCAGCCGGCTGCATCCAATTTCTAAAATCAACCGTCTTACACTTCACCTCTCTTTCTTATCATTCCTATAGTAATTGAAAAATTACCCTATGTGCATTTTAGATTATGTAAAAATGTGTTATATGTATGTTAGCCAAACCTGTTGCTGTCCTTAGCAGATAAACCAGGAAGAGCAAGGAGCTTATCGATGGAATTGTATGCAGCCGACTTCTGCGCTCACATGCGCTCCTCTGAGGCTGACCTCACGGTGATACAAGCCGTGGTTGAGCGCGATTAAGACCCATATTTGTTTCAAAAACACAATTTATGAGCCATCCTCTCAACTGTAGACATGTAGATTGTATAGGAAATATGATTTACATCAGCCAATAATTGCTGAGAGGTTTTCTCATCCTCCCTTCTCTCATGACAACACGTTCATTGTGCGTCTTGAGTAACGCGCAGTAACGGGATGTCGGAAATGATAACGGCGTTATAGTTACTGTCAAAGTAATTAGTTAGATTACTCGTTACTGAAAAAAGTAACGGCGTTAGTAACGCCGTTACTAGTAACGCCGTTATTCCCATCACTGCCCATGACATTCAGAGAGGGTGTGCGTGATCGCGGGGCACTTACTGTACGTACTCGAACGCGATTCCAGCCACTCCTAGCTAAACAGTCATAATGTACCCAATGCGGACCATTCTCTGCTTGTTGAAAGTGTGTGTCTTTGTGTAACGCATAATAAATACATACATATTGCGTTACCGCAAGAAACAGAGCATTTTCCCTTGCATTAATAATGCATAATAATGTTTTTGTTTTGCATTTTTAAGAAAGAGCCCTGTGAGTCAATATTTCTGAGCTGATCTAAACTTTAGCATTACAAAGAAGTAGTATAAAATCTCAACTAAGAACCACGCGACAAATGGAGTGAACACCAAACACCATCTCCTGGTGCTCATCCGAGAACCTCGCTGAAAATGTTAAGTGCACCCCTGCTCATAAGCACAACATTGTAGAGCGTGTTTGAGTCGTTGTGGAAGACGAGCACCTGTATCCGGCGCACACTGACACGGCTCTCGAACAGTGTCTCGATGGCGTTGGGAAAGAAGAGCGTGACTGTGAGGCGCACAGACGCGTACAGAGACACGGTCACAAACACGCGACTCGCCGACAGCGTGTTCCCCAATAGCACGTACACAGTGAAGGTGCAGAACAATATGATTTTACTGGCACAGAAGAAGGACGCCATGTTGAGGCCACGCAGGTGCGAGCTCTTCAGCACTTTGGAGATTTCTTTTCTGCAAAACACAGTCACAAATAAACTGTCACACTATTATCCAGTTTAAGTTATCTTTATTGTCCCATGGGGCTTTGCAGCAAACAATCATCTAAAAACAGGCAGACAGTAAAACCAAATTGTGAAACAGTAAACAATTGTGATGAATTAAAATTTAATTAACAATATTTGCTAACATTTTGGATATTTTCAACATTATAACCATTACAATAATGTATTTATTCATTTATTGTTTGCTTGGTTGGGGCAGTACATGTTAATGAACACATCACTCCGGATTGTAGCGTTGGGCTAATTTGCATCAGATCACATTCGCACTCACAAACACACACTCATTCATTCATTCATTCACCCTGAACTACTGCACATGTTTTTAGTGGTAGGAGAAACAGGAGTACACGGAGGAAACCTACGCAGACATGGGGAGAACATGCAAAGGCCCTATTCCGACCGGGATTTGAATAATATTCACATTCCAAGTCAAGTATGTTGACACTTCTGACATTGAACAGGAAAAGCAGGTCCGTTACCTTCTGATGTCGGAGACCAAAGCGGCAAAAGGTTTCTCCCAGGCGTACATCTTTATGATTCTCATCCCTGACACAACTTCATTCATTGTCCGGATTCTAGTGTCAGTCAAAACAGCCGTCTGACTCCTGCAGAGACACAAGATAGTCAATGTCACTGCTATATTTTAGCAATATTACCTTTCATTTACCTAAACTTTGAGAAAAGCCTTCCGAACATGGTCTGTGTTGGCATGAGGATCATAAGGACCACCATTCCAACCAGACACGAAGGGCCAATCTCTGCCCAGAGCAGCCCCACCACAGCAGCCACCTGGATCGGCGCCACCCACAGGAAGTGCAGGAAGATGGTGACCTGTACAACACATGCTGCATGAGTGGACTTGAGCTTTGTTGATTACGTGTTGCTACAGCAGGTGTGTCAAAGCTAAATGCAGAACTCCATTACTGGTAGACTGAGTCTACTGTGTACTTAAAACAAATGCCTGTGTCTACACAACATAAAATGTTTGATTAAAATAAGTAATTAAAGTCAATTAAATACTCCTTTGCCTTGTAGCCATTTGGGAAGACTTGAGGTGGATTTTCCAGTTACAGCTTGGCTGATGTGTGTGGCGAGAATTCAATAGGCCTTGCACACAAATCCAAAAAAAACTTGTTTGTTAGTATTGTGTTGAAAAATGCTAAAATCTGTCGAAGGGGCAACTGTATGCAATGTAATGACAGAAAACTTCTGTGTATGTTTTTCCATACACACACTTCAATGTGCATTAAGTTCTTACTTGGTCAAACTTGTTGACGTCATTGGACAGAAGGTTGACAATCTGACCTGTGGTGGTCTTTCCCATGGCTGCGCTGCTCAGACACAAAGCCTTGAAGGAAATAACAAATCACATTCAGATTCATTTTTACGTGACCACGACAGTGGATGCAGCGGTTTGCAAATTGCCGGCTGCTCATACTAACCTTCTTGTAGATCATGTGACACATTGCCACTCTGACCTTCATGCCTATCCTCTGAACGTGGTAGAAGTAGAGGTGATGGGTGAGGGCCAGGCTGATAGAGCAGAACGACAGACCTGCGGCGTAGCCCAGGGCCCGGTGCAGAGCTGCAGAGTCTGATGGATCATAACTCTCAAAATACTGGATAATCTTGCCAAGGAAAACAGGCTGCACCACTCTGATGGACTCCTGGTGGCACACGGCAGAGCATCAGATTCAATTTAAAAAGATAATTACTCGATGGTGTTTTCATTTATTGTATTTTATTTTATTACGTTTTATCATTTTCGATTTGTATTATTAATATTTGCTCAAATGATTTTTTGTCCCACTGTCACTACAGGTTGAAAAACTCGATATGTGAGAATAGTCTCTACTGTGTTGCAACGGCACAGCGCCAGTCAGATGACCTGCTGGTTACTCCCCTCTCACATGTATTTCTACTGAATTGCCTAAAGTCTGAATAACACACTTTCTTTGTAGTAAATAGGACAATCTCTGCTGTGTTGCCATGAGCCAAACCTCAACCAGAGTGAAGAAGCCCAGCACTGCGTAGGGTTTCCAATAGCAGCAGATGATGGCTCTGGAGAGACTGGGGGTTTGTGTTGTTTTGGCCATTTTCTCCACATTCAGGTCCCAATGTCTGAGAACAGAAGTAAATAAGGATTAAACATAGCAGCGACTCTTTTCATTGAAATGGCTTGGTGATAGTCACCTTTGGTTCTCAAACAATAAGAGTCCAGGCTAATATCCATAGCCTGGTGCAACGAATCTTGTAATTAACCCGCAGTGATTAAAACTGCCAAATTCTATTTCCGAAACAGATTTTAGGTCTTGGGGCTAATCACCAGTGACTAAAATCACCGGGCGGCACGGTGGCTGAGTGGATAGCACTCTCGCGGCTACTATTTTATGATTATATAGTATATAATTACTGTACAGGGCAGTTATCGCAAAGTGTGCAAAGAATCACTGATAAAGATGCACATAAAGTCATAGTGCTTCTTAAGAAATTGTATTCTGCCCTTTCCAGGTATTCCAGGCCACAATAACAAAAGCATAGGAGCCATTGGTCCATAGGGCGTGGAATGACACCATAAATCCATAAATGTCTCTACATGTCTTGCATTATCACTGTTGTTAGACCCCACTGCATTGGCAAGGTCCCAAAATCCACTGCCATAATTTGTTTTCTATCATCACCCTATGAAATACCAGAGCATTACACTATTAGGGCTGCACCATAATGGAACTCTGAGCGAAATTAGATTCGATATGGGTGATTAGTGTTTCGATAATGATTTCAAAGCTATATTTGTGTCTTTCACCTAAAAAGCATTGAACCGCAAGAGAAAAATCTATAAACATAGATAAATTAAGCACATTAATTACATTCAAATGCTGTATGGCACACATATTAACCTCAAATCTTGGCTTAAGTTTCCAATTCCACACACACAGCACTAACAGAGAGAGTAAGAGTGCAGAATAAGCGTTGTGTCGCTTTGAAGTTTTCTCAGAAGGTGCTACAGAAGTGCAACTCTCAATAATGCTGGTTTTTGTATTTGCCTTTGCTTTGACCAGAGAAGAGTGTGGGGTTTTAGATTGTAAATAATACACAACATAAAGTACCTTATGTGTGTGCTGGAAGTGGCGCAGGAGGTTTGTCGTGTTTTTCCTTCTACGTAGCGACTATTTTTTGGGACGACTTTCAAAAAACTTCTTTTTGTGAGTGCTCCTGTCCAAAGTGGTCCCAAAAACCGGAGATAAAGTGTCTTTTTGAACATCTCCAAATTCCTCTATGCTCTCGTCTGCATTTGTCTCTTCATCATCCGCTTGTTTTGTCTCTCTGCGAGCTCCACTCTAGCAAAGTGGCAGCATTAGGCCACCGCAGATTCATTAAAGTGCGCGGACAAGAAATGTTAATGCATACATAAATATATACAAATTATTGGGCATCTTTAAAGCTTCACTAACTGACTTTGAGGAACTTTATCAGAACGCTGGGCTCGCTCTCTGCTCGCCCTAACTACACGGAGCTTTCGCCCACACGCCAGCACATATCTGCTCTACTTTTTCTTCAAAAAGACGTGTATCCCAATGCACTGCATGGATATGGATTTAATTTTCGTAATTAATAGAAAAATATAGACAGTTAGTGCAGCTTTAAGATATGGATATGGCACGTGCAAATACTGCGTTGACAGCCCTAATACCCATTTCAAACAAAACCGTTTTTTTAAACAGACAAACATTTAGATATCCATAGATTACGATCACTTATTAATTTCTTCTTGAGATAGATCCAGATATAACGGTCTCCTTGTTGGATACCCTAAAAGGCCGGGTAAATTGAGATTACATAGCAGTGGAGAGCTGCAGATAAATAAACAGTGATGACAAGAAATACAAAGAGCATGACAAAACACTAGAACATTTCAATTTAACTATAAAGAACCATGGAAAACAGGCTTTTGACAAGTGCGCTTTCTAAATAAACTCTTTCATGCTCCATGTTCAGCTGTGATTGTGATTGATTGTAAATGTCCCATCAACTTAAGAGCACTTTTTGAACGTGATTGAGGGAAATACAGCCATGTTTGTTTGTATCCATTCATTTACTATTTACTTACTATTTCTAAAAGGACAGATTAATATCACTGTGGTATGAATACGTTGCATTAAACAGCAGGATCTTGGCTTTGTTTCTCTCACCGAGACTTCTAAAGGTCATGAAGCTGCTATAGCAAATCCGGAATCCAAAGTTGCCCTTATAAGTGAATTACTGTTACTTGTGATTAAATTAACCATGTGTTGGGAGTACTGCACCTTCAAATGACAAAACAGATGAGGTGAATATTGCTTTCATGGATCAATGTTGCAACAGGCCACAACACGAAGAAAACAAAGTGATGTGAATTCTAATGTTGTCGTTATAGTCAGAACGTGCAACCGCCTGAGCCATTCCATTTCTGCCTCATACAAACGTCATTTAACAAGGCACTGTAAGCAGGATAATAAGGATGAAGTTTCGTTTATTTGTGCTATAAACAGTGTATTGAAGCCTTGGGTTATTTTGCAGCGGTTATCCCACAGGCACACTCATTCATCCTGAACTGTTGTAAGGTTATAGCTGTATTGGGGAACCTGGAGCAGCTGTGAGAAACCTTCACAAACACAGAGAGAACATGCAAATTCCTCGTCAGAAAATCCGTAAAACCTGCTTGGCCCCAAATATGCTCGATGCAACTGGAATTCAACTCAGAGAATAGACTTTAAAACAGCTCTGCTTGTTACAAGTCTCTCCATGGCCTCGCACCAAAATATATTAGTGACATGTTAGTCCCATATGAACCAGCCCGGACTCTGAGGAGCACAGGGACTGGACTCCTGCTGGGACTCTGAGGAGCACAGGGACTGGACTCCTGCTGGGACTCTGAGGGAGCACAGGGACTGGACTCCTGCTGGGACTCTGAGGGAGCACAGGGACTGGACTCCTGCTGGGACTCTGAGGGAGCACAGGGACTGGCCTCCTGCTGGGACTCGGAGGAGCACAGGGACTGGACTCCTGCTGGGACTCTGAGGAGCACAGGGACTGGACTCCTGCTGGGACTCGGAGGGAGCACAGGGACTGGACTCCTGCTGGGACTCAGAGGGAGCACAGGGACTGGACTCCTGCTGGGACTCGGAGGGAGCACAGGGACTGGACTCCTGCTGGGACTCGGAGGGAGCACAGGGACTGGACTCCTGCTGGGACTCGGAGGGAGCATAGGGACTGGACTCCTGCTGGGACTCGGAGGAGCACAGGGACTGGACTCCTGCTGGGACTCGGAGGGAGCACAGGGACTGGACTCCTGCTGAGACTCGGAGGGAGCACAGGGACTGGACTCCTGCTGGGACTCAGAGGGAGCACAGGGACTGGACTCCTGCTGGGACTCAGAGGGAGCACAGGGACTGGACTCCTGCTGGGACTCTGAGGAGCACAGGGACTGGACTCCTGTTAGTGCCCAAAGTCAGAACTAAACATGGGGAGGCTGCGTTTCAGATTCATGCTGCTAAAATCTGGAACAATCTTCCTGAAAGTGTGAGACAGGCCTCCTCTCTGACAATGTTTAAAACAAGGGTAAAAACAGTTCTGTTTAGCTGTGCTACAACTGAGGGATTTTATATTTTTATCTTTTTAATGTAATGTGATTATTTATTTTAATACTTTATTTTGTTCAGTACCATACAAATAAACTTGCCTTGGAATATTGGTGAAATTATTATTATTTGGTGATTAAACGTCTCCAACTCTGCAAACCATGGACACTTTCATATAAACTTTTAACAGACCATCTCGCCCTCACTGGGACAATCATACGAGATGATTGACAGGTGCACGTAGACTTGTACCTTTGTAACTCCTGGCCCAGACGTTCAGACCGGTCTTCGGGGAGAACATCATACATGTCCTCTTCCTCCAGAGTTCGCTTGTATCCAATGCTGAACAAAGGGTTTAACCAGCTGCAGTAAAAAAACAAAAGGCCACATTACATAACGGTCATAATGCAATCAAATCTGAACTCATAAAACTATCACGGACACTTGCTCTCATCGTTAAAGACTCAGAGAGAGATAAATGGATACAGGACAGCGTGGGTCTGGAGTAAATATGTAATAACTAAGTTTTAGAATATTGTATTTGGGTTTGTTCACACTAAAGGGCACAAAAGTGTGACAAAAGGCCAAAAATTTGATGTTAATAATCCAAAGAAATATTATGTTTTTCATGTGTTCAAATCCCTCCTGTGTCCAGTAGAAGTTTCTAGAACAAAACTGTTGTATACATTAGACAAGTTTCCTGTTTAATTTATGTAACGATGATGATTGGACGGAACGAGCTGCGGAAGTTTGTTACGTATTTTCAGATCCACATTTGATTGAGATTTCTTTTGCACAGAGTAGACCCAAAGTGTTATTTTCATATTAAACTAACTAAATATGAAAACAGATCAGATTTTTATTTCTCAAGTTTAATTTTTTGAGAAAAATGGACGGAAACCATCAGGTCCGTTACACCTTTTTCAAGGGTCAATTCATTTTTTTTAACGATTCCTTTTTATATCAAGCTATTCACTGATGTAGTGTTAATGTAAATCTTGTGGGATTTCATCTGCCGCTTTTTCAGACCGAGGACATTTTATTTTCTCTGTAACCGGCGTCACAGTAGAACGGTCCAATCAGAGGCGGATTTGGTCGTTTAAAATGTCGCTAAAAATACATTTGTCAATCTTTCCTTTTGGTTTTATCCACACTATCTCTTCAATGTGTCTGTGTTTGAAATCTGTTTTTCCCAATCTATGAGAGTCATTTTAGTTTTTGAGTTATAACCTTTTAAAGTCCAGATACTTTCTTTGACACTCATTTGTGGATGGATGTATTCTGTCGCTGGACGCCTGAATTTCTACAACATTAATGTATCCGTCTACTTGAGGTCTGGTTTGGATTTTGCCCCATTCAGAAATCTTTTATTTTATTGTTTATTTGGCTGGGATAAACATGTTACTGTTTTTAATCAAAGACTAATCCTGTGTCAGTTTGTTTGTTTGAGTAACACACAATAAACGCATGTCGTATATAGTATATCAATTACACTGTCGTAAAGGAAAATACCTCTGATATTACTAGGTATTCATTTGCAATTCATTATCAGTCATTTATAACAATCATTTTCATTCATTCATTTAACAGAAAAAACAGTAGGTTTTAAGACGTAATGTTGTAAAGAAGGTTAATGTACTGTGCGACGTCAAAAGCGAGAATCTAAAAATTCTGGTAATAACAGCTGTGGTAGTGGGGAACCTTATCTTTCACTCATAAATACATTTTAATTGTCCCCACTGAAATAATGAAACCACATGCCGTCTTAATATCACTTAAAAACATGATATACTTGAATATGGACATTGTAAAAAGTCTACACTGATTATTTTAGCTCTAAAGTTTGTTATTGAAGTTATTTTCAGGTTCTTACAATGCAAACCCAAGCCAGTAAACACAACTAATGTGGCAAAATCTTGAAAATCCAGGTTCCTCTGAAAACTGAAAGTGAAAACTGAAAGTGAAAATTGAAATGTGGGACAAATAAAGGATCTCTTTTCTTTCTCTTCTGAAAAACTGGGTGAATTACAAACACGTGCCACCAGGTGTTTATGGTTACCCTTCTCTTCTGCATGTCCTCTTATGCTTTAGACTTCTCTGCACAATTAGTTCCAAGTTCAGTCAAACACGAATGTTCTGTAAACTGTAAATAAACACCGGAAAAGAAACACGAGCAGAAGGGAATTGGAGTCGGGAAAACCCTGCAGCAAAGGAATTCTCTTGATGTTTTGATCGTATGGTACTTTTGTAAGAAGCCCAAACTACTGCACGTACAAGCCACACTACAGCCTTTATCAGCACTTTGACCAAGTTTACAAACCAATGCATTGTGAATATGTTTAAATGACCTGCTCGGGGGATTGTTGCACTTCTCATTCGACTCACCAGAAAAATATTTTAGAAAACACATTGGCGCTGGCTGCCGGGTTCGCCTTGGCGTTCTCCATGATGGGTAGCGCGCCTCCAGGACCTTCCCTCGCCTCCTGTTATCTGCCCTGCTCCTTCCGCGGGCTGGTACCGGGGTCTGGGTGCCGTGCTTTAGGGGGGAACACGCACATGTCCCGCGGAGGTGCCCCTCTCTTTTCAGTCTCTCCTGGCGTTACGTATCCCCGAGTCTCACGGCGAGAAGGCCCGCCCCCCGACGCACGTGATTGGACGAGCGGCCCACTTCAAACGCAGGCGATTGGCTGGAAAAGTGAGATTATAAAAGTGTTCTCGACCTGTAGATGACATAAAGCTCATATCATCATAATCAGCTCTGCCAATGAGTGGAAGATTATAATCAGTTTAACAACAGAAAGGCAGGAGGACAGGGGTTTCTTCCTGTTTCCCCCAAAAATGAATGTTGTTTGTCCCATGTATTGTAAAAGTAAAAATGTTGAGAACAAATAAAACCACTTCATCTAATCAGAAAACCTTTTGCAGCATTGTAAGAACCCTGTGAGTCAATATTTAACTCTGTATAAGTAAGAAAGAATATTTAACATTGGTCTGAGTGCTTAGAGTGAGTGTTCCTCTCTTTCTGTTTGTAAATGCAGATCTAAAAGTGTGACAGTACCAACATTTGATGCAGTGATAATACTGGTTTTCGAACCAGGAAGTAGATTTATTTTTATTTTGTATTAGTATCCCGGCTTTAATAAAAGACAAGCAAATTCTCACTTGCTATGGGAAAAGATCAAGTGATATTCAATGAATAAGCACAAAAAAATAATGCTTAAAGCGCCTTTTCTGCTCTCTATGCTTATAATATGGCAGACGTCTAAATGGACTAGAAATGATGTTTATTTTTGTCTGAGTAATGTAATTTTCTCATTTTGGTTCCTCATTTTCACAAAGCCTAACAAAAAGGAAATTCCTTCTTTCCTGAAGCAAATGTGTCCATGCAGGCCCTATAAAAGACTAGTAACAAAAGGCCATTTGTTGATAGAGTGAGGTCTTGCTTTGTTTGATTGTCAAGTTTACACATAGATAGAGCAAGTCTATAAATAGACCTGACACACAGGTAGAGATGACAGAGGCTCCGGAGCCAACAGGTGTGTCCTGTGCTGACATAAGGGTCCTTCTTACGCCCATCTCACTCCGGCCCTACGACTCTACCGCCTCCTCCTGTTTCATTGTTCAACACAGCATATCAAAGTCAACCCAGTCGCATGTGAGAGAGGTACAGTAAATAGTTTTCCTGGCAACAAAGTGGTCCAATGATGTAGAAATCTGGCCCGCATTTACTGTTGATGTTTAGCTCAAAGTGAAGGGGCCACAGCGTGAGTCGTGGGTGATCAGAGAGAGCAGCCAGCCCACCTCAGGGATCAGCTTTACTTTCTCAGGGGCTCCAGACCTTGTGATAGCTCTGTTTTTAACTTCTCACATTACTTCTGTGGCCTCGGAGACTTTGTTAACTATTGAGAGGTACATTGGGATAGGCGTAGGGCTCTCCAATAAATCATAGGGAAGATAGGGAAGCAGTTATCAAAAGGCCCATCTGTAAAGTATTTGACAGATACTTACACTAAGTAAGTAATGCTTCAAGGCAATAAATAATCACAGCAATCACAGTAATATAGATTTCTAGTTTCTATAATTGTATAGAATAATGCAGAGTACATACAGTGCTTTGCGAAAGTATTCGGCCCCCTCGAACCTTTCAACATTTCGCCACATTTCAGGCTTCAAACATAAAGATATAAAAAAAAATTTTTTTGTCAATAATCAACAACAAGTGGGACACAATCGTGAAGTGGAACGAAATTTATTGGATGATTTAAACTTTTTTAACAAATAAAAAACTGAAAAGTGGGGCGTGCAATATTATTCGGCCCCCTTGTGCTAATACTTTGTAGCACCACCTTTTGCTGCAATTACAGCTGCAAGTCGCTTGGGGTATGTCTCTATCAGTTTTGCACATCGAGAGACTGGAATTCTTGCCCATTCTTCCTTGACAACAGCTCTAGCTCAGTGAGGTTGGATGGAGAGCGTTTGTGAACAGCAGTCTTCAGCTCTTTCCACAGATTCTCGATTGGATTCAGGTCTGGACTTTGACTTGGCCATTCTAACACCTGGATACGTCTATTTGTGAACCATTCCATTGTAGATTTGGCTTTATGTTTTGGATCATTGTCCTGTTGGAAGATAAATCTCCGTCCCAGTCTCAGGTCTTTTGCAGACTCCAACAGGTTTTCTTCCAGAATGGTCCTGTATTTGGCTCCATCCCTCTTCCCATCAATTTTAGCCATCTTCCCTGTCCCTGCTGAAGAAAAGCAGGCCCAAACCATGATGCTGCCACCACCATGTTTGACAGTGGGGATGGTGTGTTCAGGGTGATGAGCTGTGTTGCTTTTACGCCAAACATATCGTTTTGCATTGTGGCCAAAAAGTTCGATTTTGGTTTCATCTGACCAGAGCACCTTCTTCCACGTGTTTGGTGTGTATCCCAGGTGGCTTGTGGCAAACTTTAAACAAGACTTTTTATGGATATCTTTGAGAAATGGCTTTCTTCTTGCCACTCTTCCATAAAGGCCAGATTTGTGCAGTGCACGATTGATTGTTGTCCTATGGACAGACTCTCCCACATCAGCTGTAGTTATCTGCAGTTCATCCAGAGTGATCATGGGCCTCTTGGCTGCATCTCTGATCAGTCTTCTCCTTGTTTGAGATGAAAGTTTGGAGGGACGGCCGGGTCTTGGTAGATTTGCAGTGGTCTGATACTCCTTCCATTTCAATATAATTGCTTGCACAGTGCTCCTTGAGATGTTTAAAGCTTGGGAAATCTTTTTGTATCCAAATCCGGCTTTAAACTTCTCCACAACAGTATCTCGGACCTGCCTGGTGTGTTCCTTTGTCTTCATGGTTCTCTCTGTGCTTTAAACAGAACCCTGAGACTATCAAAGAGCAGGTGCATTTATACGGAGACTTGATTACACACAGGTGCATTCTATTTATCATCATCAGTCATTTAGGACAACATTGGATCATTCAAAGATCCTCACTGAACTTCTGGACTGAGTTTGCTGCACTGAAAGTAAAGGGGCCAAATAATATTGCACGCCCCACTTTTCAGTTTTTTATTTGTTAAAAAAGTTTAAATTATCCAATAAATTTCGTTCCACTTCACGATTGTGTCCCACTTGTTGTTGATTCATGACAAAAAATGTAAATTTCATATCTTTATGTTTGAAGCCTGAAATGTGGCGAAATGTTGAAAGGTTCAAGGGGGCCGAATACTTTCGCAAGGCACTGTATATACCACATCTGCCCTGGAGCAGACTGACACACACCAGGCTCCTACTATTGTCACTATAAGCTTTTCATTTAAAACGGCTTGTAAAACTACTAACACAACATGAAAATTTGCACATTTTGTCATATTTACAACAGATAAATATCTGTTGAAAACCACAAAGTAACAGACAAGTGTGAAGTGAAAGCAAGACCCTCGATGCAGCATATCTTTGAGTGCGTAACGAGAACATTGCCTGTGAAAATGTCCTAATGACTACTGAATGCTGTCCCTGAGGATTAAAACTAGCGCACCTGTGTGTAATCTCCTCTCCGTGTAATTACGGCTTCAAACCTTCGTCTCATATTCCCTGAAACAAATCCATAAACGCTTCGCTCGGTCAAGTCCAGGAGTCTTCAGCCGTATCCAATCAAAACAGTTATCTGGTCACTATTTTGCTCACTCTTAAGTCATTTATGATTAGTTGTAGATACATGGAATTGAGTATCGTGGCCATACTTGAGTGAAAGCCCGACACTGTCATACCTCTGAAGCTAAATAGGGCAGGGCGTGGTTAGTATTGTGATGGGAGACCTCTTGGCGGTTTTGGCTGTAAAGACTCAGTCAAACTTTGGTTGTGTCTCTGGGCAAGACACTTCACCCACATTGCCTAGAATGAGTCTGGTGTGAGTCTGAATGGTTGTTGGCGGTCATAGGGGACAATGGCACAGACTGGTTGCCTCGCTCATGTCAGTGTGCCCCTGGACAGCCGTGGCTACAGTAGTAGTTTATCACCAACATGTATGAAGTGAATGAATAATAATACATGGGAAGCTTTTTTGAGTGCCCAAATAGAATAAAATAAAATAAAATAAACTCTGTAATTGCACTTGGTTCAGAGGTTCAGACATTTGAAATTGAAAGTGTTTTTAGAGTGGGTTTTTAGAGATATCCCTTACAGATGCAGGAGGGTCTAAGAATGGAATGAATAATTACATGGGAAGCTTTTTTGAGTGCCCAAAAATGCATTATTATTATTTTTAGTTTGGAGATTAGCCTGCTGGATAAGGAAGCAACGTGCATACAGAATAAACAGTGCCTTGTATTGCATTACTCATGTACTCCCATCAGAAACACAATGTAGTCTGACTCATGTTGGAGAGCTGCCGACCTCCCTGTGCAGTCACTGACTTTAATTGATTTGAATGAACTGATTTTCCACAGTGGGAGGAGCAGGAGTGCAAGCTAACAGAATAATTATCGCACTTTGGCATTACACTCACAGAAAGCGTCAAAAAGCATCTCGCATTTTCTGTTTTCTCTTGACTGCCTGTTAAAACGAGTGCTCGAATCATGCCTTTGCGAGACATCAAATTCAAAGGAAAACAAGAAAAGCAAAGTTGCATCTAAAAATAATCGGCAAAGAACATTAATTTTGGTCTGTTCTAAGTATAAACTGCAGAGGACTTTCACTCTGAGGTGAAACCGCAAAGGCACTAATGCTCAGAGAATGCGTCCCGGTTTAAAGATATATCACATTTCTTCTGTTTGACACTTCACACAATGTCGCTGCCACATCAGAGCTGCAGAACGAACACGCGGTGAGCCCGACTCTCCCGCCGCACCACACTCCAATATCCACTTACATAGCACGGTAATAACCTCACACGATTATGCACATGATTTAAGAGACGTGTACTTTGCCAGAACAAGAGAAAGGTTTGCCACAGTCTGCTGACGGCGTGCTCGTCCACGTCCAAATCACTCAGTTCTGTGTTTTTGTTCAGATGAGTAAACCGCCTGCAGCACTTGGCTTGTTTGCAAAAGTTAAACATGCTGGAAATGCACAAATCAAACATAAAAAGCAATCAATGGAAGCAGGAGGGTTCCTTGGAACACGAAGGGCAGGGCAACTGAGCTTTAAGTAATGTGTTTTTCTCCATCATTTATAGTACACATAGTGAGTAGAAAAACCTACATTTTCTCACTGTCTTAATGAAACCTACATATGGCAGCGCATTTGCAAGAGATATTAGACAATTGTCAAGTGTAATGAAACTATATGTGTTTCAAAATAATTGAATCAGGAAAAACAATATACCCTAAAGTAGCAATATGTAAGATTTTCATGTCAAATCATCATCAAATGGCCCTAATCTGTCAAAAGGTATATACTTCTTTAACTGATAACAGTAGTTCAGAGATATTTCAATTTCAAAATTAGTTTTACTACCCCTAAATCTTGTTGTTTTCATTTTGATGTAACGCACTCCACCGTTTAACCAATCAGAAAGTCCGTAATCCGGATTTGCTGAACTCACAGCGTTGAGATAATCTCACTGGTAAAGTAACATGTTGCCATAGAGCTAAAACGGTCTCGTTATGATCCTCAAATCATTCATGAAAAAACAAGGAATACACCAAGGTTTTCTATGGGGCCTATCTGAAAAAGGTGTTTGTTATAGTTGTTGACCAAACTCTTGTTTATTCAGTTATTACGGTCCCAGCTGGATTTGTCTGCATATCTGGCAACCTGAGTCAGGGAGAGAGAGAGAGAGGGAGCAGTACCACTTTTGTCCAGATTTTTACATACTGCTCCTTTAAATGTCTTGTCGCAGTGAATGAATAGTCACTTTTTCATGTGTATAGAGGTAAGGTAATGTATATTCTATTGCTCTTGTAAGAATATTTGTCCTGATATGTGTATGGATTGTTGACCCATCCTTCCAATGCCACAAGAGCAACCAGCCAGAAGCAGTGGTCACCGCAGTGCAGCACCAAGGGACCCCTCTCTCTAGATGTTGAGAATGCTCATCTTGGTCAGGACAACCTCTAGAGGCTTTTATCTATTGTGTATGTTTTGGTCTGTTGGACAAAAGTGAACCCATTCAGACACAGGAACAAACACACAACCTTCTCACCGAGTGCTACCCACTTCCAAGCTTCAATCACTCTATCACAAAACCTTAAATTAGCATCTATAATCAACAATAGAAGCCAAACATTGCAGTCCTAATTACAATCTTAATCTTAAAAACATTGAGCAGAAAACAATTTAAACCGTTTCTTATTCATACAGGGATTCAGCTACAGTGTTGAACCACGAAAATGTCTGGACAATTGTGCCAGTATTTCCGAATGACAGTGGTGTGAAAAACTTTCCCCAGTCATGCAGAGCTTTTGAGATCCGTCAGTCGTGTGGTTGAGAAACTTCAGCGTTGGCAGAGTGAGGACATCCCTGCCTGGAGCACTGCCCTGCTCCGTCAGCCCGCTCTGTGATTAAGCAGCGCTCTGATTCAAGCCTGACGCAGGACGTGAACACCACATGCATATGGTAGACACACACGCACACACACACACGCACACACACACGCACGTTTTAAGCTCTTTCTCACTCTGCTGTGGCGCTGATTACTCACACAGAAGGCAAACAGTCCCGCCCAGCCAACAGCCAAGCAACAGCAAGCCATGGCAGGAATACGATGTGAACAACCAAATGCTAGTTTTGATCCATAACAACAAATGAGATGCTTTTTGAAATACACAATCGAAATATAAACCCCCAGATAATATGGACAACTTTAGACTAGCAGCATGTCCTAAAAATATGAGACGGTTTCTTCTCTGACAATGTTCAAATCCTGTTTAACTGTGCAAACACCAGGGTTCCTACTGTATCTTCACTATTTTTAATGTACTGTGATTATTTGACTTAACTTTGCGTTGTCTTTTGTATGAACTGTGTATAAATGATATTACTTCACTTTTGCTTTTCAATTTACAGACTAATTATTACTTGTATGTGAAAACAGAGCCAGTCATGCAAGAGGTAACACTGCAAAGCTTCATTCTGGCTTGCTACAGATTAGATAATGTGGTGATGAAGTGATTGAAGCAGCATGAGCCATGAGGGCCAATAACAAATGGTCAAAAGTCTGCCATATTCTCAGGAGGCAGTAATTTGGACAGATCTGTTTTAATATACCCACAGACCAAACACACTTCAGCACTATCAGAAGGTATTGTAGAGATAAATTGTTAGTCAGTAATTCATCGACCACAAGCTAAAGTAAGCGCCGAGTAGGTCAATAGTGTTTTCCCTTCTGTGTTTTTAAGCCAAAGTCTTGATGAAGACACTTTTGGCAGAGAGAGGGGCAGGGCTTCTGTGAGTCAAGATGCGCCAACGTCCCTATTCTATTTTATTGAACTAAAACGTAACACCTGCCAGAAGCCAGACAGGGCAATAAATCCATTTCTCATCATCATCATAGAAAAACACTGTATCAGAATGCATCTAAATAAGCCAGTCTGCTGCGAATCAATGAGCTGTATGCACTTGAGCCTTGCAGAGGAGACGTCGAGAAAGAACTAAATGAAAGCAGCTTTTGAATAGGATTTGATTCAATTTTAAGATTTAAAGAACAAATTGCCAGTCAATCAGGATTACTATAATTGGACTAGAAGCTTTTGTGTCCCTTGAGTAGAGGCTTACTCTATATGTCATGTTTAAACTATTTGACAACCAGCTGAACTATATAATATCGACAAAATTCAGATGTCTCAACAAGAATGACTTTAGTAAGGGATAAATTATTACACGGAATTATGCATAACAGATACTGGTAAGAAAAGTGTAAATGAATAATTATGTATCAAGGCTGATGAATTGCCACGGTCTCATAAACAGCAGCAAAGACTTGTGCAAAAGTGGACTAGCCTTGGTGCCCTCTGCCCCTAAATACCAGATGGCTCAACCAAAGCACCAAACACAATTATTTTCCCGCCGCATTTCGACCAGTGCTTGATAAATCTCCTCTGCTCCAAATCCTTTAGGAATCAGCCTGGCTGGACGGCTGAAGACAGAGGGGGTGCTTGTGTGTGTGACCCTAAGCCCACGTAAGGCTCACCTGGACGGTCTCCCCTCGGACCGAAGAGTCCCCCAGCAGTGGTTCCGCCGGCGGTGTGTTGATGGTGACCGATTTCTCCGAGCGGCTGTCTTTGCTCCGCGATTTGTGCCGGTCGCGACTTCTCTCTCTGGGAAGAAAACCAAAATAATGCGGTTAGCCTTGTGCAAACATGTGGATGTATGGCTTCTATAAATGGTTTCTTCACTCTATAATTCTCAGTTAAATAAATACGAGACAGAAAAACGATATTATACAAGCAGCCCATATTTCACATAACCACATTGAGTTTGCAACAGCGCTTTCCTTGTGCACTGACGTCTTCACAGTCTTGGTTTCACTAATTGGCATTTCTGCGTCAGCCAAAGTGCGTGTGTGTGTTCCATTGAACCTCCATAACAGATGTGTGCAGCAGGGAGAGAACTATAACATTACAATAACACTAATTGATTAAATAAATGCATTTTCAAACATATTCTATACTGTCCAGAACGTTGTAGTGGATGCGTGAGGCAGTCTGATAGTAAAAATCTGTGTTGGCGTTATTGATGCGGAGAGAGGCTTAGAACAATGCACTGAACAGAATATATCAGCCAGACAGTCTACTGGTAATTGCACGAAGCTCGCATTTGCAAGAATAAAGGAGACTTCTGTTGTAGTGAGATAAGCTGTGATATCCTCCTGTAAAAGGTGCACACATTAAAGCAGCCATTGTTGCTCCTAACTAACTGTGGACTGAGGTACACTGCAAAAAATGATGAAATATGCGGAAATAACTGCTTGAATCGGGTGGTTTTTATCGATATGACCGTTTTTAAACAAGATTTTCCAATGCGACAAAGCCATTTAGTCTTTTTTTGGTATATTTAGTCATTACAAGGGAGGCATTTCTTGTATGTTTTTAAAACAAGTACCCCTTTGCTCGTCCAAATGACAAATTGTATTTTAAGGAAGTCAAGATGTGCTCATGTTAAGATACATTTTGCCAAGTTTGAACAATTGTTTGACCTAATTTTCATCTCTTTTTACAGTGCAGCCATTGTTTTCCTCTAACTGTGAACGGATGCATAAAGCTGGTATGAACTCTAGCCCATTTATCAACTCTCTCTCCTTCCCCCCTCGCCCCTTCTATCTCCGGCGTGCTGTCTCGGCGAGGCCTTCTGTTCCCGTGAGTGCCACATATGAGCTCCATTAGTCGGGGAGACCTCGTGCACTTACAGCCCCATAATCCTGTGTGTGGAGTGAGCGCATGGGTCTCCACATGGCACAGTGCCCTGACAGTGGCTGCATTAGCGTGGCCACCGTTAATCCTTCATCCCTGCCCTTCGCCGCAACGTCCTTTATAATGGAATCAGCATTTTATACACAGACAAATGCCCATTGTTAAAGCATCAGAGGCTTGTGGACCCAACAAAGCAATTTTAGTATTATTAACTGGTTAATTCACTTCACTTCTCTGCAATAAATGATACAATACAAAGTAATAATGGCTTGAATTCAGTGTTTTTTATCTTAAACTGAGCACATTCTGACAAATAAGCTTTGCCAATGCGAGCCATTTAGTATTTTTTCTATAATTTGGGAGACATTTCTAGTGCCTTTTTAAAACAAGATTTTACCGGTCCGATAAGCAAATCTTGTTTTAAGGCAGAGTGTGCTCAAATTAAGATACATTTTGCAATATTTACTTATTTTTCATCACTTTGTGCAGTGTTGAAAGTTGACCAGGCTCATTACAATAAGCTGTTATTCTATTTATTGTTGCCCCTTGAGACAAATGCCATCATTGTGATTGTGGGCTATACATACATTTATTGAATGCAGTTTTTCTAATGTTATGAATATAATACAATAATAATGGCTGGCTTTCTTTCTGCCAAAACAATTTCCAAGTGGTGACTTCTGTTACTTACGTGGCAATAAAAATGATTCTGATTCTGATAATAATAATGCATCTGTTTTATACAGAGCTTTTTTGGACACGCTTCACAAACACGGTGGTGATAAACTACTACTGTAGCCACAGCTGCCTTGGGACACACTGACAGAAGCGAGGCAACCAGTCTATGCCATAGGCCCCTCTGACCACCACCAACCATTCATACACACCAGACTCATTCTAGGCAATGGGGTGAAGTGTCTTGCCTAAGGACACAACAGCAGTTTGGCACTTTATAGCCACAGCCGCCCCACTGTGGCACCTGCTGTTCCCAGAGGTTAAGTGTCTTGCCCAAGGACACAACAACAGCAGACAGTGGGAGTCGATGGTGAGAGTCGGGCTCGGCAATACAAATTTTAATTCATGATAACCAATAGATGTAAATACTGTCCATGCCTTCGACTAATATTATGAAAATGGCTGTAGACTCTGGGCTTCTCTGGTACCTGCAGGTCTCACACAAGTAATTATGAAAGAAAGGTTTACTGACATAAATAATGGCATCAGATTAACTATTGATCGCTCTCTCTCTGCCGCCATCGGTCACAATGCAGAGGAAATCCTGCTCCACTGTGATGAAGGAAACAGATTGATGGAGCAGTAATATAATTGTGTGACTTGTACTGGATCCAAGAGGTTTGAATAAAGGGAGTTAACCGGGCTGCTTCCTATGCCGCCTGGATTTGGACGCAATCCAAAGCTTCGCAAATCTCAATAGTTGTGAATAAGATATGTGACTGAACGCCAATACCCCTCTGCAGTATTAATATCATATTCTCCATTCACTTGCGAATCCCTGTGTCTCGTAGAAAGTAAGACAATAATGAAATCAAAGACACCCATCTCTTGAATTTTCTATTGATCGACATTTTTAGTTGTGTTATATATCATTCAAAGTGGCAGATCATATAAAAACACACACACAAATTAGCTCTAGATTTCAGCCAGGGCTAATTTCAATCCTTGGTGCCCTGCTGACCTGTATCTCCCATGAGGCAAGACTTTACCTTCATTACAGGTTATTGCGTTATGTCTCGAAGGCTGCTCTCGTCTCCCCAGGTTTGGGCTAATATTCCGATGAGAGCAATTTATCGCTCAATTTCTGTCCGACAGTGAATTGGCAGAGATAGCAGCGAGAGCATGAGCATCAGGACTAAGAGACGTGATCGTTCTGTCTGACTAGAATGATAAACAGCTCTGCGTCAGCGCCAGGTCAAAACTGAGGAGCAGAGAGCGGCATTTGGAGTAGTTGAAGAGAGCAAGGGCACAGAATAAGATGCTGTGACCCGTCCTGCTCCACCCAGAGGCTAACTACTTCTGTCGTGTTATAGGTCCATACAAGAATACATTGAATTGAACGGAATATGTACAATATATTAGCACTGGCAGTTTTGCAAAGCAGTCGTTTAGACATGACACAGAGTTAAGTTAAATTCAAATAGTTACAGGTCAACTGATAAAAAATAAAAAAATGGAATTAAAATGAGACCAAGCCAAGAACAAAACAAGAAAAGCTGTGCACACGTAGACCTCCAACGAGAGGCTCAGTTCTGTCCCTGATTTCTGGACGGTGATTTGGATGACGCCCAAAAGAGAATAATTTGTTCACTGGGCCATTTAACATGTTTCCTGAACAATAAAACAAAAGCTGGTGATCACTTTGCCTCCAGAATGAAGGTAAAAAAGACTAAACTTGGACCAGCACAGTATTATTATTCAACAGTGAAAACGTTAATCATTTCGGGGTCATGTTTAAGGTTGAACGATAACTGTATAAGTCCCACAGAGGGCAAAGTACAACATTCTTGAACTTTGAAGTTCTTAGAGGTTGTGGGAAGATCTCAAGTTGTGCTGTTCATGCAAGACAGCCCAGGAATTGACTAGAACTGGAGAACTTCTTTTTTGTCAAAGAGAATGGATAACTTTAGCATCAGAAAGGATGAAGAAACTCACAACCACCACAAAAGACTCCAAGCTGTCATAGATGTTAAAGCAGTAAGAAAAGCTGTTGAGAACTGGTGGAAAAGAGAATTCACGTTTATTTGACAACGTTTATTGAATAGTTTCTAAAAAATGTCTGTCTGGGTGTTTAAACTCACTCTCGAGCTAATTACATCAAATACATTTTACTATTTGTGTAATACACGGCAAAAAGTGATGACATTTTTTTCTAAAATTGCTCAATCTTGGCAAAATGTAGTTTAATTCTGGGCCCATTTTGACCTCCTCAAAAAAAGATTTGCCAATGGAAGAAGCAAGATTAACTTTTGCTTTTTTGAAAATATTCAGGAAATGTCTCCCTTGAAATTAGAAAAAAAATCTTTGTCCCTTTGGCAAATCTTGTTATAAAACTTGACTCAAACTAAGATAAAAAACACTTGATTTAAGCAATTATTACCTCATATTTGTTCACTTTTTGCAGGGTATAGTGTGCTTGCCCAATGCCAAGAACAGCATGGAAATAAATATTCACTTGGACACCCAATATAAAGTGCAACACCTGGTTCTTGGGTGACACATGGTGCCGAAGTGCCAGCAGAAGTTGTAAATGTGATGACTCTTGACTGACGCAGTGTTATGATTGTGCTGTGGGACCAGACCTGTGGATGTTCAGCAGGACTTTGAACAGATCGGCCTGTGTGTCTCCGCCCCTCCCCCAGACAGACCTCAGCCCACCACATGGAGCGACCCCCCCCTCACTCACTTCCGTTCTTATTACCACACGCAGCCTTTTTGGTATTCCGAAACTGTGCGCCGCTATGATTTGATTAATGGGATTTGACTTCAGCTCGGATGCCTGAAATGAGGCGGGCTTTTGGAGAGGAGCAGGGGGTGATGTGAGAGCGCATAAAGCTGGCGATGTCTGGGCCAGAACGCTGCCAATTAGCCACTGGAAGCCGAGGTTCCCATCTCACACCTGAGAATGAGTGTCTGTGATCACATTCTCTGCCACTGACAGAGCAGAGGAAGAGGCAGGATATTCAGCGGCAAAGTGAAAGCCAGGGATAGGGGCACGCCAAGCTGTCAGAGGACCAATTTGTTCGCTCTTCTCTTCCTGGCAGGCCATGGAACCCACCTGTGTGAGGGCAAGCTCCGGAGTGGACGCACAAAGCCAAATCTGCAGCGCGATCGTCGTCTGCCAAATGATTGCGTCTGAGTTGGAGTCAAAAACCCAGACCACAAAACACTCTCCGAAGACGTTCCATCCTCAAAGATTCCTCATCAACAAGTCACAAGGAGAAGCCAGATCATTACAAAAGCAATTGGAATGAGGAGGTGCTGAGGATCTGCAGGTGTGAGGCCTTTGTCACGGAAATAATACAGCAACATCCACCCAGAGAGTTGAAAGTCATTCAACGCACCTGCAGAAAACGAGCTCACACCTGACAAAAGCAGAACGTGGCCAAAAACACATTGGAATGAACTCTTTTATGCACAAACAAAACTGCAAATAACTTCTATTCTGTGCTAGAAAACTCTTTATGCAGCGACCTAGTTATAACATATGCAGATTTTCCATGATTTTTCCGACAAATACCATTGGCTGTCATTTAATTACATCTCCACTAATTAGAAGAAGCAATTTTCCACATTTGGAATTGGTAATCCAAAGTCATTGCATTTCAAACGGTGACCAATGGCATCATAGGGCATCATTTCACTGCAGGCCCAAAAGCCTCATGCTCTCTCGAGGTCAGGCGCTAATGAAATACTTAGCATAAGGACTCCAAATCCTAAGAATGCGCTCCTCGGCAGTTCATTACAGGTCTGGGTTCTGGCTGAATACTGAACCAATGAGGAGAGCTCTCATGCTCCTTCATTACAGAAACAACCACCTCCTGGACTAATACTGTTTTACTCAGACACAGCTGGAGACAGGCCCATGTTCAGCCTCAGAATAATGTGCAGCCAGCATTGTTCAAGATGCCACCAAGGAGGCTCATGGGAATTTGGCATTCAGCACCAACACAAAGAAGCCACAATTGCTTGGATCTTTTTTATCGCTGTGAATGTTTTGTAGACAGTACAGACATGAATTAAATATGTGTTGTGGACTTTCAACTAATTGGCAACAGTTTAAGTGTATGTACGTGGACATTTACCAATCTGGCCCATGCATAACAAGTTAGATGACAGTTGAAAAGGCCATAGGCACGGATTGGCAGCCACACTTCTGTCAGTCTATGCCAGGGCAACTAGAAGAGTGTGGATGACTAAGGGCCTGTTTACAAAACAACGCTCACAAGTGCAAAACCTAACATATTTTTGATGCCCATAGCACTAAGATGGCAAAGGCATTTTGGAGAGATAAAAAAAGTGTTTGGTCGGAAACCACATTCCAGGGAGGATATCTAGAAAATGCTACAACCTTCTGTCACTGTCTAAACCAAGGGTGTGCAGTTATTCTCGGGATATTCATAGTATTGAGGAATGGACCCGTTTTCACCCAGATACCATTTCATTTAAATTGACTATTGTTTTATTTTCAGTGAAAGCCACTTCACTTCAAAACAATATTTGATTCACAAAATTAGAAACATGGCGCCATAATTGATCCTACATTAATTAGAACAAGGTAGCAGACCATGGCGGTTGCATGTACATGAGGTTGGGAAGAGTCCAGGAGCGGCATAGAAACATGAAAATGGGCTGCATAAAGCTTTCAGCCGCCAGTTTGACCGGGTCTGGTCTAAACTGTTGAAATTGTACCACAAGCATGCACCAAAATGTTTGACTGAGCTTCAGCTAACTGAAGCAGCTGTGTTGAGCCAGCAGTTGGTAAGATTAATCTCAGACAGGGACGACGAACAGAGAAAAACACTTCTCTACTTTGATAACAACACATTTTTGACGGACCAGAAAGACAGCTGTGGAAGGACTTCGGTGGTGGGATCACTTCATCGATTCAGTAGTAGACAGCTGAGCATGTGCCAACACTCACTTTAGCCCTGTAAGCGTGCATATTACAATAAATAAGGACATACTTTTAAGTTTTCCCCCCAAAACCCTTGTCTAAACTCAGAATTGAAATTGAGAATGACACACCACTTTTACATTATGGTTCAGAGCGTCACCAAACTTAATTTCAGCCTTTATGGAGACGCTGCTGTCGACAGTCTGAACGTATGCCCACAAGTGTCAGGCCCACTGTTGCCATCTCGGGCGTTAGTGTAATTAGACCGCAGTGATGCAGAGCGGCTTCATGCGTGGCACCCCACCGCGTAAAAAGATTACCTTCAGCCGTGGAAGCGCGAGGGGTTTCAAAGGCAACAATTTGCTTTTGTTTATCAAATTAGAGGCCAGCTGGTGGCTTTGGCTCGGTTGTACAAGGAGCTGAGGAGCAGAAAAATTGCCTGGCAGGGAGGTACCATATGTCCCATTCAATATTCTCTCATGGATTTGAAAAGCTGAGGGAAAATCAGACGGGTAAATGGCCAAAGCGCTGTATGCCAGTGTCACAGTCCGGACGATTTTTCAGGCTGACCGTCAAACCCAAGTGTGTGACCGATCTCGCTTCACGTGGCAAAGAAGGTAATGCAAGAGTAAGAAAGAAAGTGAACAAGTGGTGCATCCTCGGAGCGGGAGACGGGCAGGAAGAAGAGTGTTCGAACTCTTTGATTCTCTGATCCATTGTTGTAGAATCTGCAACTTGAGATATAGTACTTAAATTTTGATTTCAGTTGTGCCCCCAATGTATTTTTGCGGTTCAAACATATTCATCACCCATTTTGAGGATTTTAACTATTCACTAAGAGGAATATGGAAATGTAATTCACAACTTTGGTAGACAAGCATGAGTTTAGCATTCCAACTCTGGGGTAATGTGAGAGAAAGCACATGAACAAGTGGTGCACCAGCTCATCCTCGGAGAGAGAGAGAGGGGGGGGGGGGGGGGGATGGGCGGGAAGGAGAGGATGAGAGAGGTCAAGATTGAACCAGAGAAGGGCATTTGGCGACATCTCAATGTACACACGGACCAGCGCTGGAGCAGAAAAGGTGAGCGGGGAAGAACACGGGAAGAACAGGTACAAGACGAGAGATAAGGAGTGAAAGAGAAGCGATACAAAGAGACTTAAGAGAAGCCAGGGGTAAAGCATGCATACGGGCTCTCGTGTTTCCAGAGGTCCTTTAGGGAAGCCAAAGGATCTGAAGTTGCAACAGGTGGCGGCGAAGCAGAGATATGCAGCAGCAGAGAGTTAAAGGAGGAGGTCGAGGAGGAGGGAGAGAGGGAGGGAGAGGCGCTCCACATACCCGCTGAGCCATCAGTCAGCCGGGCCTCCTCAGCACCTGTCTCCACTGCCTTCCTGGGGCCATTTGCACGCTGACAGGCTAATGCCCCCACACCGCCACGGACACACCAACACACCATGAACCGCACGGAGAGAGAGGGCCCCGGAACAGATCAGGGAACCTCACTTTTATTTCATTTCATTTCATTTCATTTCATTTACATCCCTTTATTTTCCATTTCTGGGTCAGGGGGGTGGCAATCAGAACTGCCACCCAATTCACACAGCACCAGTCCCTTGCTGATCCTCCTGCAGGTGGTGGGTCCACGGGAAGATGGCTGCTCCTTCGACACAGATGCAGCCTTGGTCTTTCAGCGGGGGCCTCACTTTTATGTGGCAGTAAATTCATTTATTCTATGACTTGGGTCGTACGCTCGGATTGGCTGATTTGCGGTCTGATATTTTCCCATCTCGGACGGTTACCATGACGATCGGTCCGCTGCGCGTATCAGATTTGATATCTTTCCTTGGTAGAAAAGAAATAATAAGCGACGACTGGGAGCATTCTCAGTGAATTCTATCATCAGGACGAGTTGGAAGAGCCAGAGGAAGTAATAACAGCAAATAACGACGAAAACACAACTCCTAACAGTCAAGAAGAGATTGACAACTTGGTTACAGACCAGAAAGGTAAAAACAGGATTAGGAAAACCAAGTGAGACATGAACAAACTTCATAAATATCTAAAAAGCATTGGTGAAGACACAGACTGAGAACTTACAGCGGGCGCCTCAATCATCTGATAAGTTCTCCATGTCACAGTTTGACAGTTTGGCTGCATGTGTTTTTGCTAGTGTTGAAACTGATCGATACTTGCATAAAAATAAAAATAGTCATATAATAAAACTTGTATTAACCTCACTTGCTCGGTCTGTACAAAAAGGCCACGGTCTGATATTTCTCTGAACAGACCTCACGCTTGTTTAATAAGCCGTTAATTCAAGATGTCTTTTGGGACACTGGTCCTCCCTCTCCCTATGGACCAATGGCATTTATCTGTTTGTTATTATTGTATATCCAGAGTTTGAACTGTTTGATTTTCCAAACTCTTGTTGTGGAATCAACAACTTTTTTTTTCTTTAAGTCCTGTGGTTTGCCCCTGGTTTCAGGTGTACATGGAGCAATTCTGCAACTTTGGTGAATTGCAAAAAGTTACCTACAAAACTCATGAAAAGGCTAAATGGTTCATTCCTGATTAAACTGTATTTACAATAAAATAAAAGTTTCCCAGATGGACTCACCCGTGGCGATGTGACCCCCGCGAGCGGCCGGAGTAGTACGAGTATCCCGAGTACGTGGACTCGGTGTCCATAGTGACACTGTCCTGTCTGGGCATGGGCCCCAGGTGCTCAGCCCGACCGCTGGCTGACGCGCCGGGACCGTGTGCGCTGATCTTGTCCAGATTGGAGAGATCAATACTCAGGAGACGCACAAAGGTGGAGAGCTGTCAGCAGTCAGGCTTGAAAGGGACGGAGGGGGCGCCCGGTGAGGAAACATCAACCTGTGGGAGGGCGAGAAAGTGGAGAATTCAGGAGCAGAAATGTCTGGGAAACAAGCCCCATGCACTGAGACACGAAGTTAAGAAATCAATACTTTTAATTAACTGGGAATTTGTAACATATTCAGTCAGGTGGCTATTTTTCTATGTGCTCTGATTTCTCCTTTAAAAAGTCCCTTTCTTTGGTTGCAGCTGCGTTAAACCGAATCTTTACCACCAAAGAGCACAGTGACAGATCTCCTCGACTCTCAGGAGGTTCATATTCCAGCTGAGTGCAGGAGATAAAGAAAGAAACATCGCCATGAAACAGCACTTTGCTCTTATTCCCAAAACGCCTGACGATTGCTGTTCATAGAAGTCTGTGACACACGGCAAACAATTTAGGGCCGACAGTGACGAGCTTTCAGATGGCACAAGCCGAGAGAGGCAGAGACACATGAAAGCAGCGAGGCTTTGAGAAGTCGGAGGAGGCGCTGGAACGAGAACAAACATAATGGGAGTTTGAATGAGAAAGAAAGAAATTCTCTCTGCTCCTCATCCTGTCCTCATTTTACTTTTAGCAGCCCAGAATATGTTTTATTATTATTCTTAGTCCAGATTTGAGCAGTAGTCACAACAGCAAATGCTCCTCATCCTCCGTATTAAAAGCTCTTTGCATTACTTTTGAAACTTTAAACCACGGTAAACCAAGTCACTGCATGTAAAGAGTCCTGGTTATAGAAGCTTAGACATATGAAACGTCAAAAACACTACCGGTAAAATCTTTGAAATGGAACAAACTCATCTCTCGTCTTGTAAAATCAACCGGTTTCTCTTCAGCTTCGATTAAAAGAGTAGTTTTAAAAGTCCTGTGATGGTGCAGAGTCGGTCTTAAGCAAGCATTCCTCTGAGCTTGTGGAGAGCTCAGGCCCCCTGCATTAAAAGGCTATGCTATCTGATAACAGCCCGTTTATCGAGCGCTTCTGGTTTACACAAAGCCGGTGGAAAAATAATAAAGGTGGGACCACGGCGGCGCAGCTTGCATGAATGAAAGAGAAATATAGGTCAGTGTGATTAAAGCATATACTTAGGCAAACACACCCAAAGGAACCTGCACACCAGTCTTGTGTGGCTCGGTCGTAAATGCCACCAGTGCTTAGTGATGCACCTGCACATGCCTAGAGCTATGGCCGAGTGGGGAAGGGGGAGTGGGGAAGGGGGAGTGGGTGGGACTCTAAAGCACAGGGAGTTAAATCGTAACTCAGAAAGCCCTAAATCCTCTAACTTTAAGATAACGCTGCGTGAATACCAAACGTGTTGTTAGAAGCAGCGGAGAGAATAATCAATGTAAGCACTGCACCCTGATTTACAGTGGGAGAATTCAACACGTCACGGCCTGCATTGTTCAAGAGTTTCTTTTTGCTTATGTGTTAAATATTGTCTGCTTTTTATGCATTGGAACTAAAGCTGGAGTGCCTGACTTTACAACTTAAAAAAATGAAATATCTGAGCAAATCCATGTATCCCAGCTCTCAAAACAATGGTTCTTTTGTTAGTGTTAAAATAAAAAAAAAAATTGCGCTTTTTCAGTGTAAGTCTGTGAGTAGCAGCCGTAGCTCAGCCAATGAGCTCTCAATGTGTAAAGGATAACATGTTTTGTGGTCTGATTTGATCACAAACTACCAATCCCTATCTCCCCAAACAATCATGGAATTTGTAGTCTATTTTTAGCCTCAGCAGTTTAACATATGCAGTTGTTTTTAGAGAAGAGAAAACGCCCTTAAATTGCTGCCCCACATTTCTGACTTGTAACTTGTAACCGGGATGCTCCACATGCTTTCGTCCAACAGCTTTTGTGGAAGCAGATCCAAATACTGTACTGAACATTTGCCGGAAGTACAGAAGAAATTCCAAAATGTATGTCCCGTGCTTCTGTTTTGTCTATAAATACCATGATTGTTTAGGGAGATTGTGATTGGGACTTTAAAGCTGGAGAACCTAAGACTTTGTCAATCTAACAATGGATAAAATTTACACGTCACATTTGGCAGAGATAGAATCACTAGTGTACAAACATGTTCAGGTTAAAAAAAATTGTCTGCACTGGCGTTTGGGCCTGAAGGTCATGGGTTTGAGCCCACCATAAGTCCTACTTCACGACTCCAACTGATGACTGCTGTCGTTGTGTCCTTGGGCAAGACACTTAACCCCACTTTGCCTGAAGCCCCCGCTGAAAGATCAAGGCTCCTGTGGACTCACCACCTGCGGGAGGATCAGTGAGGGGCTGGTGCTCTGTGAACTGGGTGCAGCTCTGGCCACCCCCCCAACCCAGAAATGGATTAAGGGGAAGAAAATGGATGGATGGTCTGTGCAGCAAAAATTATGTACAATAAAAAGTGGCAATAGTGTAGTAGTGATAATAGATTAAATATACAGAAAAAGAGATTTGCAATAAATAGTTAGTTCATAATTTACTAGGGCTGTCAAAATTATCGCGTTAATTCACGTTAATTACCGTTTTCATTAACGCGTAAAAAAATAATTAACGCATTAACTACCATTGACGTGTTGACACGTCAATTGCGTTCCCCGCTATTTTCACGTTCCCAGATGTCTGTTGTATCAAATATGTAAGGCTTGAGGCAATATTTTATCGAGCCAGCAGATGGAAGCATTGCTCTATGAATGGTTTGAAAACAGCTAGATGCACAAGTGTCTCTTTTTTCTCAGCTTTCTGGTGATTTCAATAAAACTTACCTCTACTCGACTGGGGATTTCAGGGGAACGAAACAAGCTAGAAACAAAATTATTTTTGCTGATGAAAGTAGACAGTCCATTCTTTCAGAATCTGGTTTTGGATTCCAGATAGTCATTGTACACAATATTCTGTGGGTACCTGTTCTGAAATAGGCTGGCAGTCAATCACATGTCCGAATGACCCGCCCATTTATAATAATATCACTCAGAATGCCACGGACACGTGCGTGTGTGATGGTGACAGCAGTAACGTGGTCATATAATACACACATATATACACGCACAGGGGCCATTCTCTGATGTTCTCTGATGATGGAGGAGAGGAGGAGACACGCTGAAATGCAACCAAACTCGCAAAATTAAAGCTGGGGTACTTACATTTTTCCTTTCATTAACAGCTCTTGTTGGTTGTACCCAAAAGTAGAAGGTTGTGAGCAAGTCAAACAGATTTAAGTACATTTGGTCTGAATAACAATGTGTCATTACATTTGAAAATCTCATTTAACTTCAATTGGAGTGGATTTGAAATAGAATGTTAAAAATGTGATTAATCGTGAGTTAACTCATCATTACTATGCGATTAATCAAAAAAAAAATTAATCGTTTGACAGCCCTATAATTTACATAATATTAAAAAACAAGATAAATATGGTTAAAGGTATGTTCAAATATCTGCAGTTCATTCAGTATCTACATTTAGAGTTTTTACAGAAAGGATTCATTGTTATCGACTAGTAAGCCTGAGCAATGATTGAGCGATTGGTTTTTCCTGCGGTGACAGACGGCGGGGTTTCGTGCCGTCTCCTCAAAGGTAATAAACTCCTGCAAGATCGAAACCCAAATCACTCTGGTTTCTCCTTATTTCAGGTAAAAGGGACCAATTGTGGGGCGACAGTAGCTCAGTTGGTAGAGCATTGGCCTTTGAGCCTGAAGGTTGTGGGTTCGAGCCCACCGTAAGACCTACTTCACGACTCCCACTGATGACTGCTGTCGTTGTGTCCTTGGGCAAGACACTTAACCCCACTTTGCCTGAAGCTCCCACTGAAAGATCTCAGCTCCTGTGGACTCAGCACCTGCAGGAGGATCAGTGAGGGGCTGGTGCTCTGTGTACTGGGTGCAGCTCTGGCCACCCCCCCGACCCAGAAATGGATTAAGGGGAAGAGGATGGATGGATGGGACCAATTGTTGTAAATGTATCCTATGTACAGTGTATTTGTTTATATAACTTGTAATAAACTCCAGCAAGAGGGATTTCAGGGAACCAACAACAGCCGTGTGTTTCTCCTCACAGAAACAAATCAGCCTAACACTGTATATATTAAACAAATGTTATTTTGAAAAACAATTCCATCCATCCATCCATCCATTTTCTTCCCCTTAATCCATTTCTGGGTCGGGGGGGTGGCCAGAGATGCCACCCAGCACACAGAGCACCAGCCCCTCACTGATCCTCCTGCAGGTGGTGAGTCCACAGGAGCTGAGATCTTTCAGTGGGAGCTTCAGGCAAAGTGGGGTTAAGTGTCTTGCCCAAGGACACAACGACAGCAGTCATCAGTGGGAGACGTGTAGTAGGTCTTACGGTGGGCTCGAACCCACGACCTTCAGGCTCAAAGGCCAATGCTCTACCAACTGAGCTACTGTCGCCCCACAATGAATGCATGTTTGAAAAACAATTCAAACATGCAAATTTAAGAATAAATTGGTTAAAAAACATCCAGTGGCGTTTTCGTACCACAATTATAATGTGATTACAAAAAACGTTACAATACCATAAAATCACAATGTGGTTTAAACTCTGCTTTTGTTCAAATGATTTTGCATTAAGCATGTTATAGAAGTAAAGATGAAGAACTGTTTTCTTGTATAAACTGAAGATGTTCAAAATAATTGAAAAGTTGTGTTCACTAAAAGGAAAACAAAATTAAACTGTTTTTTTTGTTCAATGAAACTAATTAGAAACAGAAACATATGGTGTAATAAAACAAAATTAACATTATAAATCTGTTTTTGTTGTGAATGAACAAGAACAAGTTAAATCCTGAAATCACAAAGACTTAATGTGATTCAGTGAAACAGTCTTTAACCGTTAACATTAGCAACGA